GAAATGCGCGTAATCACTGGGGCAGTTGGTTTTGCAACATCTGGCGTCTAGGGGGGACCTGTGGCTGGAAATGTACCCAGCTGATGCTGATGATGCCCCCTCCTGCCTCGTGAAATGCGGGCATCCACTGGGGCAGTTGGTTTTGCAACGTCTGGCGTCTAGGGGGGACCTCTGGCTGGAAATGTACCCAGCTGATGCTCATGATGCCCCCCTCCTGCCTCGTGAAATGCGCGCAATCACTGGGGCAGTTGGTTTTGCAACGTCTGGCGTCTAGGGGGGACCTGTGGCTGGAAATGTACCCAGCTGATGCGCATGATGCCCCCCTCCTGCCTCGTGAAATGCGCGCAATCACTGGGGCAGTTGGTTTTGCAACGTCTGGCGTCTAGGGGGGACCTGTGGCTGGAAATGTACACAGCTGATGCTGATGATGCCCCCCTCCTGCCTCGTGAAATGCGCGCAATCGCTGGGGCAGTTGGTTTTGCAACGTCTGGCGTCTAGGGGGGACCTGTGGCTGGAAATGTACCCAGCTGATGCTGATGATGCCCCCCTCCTGCCTCGTGAAATGCGCGCAATCACTGGGGCAGTTGGTTTTGCAACGTCTGGCGTCTAGGGGGGACCTGTGGCTGGAAATGTACCCAGCTGATGCTCATGATGCCCCCTGCCTCGTGAAATGCGCGCAATCACTGGGGCAGTTGGCGGGACCTGCGGCTGGAAATGTACCCAGCTGATGCTGATGATGCCCCCCTCCTGCCTCGTGAAATGCGCGCAATCACTGGGGCAGTTGGCTTTGCAACGTCTGGCGTCTAGGGGGGACCTGTGGCTGGAAATGTACCCAGCTGATGCTCATGATGCCCCCCTCCTGCCTCGTGAAATGCGTGCAATCACTGGGGCAGTTGGCTTTGCAACGTCTGGCGTCTAGGGGGGACCTGTGGCTGGAAATGTACCCAGCTGATGCTCATGATGCCCCCCTCCTGCCTCGTGAAATGCGTGCAATCACTGGGGGAGTTGGCTTTGCAACGTCTGGCGTCTAGGGGGGACCTGTGGCTGGAAATGTACCCAGCTGATGCTCATGATGCCCGCCTCCTGCCTCGTGAAATGCGCGCAATCACTGGGGCAGTTGGTTTTGCAACGTCTGGTACCCAGCTGATGCTCATGATGCCCCCGAATGCCCCCCTCCTGCCTCGTGAAACGCGCGCAATCACTGGGGCAGTTGGTTTTGCAACGTCTGGCGTCTAGGGGGGACCTGTGGCTGGAAATGTACCCAGCTGATGCTCATGATGCCCCCTCCTCCTGCCTCGTGAAATGCGCGCAATCACTGGGGCAGTTGGTTTTGCAACGTCTGGCGTCTAGGGGGGACCTGTGGCTGGAACTGTGCCCAGCTGATGCTCATGATGCCCCCCTCCTGCCTCGTGAAATGCGCGCAATTACTGGGGCAGTTGGTTTTGCAACGTCTGGCGTCTAGGGGGGACCTGTGGCTGGAAATGTACCCAGCTGATGCTCATGATGCCCCCCTCCTGCCTCGTGAAATGCGCGCAATCACTGGGGCAGTTGGCTTTGCAACGTCTGGCGTCTAAGGGGGACCTGTGGCTGGAAATGTACCCAGCTGATGCTCATGATGCCCCCCTCGTGCCTCGTGAAATGCGCGCAATCACTGGGGCAGTTGGCTTTGCAACGTCTGGCGTCTAGGGGGGACCTGTGGCTGGAAATGTACCCAGCTGATGCTCATGATGCCCCCCGCCTGCCTCGTGAAATGCGCGCAATCACTGGGGCAGTTGGCTTTGCAACGTCTGGCGTCTAGGGGGGATCTGTGGCTGGAAATGTACCCAGCTGATGCTCATGATGCCCCCCTCCTGCCTCGTGAAATGCGCGCAATCACTGGGGCAGGTGGCTTTGCAACGTCTGGCGTCTAGGGGGGACCTGTGGCTGGAAATGTACCCAGCTGATGCTCATGATGCCCCCCTCCTGCCTCGTGAAATGCGCGCAATCACTGGGGCAGTTGGCTTTGCAACGTCTGGCGTCTAGCGGGGACCTGTGGCTGGAAATGTGCCCAGCTGATGCTCATGATGCCCCCCGCCTGCCTCGTGAAATGCGCGCAATCACTGGGGCAGTTGGCTTTGCAACGAATGGCGTCTAGGCTGGAAATGTGCCCAGCTGATGCTCATGATGCCCCCCTCCTGCCTCGTGAAATGCGCGCAATCACTGGGGCAGTTGGCTTTGCAACGTCTGGCGTCTAGGGGGGACCTGTGGCTGGAAATGTGCCCAGCTGACGCTCATGATGCCCCCCTCCTGCCTCGTGAAATGCGCGCAATCACTGGGGCAGTTGGCTTTGCAACGTCTGGCGTTTAGGGGGGACCTGGCTGGAAATGTGCCCAGCTGATGCTCATGATGCCCCCCTCCTGCCTCGTGAAATGCGCGCAATCACTGGGGCAGTTGGTTTTGCAACGTCTGGCGTCTAGGGGGGACCTGTGGCTGGAAATGTGCCCAGCTGATGCTCATGATGCCCCCCTCCTGCCTCGTGAAATGCGCGCAATCACTGGGGCAGTTGGCTTTGCTCTTTTACGAACCCATCATGCGAGCGGTGTTTGCAAATGGGAGGGGGGGGGGGGGGGGGGCAAAAAATCCCTACCCTAAACCCCAAAAAACCCTAAACCCTAAAACCCCTAAAAACCCCTAAACCCCAAAAAAACCGAAGCCCTAAACCACAAAAAGCCCCTAAACCCTAATTAATTGAGGCCTAAACAAAAAACCCCAAACCCTAAGCTCTAAACCCCCCAAAAGCCCTACAAAAACCCTAAACCCTAAACCCTCGCTCGAGCACAAGTGATAGATTTGTTACCATAGGGGTCTATGGGTTTGTGGGTAGGGTCTATCTGGAGGGGGGTAGGGGCCTGTGGAAAATTGATAGGGGTCTATGTCGCATAGGGGTGGTATAAGTAGGGATAGGGTCTATGCATAGGGATCTATGGGAAAAGGGAGGGGGCCTGTGCATAGGGGTCTATGCGTAAACGGGCAGGGCCTATGCATACAGTACCACTAAGCAAAGAGAGGGCTTAGATCATAGGGCCCTATCCCAAAACCATAGGGGTCTCTATAGGGGTCTGTCGACGCCTTGGACCTATCTTCAGGCGTCCAGGGGGGCCATGTGGCTGGGAATATACCCAGCTGATGCTCATGATGCTCCCCTCCTGCATCGTCAAATGCGCGCAATCGCTGGGGAATTCTGTTTTGCAACGTCTTGTGTCTAGGGGCGCCCTGTGGCCGGGAATATACCCAGCTGATGCTCATGATGCTCCCCTCCTGCCTCGTCAAATGTGCGCAAGGACTGGGGCAGTTGGTGTTGCAACGTCTGGTCTGGTGTTGTGGTCGAAAAATACCCAGCAGATGCTCATGATGCTCGCCTGCGCGCAATCACTGGGGCAGTTGGTTTTGCAACGTCTGGCGTCTAGGGGGGCCCTGTGGCAGGAAATTTTCCCAGCTGATGCTCATGATGCTCCCCTCCTGCCTCTTCAAATGCGCGCAATCACTGGGGCAGTTGGTTTTGCAACGTCTGGCGTCTAGGGGGGGCCTGTGGCCGGAAATATACCCAGCTCATGGTCATGATGCTTCCCTCCTGCCTCGTCAAATGAGCGCAATCGCTGGGACAGATGGTTTTGCAACGTCTGACGTCTCGAAAGGCCCTGTGGCAGGAAATATACCCAGCTGATGCTCATGATGCTCCCCTCCTGCCTCGTGAAATGCGCAAAATCACTGGGACAGTTGGTTTTGCAACGTTTGATGTCTGGAAAGGCCCTGTGGCCGGAAAATATACCGAGCTGATGCTCAGGATGCCCCCCTCCTGCCTCGTGAAATGTGCGCAATCACTGGGGCAGCTGGCTTTGCAAAGTCTGGCGTCTAGGGGGGGCCCTGTGGCTGGAAAATACCCAGCTGATGCTCATGATGCTCCCCTCCTGCCTCGTCAAATGCGCGCAATCACTGGGGCGCAGTACGGTCTACAAAATCGGTATCAGTTGGCTTGCGTTTTGTATTTCCAATGCAACGCCGTGAAATTTGCAAACCAGCAACTAAACTTGGCAAGATAGGCTTGTACGAAGCACGAGAGGAAAAGGCACTCCCGCCGGGCCCCGCTTTCCACAAGAAACAAAACCACCCATTTACGTAGGATTGAATTCGGGATAGAGTGTCCTCCCTACTTCCTTAGGAAGGGGTAGTTTAGGGCTCGCGTCAGACTCATGTAAGCTGCCGGCCAGTCCTCTGCGATCGTGAACAACACTAACGCGGAGTGCCATAAATGGAGCAACGCTCGCCTGCACTGTGATACTCAGCCCGGGGAGCCCTATGCTAACCAAAAATATATACGAACATGAACATCTACGAATATAAAAACACAAGAGTCGAAAAAGGTTAGAATCCGTCGTATCAAGCTGGGGAGCTAGCAGCGACGCCAACTGGATTGTCCTTGCTCGCTTTGTCTTATCGGCCACCGCATTCCACAGTGGAGTCACAGCCGTCATGAGACCGCGTCGAACCGCGATCCTCTGCAGGAAGTGCCATCTGACAAATTTAAGGATGGCCGCTGTGAGGTCATACGTTGACCGCACTAAACACACGTCCCAGAGGCATGAACCCGATTTCGGCTGCGGGAAAGCCGTCAGCTTCGAAATACAGCGTCAAATATCGCTCGTACGACGCGAAGAAGCAGAAACTTGCCTTGGCTGCCGCAGGCATCATCATCTTCCAAGAAACACGAATGAACACTTCGTAGGTTTTACAAATAGTCTTCGTTGACTTGCTTAGAGTCACGAAGTAGTAGGCCTTCACACGCCACAGCGGCACTGGAGCAGCTGCTTCGCCCATGCATCGCGAGGCTGGCCCGAAAGCGAGCGAAGAGGCGGGCCAGCTGTAAGCACTTTCGAGATATGCTGCAACAAGGGGCAGGGCACAGCGACCGCACGCACAAACCCTGGCTGACTTAGACCCGTTCTCGATTCGGTTTCGGTCTCCTGGGGAGCCAGACTGGCAAGACCGCCTCCCAGCAGTGGTCTCATGGCAGCCTGCAGCCATTATGCACGGACGTCTCCACCATGAGGCCTCAGTACTGGACGTGCCGGGCCTCGGCATCTTCAAAGAGCCTTTGCAGACAAGAAGAAGAGCATCGACTAGCTGCCACAATGATGATCGTCAGCTGACACTGCGAGCCTCAAAACCTCCTCCTGGGAAGCCTTGGCGCTGTATGCGTCCTGCCATACGAACATCTTATGGAGGTTGGCCTGCAAAATGCAGCAGCTTGAAGTCCTGTGCTCTTTGGTAGAGACCTTGCGCTCGCTGACTGATCTCCTCTCGCTCCTGTCCAAAGCTCGGAAGAGGCTGCTTGAGCTCAGATGCAGCTTCATCTAGCTGAATGGACCTTCTGCACACTACCGAGCTGCATGACTAAGCTGGCTTGCATAAAGGTGCCTGCAGAAGCCCGCATAAGTGTGAAATGCGATGAGCCTCTTCATCATCGTCGACAAGGCTAGCCACTTTGGAAAAAGCGGAGGTCATGTCGGCAGTGCACCGGTCCGGTTCTGCTGTGATGTGCGTGTCGCCGTGGCTTGGTTTAGGGAATCAGATATGCTTGACTTGATACTTTTCTTGCGCGCTTGCGCCTTCAAACCGGATTTCCTACTACTTTTGAGCTGTAAAACCGGATCTCCTACTACTTTTGAGCTGTAATCAAAGTGAACCTGCATTCAGTGCAGGCTGGTGGTCATGACGAATTATGACATCTTCTCCTTTGCAATGCTGTAACCAAGGTGCTCGATCTGGACGTCGCGCTTGTGAATGCTTGTGACATTTTTCGGCCAAGAGCTTAGCAATTACTTTTTATTCTGCGCGCACATCAAGACCTCGCGATTCCATGGTGAAACTTTCAGCACGACTCAGAAAGTGTGTAGCTCGGCTAGATGCAGTAACAGAGTCCATCTTCACTTGCACGGGTTGAACATAACTTACTTGTTGCGCGAAGCTACCACTCAGTGGTGGTCCGCACGATGTTCTTGCCTGAGTACTCACAACATGGGGGGTTTTCCGAAATTAGGGGGGGGTACCTTATTGGAGTCCTATTGCAAGACTCCTACTAGTTGGGGTCTATATTAGGGGTCCTTATTATCGTAAACCGGTTTTCTGTTTTAAACAGTTGAACTGACCTTCCATGGATCACTCCAGGGCTGCTGTCCGCACAAGCTCCCAAGCTCCACACTTGGCAAGAGTTACGTCATGTCGGCAGGCGGCTCCTTTCGCATTCTGTCAGGTAATTCTTTTCGAGGCCAAGTGCTTCATCAGCTACAGTACCCTTTCAAGCATGGCAGGAAGATCGTGGCTTCTGGTTGTTCTCTGAGGGGTTGTGTTAGTTAGGCTTGACTCGTCTGACCTTTGCCTCCGCAGAGCGTGTGTGTGTGTGTGTGTGTCAGGAAGCAGGCAGATTTTTGGCGGGATGTCCTGATCTTTGCGCAGTTCCGGCGTTGAAGCACTTGACCTCAAAGGGGTACCGCACTGTCTTCAAGTTGCGCAGGGTGGTCGATATACCACACACATCCATCTGTAAGACTCGCACTTCATACCCTTTGCTTTTGCGTTGTCGCGACGATCATTGATTTTTGGCAGCCTGAAAGCCGCCGGAAGCTCAGGGGGCTTTAGCTCGTAGCTTTCTTGCCTCGACATTCAACTCGCCAGACAAAATTTCGCAGCGCCGCGCAGCGCCGGGCTTTGAGTTATACACCAGTCTAGCAGCTTTCTTTTGCACCATCTGAATCCAACGCATCACCCCTGCTGCGAAGGGTCGCAGTTTGTGGAATTCAGGGAGCCGACATCAGCAGCAGCCCTTGCGCTGGCCTGTGTGGACTCACTGGCCCCGCGTTCAAGGGCCGTATGGCCACCTGTCGGGTTGAGCGGAGGGTGCCCTCCTTGCATTGATCACTGGCAGGTGATATTTTACTTGCTTTATAGGCAAGGCCAGCTACATCCTGTTACCCTCCTCCAATATTGTGCTCTAGCATTACCTCCGGCAAGGAACGAGCTTGTGACTGCGTTAAACCGTGCGCCCCTCTTGATTACATTTGATTACAAGAGATGCTCTGAGCATCTTGGACAGCACTGCCCCCAGCGCCCTGGACACTCTGCCTTGGCTCCAACGTTCTCGCCCGGAGGCCAGTGTTCTTGCAGCCTTTAACAGGCATGTTCACACCCGACGGTCGCAAGTCTTCGCAAACTTCCACACCGCAAGCTCGCAGCCCAAGCTCCCACCCAGAACCTGTACTGCCCCTGTGAGAGCCAAGCTCTTTTGCTGCCTTGTGCAATCCTCTGAGGTACCAGCCCGATTGGCTGCGGTCGCTTCACGCGAACCAGATCAACATCGATAGGCGCTGAACACGATGCACACTTGCCTGGTTGTCGGCAATATTTCGGCGTGCACAACTGCACATCGTGACGAATCGTGGTTGACGAAAATCGTGCTGGTGACACCGCAGGCCTAGGAGCTGCCGCTTGGCGAAGAGCGCCACTTGCTCACCCGCTGATGCTCCCACCACCTCAGACAAAACATTTGAGGGGGTCTGAGTGCTGACTTCAGGAGCTGACAACAGCAGCGGCCTGCTTGATGAATTCCGCGACTTGTTCATGATCAGGCTTGGTTTGTAGAGCTTGCACCACACTGGCAAAGCAGCTAAGTTCATGCACGAGATTTTTGCCATGGGCTGTTGAACTGGTGCCTGGTTTTGAAGAGTTCGATCCATTGCCGGATCTCTTCACGAAGCTCCTCTTTGCAACATCTTTCACCATATCGACTACGATGAACCATGCTCCACCTGGTGCGCCCTCAAGCATTCTTCGAGGCTGTAGTCCGAAGCGCGGAGACGCACATAGACTTTCGGGGACTCAACTTAGTAAGTACTGACAAAGGAAACGTCTCCTGCATCGCGCGCTGCAGCTCTTGGGAAAGGCCTGACGTGGTGCTCGCTGTTACAGGTGCGGAAAGGTGGAGAAACCTTGAAACCCGGTGGGCGGCCTTGAAGCGCCTTGTCGCGGATCTCCTGCGCACTGGGGCACTGGTGGCCCATGAGCAAAACATGCGCAGCTTCTCCCAGCTTCTGCCAAACCTTGCCTTGCTGTCGCGCCTACCTGACAAGGAAGGAACATACTGAGCAAGTTCCGATTGACCCAGTACCGTTGCTCATCTGCGCTTTTGATTAGTCGGGGTTTGCGTGGGGTTGACAGAGGGCCAGATTTGGGGGCAGTTCGGGAGTTCAGGGTGGGAATATTCGGTTACTTCGAGGGGGGGGGGGGAAATGTCTGATAAGGGCTGAGGACATGCTTGGCTCTGGGATCAAAGCAGAGCTTCGAATTCGCGAGGATTCAGCTGCGCAGCCCTAAAGCGTACGTCGTGGTCCCAACGCCCGAAAGCCAAAGCCCTTTCGGATTCAAGTATGCGCCCAACTTTTTAGCTTTGTGTTGGGGACCCGAATTTGTTTAAACCTCTGCGGGCTTTGCAAGCTCAATTACCCATCAGCTGCTCTGCCTTCACCTGGACCACGTGGACTTGGCTCTTGGTGTGGATCCTGCCATTGCACTGGCTCAGGTCACCACAGTAGCTCTTGCTTACTCCACCGATATTATTCTCCTGTGTGTTTGCGAAGACCCTCCAAGCTCGTTCCTGGATCTGGTGCTAGGAAACCTTGAAAATCGTTGGCTGCCCCTTCCCGACCAAGATCCGATCTTTGGCATGGGAAGAAATCAAAATGGGAGGGGAAGAGCGACAACTGAGGCAACCTTGTCCCACAAACTTCAATCATGCTTTTGACACGCGCTTAACCTGAGATGTGCTTCGTCTCTGGCAAGAGGATCCACGAGGATGACGACGATTCGCGTGTTATGACCACGCTATGACGACTTGGACCGCAAGCTTTCGGCAAATAGGTAGCCAACAGGTGTTGCCATCGCCAGAGCTATCACAATTGCAGACAGTTGCGTGGAGCTCAAGGAATTCTGCAGAAAGAAGCACGTAGCAAAGCCAAGGGAAGACTGCAACATGCAGTTGGCAAACGCCCCCTCCGATTTCTCCCCCGGGAAGAAATCTGAGAATGTTGCTCTATTCGTGGACTCATACACAGCACGGAAGGAGCCCTGCAAGAGGTACAAGCAGAGCAACAGCCAGCCCCATCCGGAACAGCCCTGCCAAGTCAGAGCCGGAATAGCAAAAGCACAAGCTGCCCCTGTAATGATGATGGGACCTTTGCCAACTTTTGCTCCCAGAGGTCCATAAGCTTTTGCAAGGACGGCGGCCGTCAGCGCTGTCACGGCCCCAAGAAATGCAACATATTCGGCTCCCAACTCTTGAGCCGCGTACCTTGCATTCACGAAGCCGTTCATGTAGGCGGCACAGAAGCCAAAAGCCAGGTTGGTCGGGGCAAGGAGCCAAAGGGTGGGGTCCGACCACAGAGACACCGCCGCGAGTGCCTTGCTCAATGGGTCTGGAGCCTCTGAAGATGAGCGGAAGTCGTAGACTTGGGTCATACCGATCAAGGAAAGTGCGCCGGTTGCGAAGTAGATTAACCCAATCTGGGACACTTGGAGGCCCAGTGCTTGTAGGCCAGAAAAACCCAGCTTGCTGAACACCTCGAGGAGCAAGTAATAGAACGCGAACTGGCTGGACAGTTCAGCTGTGGCATCTTCACGAGTTTGCCCTGAGCTTTTGGAAAGCTGGGTTGCAGACTGTGCAAAATATGCCCCTTGAGCTGTCCACAGAACCCCTGCAGCCAGGCCACCACAAGCTGATCCTATCGTGAAGAGGAGCTGCGTGGCCTCTCCGTAAAGGAGCGCCAGCGCAAAGAAGCCGATGTACACGCAGTAAAAGAACATCCCAAAGACAAGGCCGCCCTTTGGACCGAAGATGCTCACTGTGGGCGCACCAAGGAACAGCGAGCATACTAACGTGACAGCATAAAGAAGTCCGTTTCCGAAACTTGCAACGTCAAGCGGCAGCAGCGTCGTTGCAACTGCAAGTGGAGTCGTGACTACTCCGTGATTAAGGGCAAAGCAGATGCTGACAAAAGTGAAATTGGCACGGACCTCATCTGCGCTGTAGGTACATGGATATTGGTCTTCGAGAACTTCGGAATCCTTCGATGCTTGGTGGATTTGACGGCTCTTGATGTGCTGCCGCTGCCCACGACGCATCCAGTGCATCCAGGTAAAACCACATGAGGCACCGCTAAGAAGGCATGCGCTCCGACTGCCAAACAATGGAGCCTGATACGCTCCAGCCAGGGACTGCGAGAGCGGGTGGGAGATTGGGTGCGAGAGCGAGTGTGAGAGCGAGGGCGAGGGCGGCGACAGGTGCCAAGCGAGCGATGGCTTGCAATCATGGCGACTCTCTGCCCCCGGCAGCATCATGTTTCTAGACGCTAGAGTACGATGGTTCAGCTGAATGTTAAAGCCTCTTCCATTGCATCACTACGGAGTTTACCTCAGTTGACACTCTGGCAGAGGCAAGGCAAAGGCATCTTGAGCCTCACATGTCTCAGTCACTGTACTGTTAGGCACACTCAGCATACTCAGAAAGGCTGCTGAATCGAGGCTTGAGCCTGACACTTCAAATGTGCGCACCATGGAAGTGAAATTGACAATCTGCAACACGCGGCGCTGCCGGACCGGAAGCATCTGAAACGCAAATCGTGCGAAGGCGAAGTCGTTGCAAACGCTTGCCGGTCAAATCTAGCCAGCCTCCATTGACGATATGGCCACAGCAGGCGACGTTCGAACCTGCTGCGGACATGAAGCTCGGACTGAGCATGGATGATGGCACATGCTGATTGCTGTGGCTGCTATGCTGCTGTGATATGCGTTGCGCTATCTATCTGGAACAGCACTTGGCACGCTGTTGCTTTCTGCCATTGCCTCTGTCTCAAGCTGTGACGTCCTTCGAAGGGAAGGCATACGTACGATGGACAGTCATTCCAAACGTGCACTTGCATGATCCTGCATCGTCTTACATTCCAAACCGGGGACTCCCCCCCCGATGACCCCGTCCGTCTGGTCAGGTCCACCACCTTGCTGCCGGACGTGTCCACTTCACGCTGCAGGCCCTTAGAAGATGAAACTTTGACATCGGCATCACACCTCCATGCACAACGAAACGCGTGGGGTTCTCGTCCTACACTGAGGCAGCCGCCTTCAGTGCTAATGTGAGCTTGTCGAACCTCACTTCGCTTCGCTCGACCCCGTATCTGTTCGTGTTTCTCTTGCTACCATTCACATCGAAAAACCTCTTCCTTGCTTAAGTTGTCATTGCAAAATATTGCAAAGCAAGGGCAAGAGCACACTTTCAAAGACATCAGCCAAACAACCCCGATGGCATGAACACCCTGACCCTGTCAGACAATGATTGCTTGCTGGCTGCTCTCGTCGGAGCTCACGAGTCTGCATCTTGAACTCGCTCTCAAGCTGCGACCTTGGTTGCCGACGCCGCAACTGCTGTAGGACATACAAGATCATGCAAGGCATACACTGCTCTTTCGGAGATGTATCGTAATTAAACATACACCGTCCGCGTCTCAACATTGAGCACTCTGAGTTAAAAGCTTCGCATTCTGGAACTCGATATCAGCTCCAAAAACATCGGACACCATCTCGGACAACTCTTCCTTGCCTGAGTCCGCAGTAGCCGTGCTCGGAACCTTCTGCCCTTAAGCCTTAGGCCAAGCCCTGAATCCGCTCCGGAAGGACTTTGCGCTCGCCTGCTTCACGACGGTTGAAGAACTTCATGGCTGCCGCGGCATCTTGCGGGAGAACGCCCTGCATACTGAAACACCCAGCCACGAGGATAGCATCAAAGTGCAAAGCTGCAACAACCTTGCAACTGAAAGAAGTTGTAAATGCGCGCTTACAGCGCCTCGATGAACTCGAAAAGCTTCCGGAAGCGTTCTAGCTCGGCCTTGACACCGATATCAAGACTGACAAGCCGAGCCATCGTGCTCGAAAGTCTCTCTAACCGCCTGCACGTCCTTCCATGATCCGCCCATTCCGCTGGAGGGCCTCTGCAAGCATGAAACCTAAACTGGAGATGTACAATGCCTCAGACCACATGCCTCTCACTATGTCCGAACATCGGCACTGAGGCATCTGGCTCGGAGGTTTTTGAAGCTGCCTTTGATGCTGTGCTGTGGCTGGCTAGCGGCTTTCTGTCCTGGAATGCAGGCCACGACAGTATCTCAGCATCGACACACTCCTGCCCATCAACGCGCTAAGAGACGCTGGGCATGTCGAAGCACTCGCGCCCGCAGTGCAGACAAAGAAGCCAGGCTGATTATCGATCCACTTCGACTTCGGACCTGCATTGACAACACGTGATTTGGAATTGTCGATTTGACACGGCTGCACCGAATGGCTTCCAAACAATAAAGCAAAAACCTGTATCCACCTAAACTGGCTGGAGCCTGTGGGATGCTTCAGCTGAGGGTCTGCGAGTGGCACCCAAAAACCCCATCTCATTAGGGCCGAATAGGGTTCTCATGCAGCAACCCGTGGATCACCTTAGGCACTCTTGCCGGTTTCTGGGTCCGGGCTTTGGTCTTTTCGTCAATTTTGTACCTCTTGGGCAAAACTTCTGCCAAAACTCCTGTTGGATGGTTTTGGGGGCCGGGCGGGGGGGGCCACTTCCTCTACATTTTGAAAGGACCTCTCATGGTCCACGGGCACAGCAGCCCTCTCCGATTGCAGCATAATGCTCGTATGGCAGGGATTCGCATGCTTTTTGAAGCAACTCCACTTGATGGCCTAATTTCCCTTAGCCCTAAACTCTATACTTGAAGAGTTGATTAGAAGCTGTATCTTCATTGCTGATGTTAGTTGCTTTGTTTGTGCGGTTGCATTGGGATTTCGCAGTCATTGCACAGGTTCCATACACTTGTTGTGCTTGCTTGACGCCGGCTTTTGCGCACTCCCTCCCCCCCTCGAAAGAAGCGCGCCCGTTTGCAAACACGATGCTCTTATACCGGACAGATACGCATGTCTTTCGAGGAATTCCTGATGGCACGGACATTAATGCAAGCTTGCGCGACCTTGAATAGCAACAAGGGGCTGCCGCATGCTGGGTTCGGACAAAAATCAGATGGGTGTTGAAGGAATGTCCACTGATGGCACGACGTTTGAAACGAGTTTCGCATGGCTCAGGGAGCAAGGGGTGCATGGGGTTGGGGGAGCAATGCTCATATGATGGGTTTGGAAACTTGACGTGCGTTTGAAGGAATGTCGGCATGTCCAGTGATGGTACGACATTCTTTGGAGCAAGTTTTGCCAAGTGAGGGCGGGGGAACAGAATGCTCGCATGATGGGTTTGGAATGCTTCATATAATATGGGTTTTTGAAGGAATTCGCTGTAATGGCACGGCTTGAAAGAGCTGGGGGCTTTGCGACCCTCCTCCCCAGCCCCTGCATGTGCAAACGCAATGCTCGTATGGTGGGGTTGGCAGGAGTCGCGTGTTTTTATTTTTTCATCGGAATGCCCATTGACGGCCCAATATTCTTGGGAGTGAGTTGGCATGGCTCCAGGAACCATGGGATTGCAGCACCATTGGACAGTGGACGACGAGATTAGCCCCCACCACCAAAAAACAAAAAAAGGAGGATGCGCGTGAATTTGGGGCGGGAAGGGGTGAGGAGGGGGGCTGTTCGGCCTGACCTTCCCGAAGCGCAGCACATGCAGGCTCGAATACAAAGATCAGGCCTCGCGCGATCGGCTCTCCAACTGCTGGAGTCTTTTCTCGGCCTTCTCTTGGAGCTCCTCCCATCGAACATGTTAAAGACAAATACTCGGCAACGGGGCTGCCTGATGCAGGAGCACCCTGCGACAGTCCTCCACATCTTGGAGCCGAGTCATCAGTCTTTCGAGCTCCTCGTTGGAAAGCAGCGCCTCCTGTGCACTGCTAGAAGTCTGGCGATTCACGCACAGAAGGAGCTTTGGTCCAAGCCCCAAAGAACAAGAGAATGGCAGGTCCCATCTAACGCCGAGCCCACTCTAAGACCGGACCCCACTTTCAGAGAGAAGGTTCTTACGTGTCAGCAGCTGCGGTGATAAGTTCTCCTCTCTCCATGCATGCGGCTTTTGTTTGTACCCAAAAGAAGGATGACCTGCCTTGTTTCTGCTTGTGTCTTCAGGAGCTGGCTCCGGAAGCTCCTTGCGAACTTCCTCCTGTGTGACTGCGGTGACGACCTTTGCATCACTAGCAGGCTGCGGCTGCGGCTGCGATGTCTGCGATGGCTGCGAGCGAAGCGACTCGAGAGACAGCTGCATCCTGTGGATGGTGGCTTCCAAATGAGGCACGTTCCTAGCCTGAGGTAAGATGTCTTCAGTCTGCTTCAGAGCTGCTTCCATTGCTGCTAGCCGCTCCTGTACAGCAGCCAAGTCCAATCGGATTCTGGAGTCAACGCCGGCTCCACTGGCCTCTTGTGTGGATGGGGTCTCTGTCAACGATTCTGCGCTCTTTGTTTGCTGTGCCTGTTGCGCTTCCTGCTGTGCTGGAACCTCCTGGGATCTGAGTATTTCGGACACGCTCTGTGCAAGGGTGTCCAGCTTCCTCTGCAGATCGAGCATCTCCTCCGGCAAAGGCGCTGAACGCCCTTGTTCGCTTTGCTTGGCCTCGGCAATGGCCTGAGTCGCTGCCGTTGTGGCGGCCTCTGTAGCTGCCGCCACAGCAGCCGAAAGAACTGCACCAACATCCAGCCCCGCATCAGCAGGCTGCGAGCTTGCATGCAAATCTGCGGCTGAACTGGGCACTGCAGGAGCTGGACCCACGTCCTCTTGCGGAGCCGTAACAAAAGCTGTCTCGGCCGGCTTGACCCCTCCATCCCTTGTGGGGGGATTGGGGGCATGTTCCGAGGCGCTCTGATGCGCAAGAGAAGTTTCTGCGGCAGAAGGCAGACTGGCATCGACAGGCGATGTAGAAGGTTGACGTACCTGAACTGCAAACGATGTGCTGGACATGGCGAGCTGTACTCTGAGGCGGCCTCGTTGCGCAGCTCCTCAACTTGCCTCGATCCAGGAGCTCCATTGCCGTGCTACCAAGCTCTGCGCAGCTTCAACTCGCACCTCTCCAAGCCTTCCAAGCGCCCGGTAATGGCACTCAAAAGAGCCTGGTCAGCCTGGAAAGGCCGCTTGGTGCCATCATGTGCAGACTGTGCTTGTCAGGAGTTTGGCTGAGATCTGCGCGGAGGTAGGGACTCCCGTCACAGCTGGCGTCTCGGACCTTATTCATTGCAAGCCACACAAGAAACGGAATGATGCACCAGCCATATCAGCTGGCAGCAAGGGTGCGGCGCCACCAAACCATCAGTGTGATCCTCCACAGGCATTGCTGTCGTCACTCATCTTGCCATTCATTAGTCAGCACAAATAGTTTCGATTGTTACTTCTATTCATACTCTCATTACGTCTGTTGCTACTACTACTACTACCACTACTACTACTACTCCTACTACTACTCCTACTCCTACTCCTACTCCTACTCCTACTCCTACTCCTACTGCTACTATTAGCATTATTATTACTACTACTATTACTACCAGTATCATTACTAAAACTACTTCTACTACCACCACGACCAACACTACCAACACTGCCACTACCACCACCACGACCGCCACCACCACCACTACCACCACCACCACCACCACCACCACCACCACCACCACCACCAAGACCAATACCAATACCAATACCAATACCAATACCAATACCAATACCAATACCACCACCACCACCACTACCACCACTACCGCGACAACTACGACTACTACGACTGCTACGCCTACTACGACTACGACGACGACGACTACTACTACTAGCAGAAAGGTGCTATTCCGTTTTCTTTTGTCAAGACGACCCAGCCATGCCAAAAAATCCGAAACTTGACCTCCGGAAGCTTGAAAAGGGGCCCTCTGACTTTGAGGAGGGAGCCCATAGGAAAGCGGGTCCAACATAATGAAGAGCATGGCCAGAGGACGTCACACACAGCCTCCGGTCCTCCGTGTCTTCCGCGGCAATGCTGGAGGAAGAGACGGGATTCGGAAGAGGCGGGATGCTTCCCTGCGCCTGTGCTGCTGGGGCGTTTAGCTAAGTAGAATTGCTTGCAGAAGCCGAAAGCCACAAGCAGATGCCGACATAGACATAGTCAAGAGCTACATTAAGTGGAGAGGACCGACAATGGCAACAAAAAACACAACAGTAGCTAATGTAGCTAGTATCCAGTGCTGAATAGCCAGTAACTCGGTTGCCGAATCTCACCTGCGGCGGTTGTGGCTGTGATGGGGGCCGCGGCTGCGATGCTGCCGCTGGCAACGTCGCGGTTGGCACCTGTTGCGGCACGACCTGCGCATCCGGGCTTGTAAACATTTCGCGTCAAGTCAGGGTTACAATGCCCGCGGCCTGTGGCCGTTGCTCGAGGCTTTCGAGCCTGAGGGATGGCGATACAGCGCGTGCTCTCATCCAAAGGCTAATCGTGGCACCTGATGTAAGTTGTTATTGGAACTTTTGATTAATCCTCTTGCCCCGTCTCCATTTCCCAGTTGGGTAGGGGTCTAGATCATGGCATTTGCATGCTGTACATTGGATTTACTTGCTGACGCCCGGAAGCGTCTACATGCAAGCAAAGCATGAGATGGGCTTTCAGGAGCTGCCTTGAAAAGACGTCATCATTGATGCGCTTCAGCTGGTTGCACAAGGAATCCTGAGAAGCAGAGGTGGGCAGTCGACTTCCCTTCACAGCCACTCATGTGTAACTTGGGGTTGCGACCGTCACGTCGGCGAGTTCCTTCTGCAAGCGTTCAGCAGACTCTCGATGGCGGTCACTGAGGGCGCTCGAGATATTCTGTACCTCTGCAACTGATCCAGCATGCTGGCCCACATCTAATAATAGCAATAATAGAAATAATTGTAAAAGTAGAAATAGTAATAGTAAATGACAATATACCGAACAAAAGTAATACTCGTCATAATAGTGATCATAGTAAAAAATAATAATCGTAATAATAGTAATAATAGAATAATGGCAATAATAGAATAATAGTAATAATCGGAATAATAGTAAGAATAGTAAGAATAGTAATAATAGCAATAATAGCAATAATAGGAAATAATAGTAATAATAGTAATAATAGTAATAATAGTAATAATAGTAATAATAGTAATAATAGTAATAATAGTAATAATAGTAATAATAGTAATAATAGCAATAATAGTAATAATAGTAGTAATAATAATAATAGTAATAATAGTAATAGTAGTAATAGTAGTAATCGTCACAATAATATTAATAGTAATAATAATCAAGCTTTGAAAGCCTCGGCCATGGTCCGCTCTCGCTGTCGCTCCAAGTCGCTCGACCGCGGAAGCGAGCCAACCTTCTCCCAACGCTTCCAACGCTCCCAGTCGGGTCATGCCAGGAACTACGCTAGCTACGCTGGCGGCCTCGTGCTTGATGGCATTGATCTGCATCACAAGCATCTCCTCCTCTCATCTTTGAGGAGAGCCCGTGAAAATGGATATCGAAGCTGCAAAATCTCTTCAGGCGCCTTCATGGAAGCACGGGAGCCATCCTGTGGCTGCCTCAGCGACTCAGTATGACTCAGCTTCGACTTCGATCTTAACCCTCCCTCTCTTCTGCTGAACTCTGCATTCAGGGGCTTCTTGCAATGACGTGGCTTGAGCTCAGATATGTCTCTCTCGCAACGGCATGATGCTTTTGGGAAGGAGTCTCATAAGAAACTGCAAGCGGTTGGTTGCCGCCAAACTTCGCAGAATTGGGAATTGCCGTTCTGGACACAAGTATTGCTGGTCATCGTCGTCGCACACAGTTCAGCAACTACATACCGGCACGCAGCGTCGTTTTGGTAGTCTAGCTGGGTGGGTAGTTCGTGAAACGCAGGCGTGTTCTGGAATTGAGGCTTAGCAGATTTTGAGTCATGAGGGTAGGCGTTATGTTTACAGCCTTTTGTTGACATTCTGTCGCAGTCTCTCTATGTTGAGGCCGAATCTGCAGGCCCTTAGGCCGCTCCCCCACGAACATCACAACACCAGGTCTCCTGATGAGTCAGGCTAAACAGAGGAGGCGCGGGGCCCCGTTTGACGTTAAATCCCTGAGTCTGAGATATCGCTTTTGCCCAAGACAAGAAGGTTGCTAAGAAAAACTCCTGCAAGCTCCACATTAGCTAGCGTTCGTTATTGACAGTATTCGGATTTGTTGCAAGAATGTTGGTAGCAATTGTCGCAAGAAAGACAATAATCGCACTGTTCGAGCCATAGTGATAAGAGCAGTAAGAGCAGTAATCGTTTATGGCAGCAAGGACAACAATAACGCTATTGGCAGCAAGGATAGCACGAGCAGTACTAACCGTATTTTGCGTAATAGTACTGATAGTAGCAGACGTAGTGATGGCCAGAACAACTATGAATGTAAGAAAAAACAGAAAGGAATAATGGTGATCATACTTGTAAAGCAACCATGCTCTAACAGAACAAACACAGGCACGACACTTTTTATAGTAGGTCCCTGTAATATACCATATTGACGGTCACAATTGCAGTACTTGTAACAATGGTTATCATAGTACTAATAGTCATAATAGCAATGATTGTAAGCACAGTAAAAATAAGAAACAGTAGTAATAATAGTAGAAGGAGCACAAGTAATAATGGTATTTATAGTACTCACAGTAGTCATCATTGTAGTAATCGTAGTAATAATAGTCATAACCGGAATACTCGTTATAATCGTGATAACAGCAACGATAGCAATAGCAGTAGTAGTAATAGTAGTACTCGTTTGCAATGGCCAGGCCATAGTAGGATAAACACATGCATCAGTGATGCTTGTAGCAGTAGTAGCAATGATACAACTTCTCGCAACACTGGAACGGAACATGTGGTTTGCCGTGCCAGACATCGCAGCAGCACGAGCGAACTTGCTACTCTACGGGCGCTGTCACATGTCTGTTCCCACGCGCAGGATTTTATGCCCAAAGAAACTTCGCACCGAAAGAGCCCGTGAGAAAGCCGCAACGACGGAAATCCTCGTTTTTCCACAGGCCCCGAATTTGGCCAAAGCAGCCCTAAATGATGTTGAGCAGAGCACAAGCCCTCAGCCTTCGACATTAGAAGCATGTTGCGCATAAGAAAGCATGCTTTAGTGGTCGCTTGGACGCGTGGCTTTGCGATGGCACATGCTAAACTACATTTAGTGAATAACTAAAGCATAAACAACAACAATCAAAATCAACACCTCTCGCGAAATTTCAATGGACGTCTTAGGACATGGAATCTTGGACGCAAGCTCTGTAGAGGCTGCACCAGCCTGCGCCGAAACGGCCGGTCCATCAACGTTACCAACTGGTGTCACAACGCGTGCCTTCAAGCCGTCAACTTGGCTACTCAGGGCATTCAACATGCGGTTCTGCTCCTGCAGGCGCTAGAGATTTGCCCGAGAACCACAGGCTACAGGAGCTGGGGGCACGGCCTTCACTGAGGCTACCAACCAAGAGAAGCCCTTAACGAGACGATCATTGGAGATCTCGACGGAGCCTGTCACAAGCCTCAGCAGAGAGTTCTGCTCGCCTTTGCTCGGTGAGTTCTCAGAGCGCTTAATTCCCACGTACACACTCACAAGGGATCTCAGAGTGGTTCGGCTCCGCATCGAACTCGAATGGTTGGGTCGGTAAAGTCGCCATTCCAAGAAACGCGTTGGGGACCTGAGCAATACATGAGTCGGACCAAGACAGACGTGTGATGCAACGCCACCACTGGGAAACCGACTCCTAATTTTAGAGTGCGGCGGCTATCTACAGCACCGATAAAATTTGCTCAATGTCTTGTTTGCCGTGCTTGCCGGAAAGACCGGATCGTTTCTGATCCCTATGCGTCTCGATAGCCAGCCTGTCATGAGGTGAGACCCTCAATTTTTTGAACCAGCGGCCGCAGCACATGCTGAGTGGCTCAGACAGTCATATGATTCATCCTGAAGCTACTTGGCTACTTCGTGTCCCTTGGTGATCCACTGGTGAATTGACAAAATGATGTTGGGGAATTTGGGCTTCAGGTTAGGGTCTTAGAGTATGTTCCATGCCTTGTCGGGTTAGTCGGCGACTCCACAGGGTTCTTCTTCGAGAGTTGAGGGTTGACCGGTCCTTCACAGGCTTCTACAGCTCAAAGAAAGGGTGCCACTGTCCTGTTCTCGAACAGTCATGCCCATTGGATTCCTTTTTGGGCTTGTTGGTTGCGCCCTCCTTTCTGGTTGTCTACTCAACCGTCGGCTTGGTCCTTCTCAAGCCTGCTTGCGACTCCGCACTTCTTTATCAACTTAGGATTCACGGGTTTAGGGTTTAGGGTTTAGGGTTTGGGGTTTAGGGTTTAGGGTTTAGGGTTTAGGGTTTCTTGGCTAAACGTTCCGCAGGCCTGCTAGAACGAAAAGACCCGGCGAGAGCAAATCACAGTGGAACGCGAGGAAGAGTACCGCGTTTGCATGCGTCCGCACAGCCAACATGCTCAACATAGTCATGCTGCAGATGTTCGGTGGCATCTCTCAAATTGCATAAGCCACCTCTTGACATCTTGTGGCTGCTCAGAGGCTCTTGCTCGCCTGTCTGCAAGAAGACTTGGCGTGGGATACAAGTCATGTTTTCGCCATAATCATCCATCATCACTAGCACTCCTTGCTGGGCAAACGTTTCTTCGGGCACTCTTCAACGTCCGATGTTGAACTTGTTCTGGGCTTCTGCTCAGTGCATTGAGCCAGTGCTCATCAGCCAACTCAACTCGCAACGTCTAGCGCGTGAACAATTGAAACAGCAGAGCGCTGCCCATGCCCATAAAAGCTCCAAATCCAAACCCGGTCTGGCCACTTTGCCGACTTAGCCCCGTCCAAATCCCCAAGTTCCACCAAAGGTTCTTGTTGGGGTGAAAATGATCGCATTTGTCAAGCATAAAGCCAATGTTCAACGTTGCCAAAAGTCAAGCGCAGGATGCTTAGCTGCACTAAGACAAAGAGGAGGCAGCTCCGGGATCTTCCACCGACGCCATCTTTCTTCAGCCCTCCTTTCCCTGTGAATTCGTGGCTGATCATAGATGCCAGTGCGGCCTAGCAGTGCTCACATCACCTGCTCGGATAGCTTTTTCTGCCCGAATGGTGCATCATGACGTCAGTGAAACAGAATGTCATCGTCGTTCTACCTACAAATGCGCATGAATTGGCTGATTTGCTTCGTCCACGAACCTTGTGCACTTTAGGGCGATGCTGTGCACAGCTGGTCGAATGCTCTGGAATGGTCTGGACCTGAGGCCCCTGCCAAGTTGCTATATGCAGGGAGGCGGCTGCCAGGTACCTTCCAAGGAGAAGTAAGCGGGAGCTGAGTTGGCTGTGACATGGAGCGACACTGTTGCAATGGAGGCAAGCGCACGCACAAAGCTGGCCAAGGCAGCTCAGCTGTATTGCGGCAATTCCCAGCCTAGGATGGAACGGAACTTCACGATGGTTTCGCGTGTTGATGATTGAACATGGATAGGTCTGTTGCCCAGTCCCACTCACGGTGTCCGGCTCGAATGCCTGCAGTCTCTGCTGCACAATGGGTATGGACGGATGCAGAGTATCGAGTGGCGCGACGAAGTTGAGTGAATTTAGAGCAACCTGCCTGGAGCCAGAAGTACACAGCCAGACTTTGCTGCACAACCATAACAAAATGCCTTGGCATTGGGCAACAACATCAAACGATCAACTAGTCTGCACTAGTGGCACGAGCTTGCCCAAGCCATTACACTCTGGCCATCGACTCGCATCACGCTGCGTAACCTTCTCATACTGGGCAGATCGGCGTGATGCTGTCTTGGTGCCGGGCGTAAATGTCAAAGAAAACTCAAAATCAGGACTGTCCTGAGCAAACGACAGAATCTCAAGCCTATGCAGTGCAGGAGCTGCCGTCTGGCAGCAAGAGTGCCAAGTAATACCTGCTGTGCTGTCGAAGCACATTGTCGGCTAGAAGTGTTCGGCCAAGGTAGAGCACCTGCAAGACACTGGGCATACTTTGTTTGACCAGACATACCTCGCTGCCGAAGACAGAAGGCAACTGTTCTTGCCAAAGAACTGCTGATAACAGCTCAAAGCTGTGCGCGGCAGTGAAGAGCAGGTTGGCTTCCTGCTCCTCGGCCTTTCCATGGCTTCACGCAGGACAGGGAAAAACAGCCCCCACCAGCAACTCAAGCTCATTCGGTTCCCGGCCAAATGAATGTTGTTCCGCTGCGCAAAGATGCCCACCAACACCGTGACCTACACGAAACCCTTCGTGCATTGATCTGTCTTGACGCGTGCAGCATGGCCGCCGACCACCGTCATGGTCAATGTCGATCGGCGCAGCGCTTGCTTGCCCAGAAGGAACAGCAACGGTGCCAGCATAACCTACGGCCAAGAAAGCCCGGATGCAGATCCAGCAGGCAAGGAAGCACTCAGACCTCCAAAATTGTGGGAATCATTCCGCCGACAGGTCCTTCAAGCCAATAGGCCTGGAACAATGCAGAAGTAGGAACGGCGGCATCAAAGACTTTCTTCTGGCCTTGCTGTGCATCAAGACGGCTGATCTCGCAGCAGCTCCCCCGAACCACAACCTCAAACACAAGCAGTCAATCACATCAAACCATTCTCTCTCTCTCACACACCCGTGAAGAGCGGGATCTTCCTTGGGCACGTGGCAAGGCACATTCCTCCAACAAAGGCGAGGTCTTCCCATTTCCTCAAAGTAGACCACCGCGACGGCATGTATCGTAGCAGCGGGAGCTCTGACCTATGTGCGCGCCTGATCGTAGCACGGCCGAGAGCACGACGATCAGCCGCAACATCACCTGGCAATTGCCCGGGCTGTGGCAGCCACAGCAGAGCCCTGAGGTGAACGTCAGAAAAACGTCAGAAGCCAAAAAGCTACTGGCAGCAGCGCAGCACCCTTTCCTTGTGCTTCTCTGGTACTAGCAATGCGCGGTGTGCGTGAGCATCTCATTTTCGGTACAGTGGTGTCCTTGGGGTTTGACTGAGGTCTTCGATGGATGGCCACAAATCCTGCATGCGCCCAATGTGTGAGACGCCAGCTTTTGCGTAGTTTCATGTGGCCAATGTCATGTCGCTTTGCAAACAGCCAACTCTGAAAAAAAGAAAAACTCATTTTGCGGGCCGAATTTCCAAAGATGCCATTGCCTCGAAAATCGAAGATTGGGAGGTTTTTTTGGACCCATGCACTTGAGATGCTCCTACTTGAGAGCAGCGAGTTCCTGCAGCTTGCACCCGCTCACCCAACCCGGACCCATCGCCCACACACGCACGCACGCCGCCGGCCCGCCCACGCGTGCGCACAAAGAGATCCAACTTGAGAACAGGGCGGACGACAGCTAAAGCCGGAGCCTGCAGACAAATAGCTGGCTTCCGTGACGTTTGACACCCTATTGTCCAAGTCAACAGCGCGGTGGCACAGGATTGTGCGGGTATGTGCGGGTTGCAAGCCAGGAAGCCTTTCAGCTACTTTCGCTGGCTAGCCATGCAGTTGACGAAGCAGCACGTAGCAGGTGTGCTGCTAAGTGCAAGGGGTATGCAGTGTAAGCCCCGTGCCTGCAGGGCCAGCAGCGTGTCTGCCGTCATCAGCACCGGCCACTGTGCTTTTATGGCTTCCCAAGCCTGCCACATCTGTGTTTCACTTGAACCCGAAGCTCCAACAATGAGTTGATCTTGCAACTGATACACGACGAGTCTACATGCGAGGCGCTGACCTCTCGGGAGCGCTCGTCCATTGACTCTCCAATGGTGTCGCCGCGGGATCGCAAGGCAATCACCAGCAGAATGCATGCGAGAGTTCCAATCGCCTGCAGCTCTTCGGAATTTTGTGGCTAGAGCATTCGCGTATCTTCAAACAACAAAGCCTATCTGTGGTTTGCCTCTGGTGCGCACTCTCGCAGCAGTTTCTTGTACTTGTCGGCTGACCTAGTGGCTGGCATATGCAGCCCTTCTCATCATGATCCGTTGCCAGCTGATACCTCACACTTGTGATGAGGGGAGATCAGGCGCAGGCGGAGCTGCTTCACCCGGACGTCCATTGACCGCCCGCCTCTCAATCTTGGTACATGTCCCGGAACAAAGCAGCTGCAAAAGCATGATGCCACATGACGAAGTCTCTTTCTCACACCTGAAAAGCTCCAGCCGAAGCATCACCATAACCACGATCATCCCGAAGAGGGCCTGCGTCGAGGTCTGTCGATCTTTCCCAAAAAGGGGGAAGGAGGGAAGCCAGGCCTCGAAGGTCTGGGCATCGATATGAAAGCCTCCAAGGAAAATACCGTAGGCATCCATGGTGGCCTGGCAAGAGCCATGTTCATCCGTTACAGTTGATAGCTGATCATTACTTTGCACATTCGCAACAGTCGCCCTGCTGCGCGCCTGCTACAATCGTGAAGTCAAAATAGTATCGCGTGATTTAACCGTTCCCGGATGAGGGCTTGAGCTCAGGCACGGCCCAAAGTTAGTGCACGTGATGTGTTCCCACCATCTAACTCTTCCCAGCGATGCTGCGCAAATGGAGCGGGCAGTTCTTTTCTTTTCCGTCAAGGCTCAGGAGAGTCTCAAATTCACTTGCGTAGCATCAAGCTCATTAAGCTCGAGCCTTTTTTCCGACCAGGATCGCCTTGGCACACACAAACTCATCCAAAATCCCCAGGAGCGTCGGCTAGGATGAGCAGGACAAAGGATCAGAACATGGACTGATGGAGAGGATCGACCTGACCTGAGCAATTCGCGATGGATCGCCGCTGAACTCTGCTCGGCTCCTGGACGCAATTGTCATGCCATGCCACGTCAATATAATAATAATAATATTTAATAATAATAATAATTAATATTAATAATAATGATAATAATAGCTTCCAAGGCAAGGCAAGGATAGGCAAGGCCGAAGGCACCCAGATGCACCCAGAGCACCCAGCATGGCACAGCATGGCACAACTTTTGTGCTCTCGGCCAGCGTGCCAGCAGCAACCAATAGCTTCAAATACCTTCTAGCTTCAGATGAGATGAACTGCGAGAGCAGACTGCTGGCAGCGAATCCAAGGCCCCGCTCAGACTTGTGTTGGAAAGATGGGAACCGTGTCGTCCGTCCCAGACATCACATGCTTGGAGCCCTGCATGGCAGCAATGTACAGACATACACGTGTACATATGTATATATGTATGTATATATACTTTTTTTCGATAATCATACATATATGGCACATACCAAAACGACTTTCACATGGACCTCTCAGTCTCGATGCTGAAAAAGCTGAGACAGAGCTAGTCCAGCCTTTGGCTTCGGATCCATGATGTGTTGGATTTTGTGCCTGGGCCAGTCTCTGCATTCTCATTGGGGCCATTGGGATGTTCCCCCCTTGTACTAACAGTCCTTAATGGGGATTAGAATAACTATAATCCCCACTAAGGACTGTTAGTACAAGGGGGAACATCCCAAGCCATTGCCACAATCTCATAGGTTTCCCTACTACCCCTCTCTGTACCACCCCTCCCCCTTTTCTTAGCTTTATTTAGGCTTAATTGTCCCCAAATAGCCTTAATTATGAGGGGAACCGGGGGAGGTTGAAAAGAGGGGGGTGGTAGGGGAACTCTTGATAAACAGCTTCTGAGACTTTGGCTGCTTGTTCTTCGGAGATGTTGGCCGCACAGCGCCCCGCACCTCCTGAGACAGCATCATAGGCTACGATCGAGACACTCTATACATATATATATGTACATATATATATATACATCTATATATACATATATATATATATATACATACAATGAGAATAAGAATAAAAACAAGAATAATATTTGCCTCGGCTTCCTGCCGAGAAGCGTTTGGAACAAGCAGACCTGATCCGGTCTCCTTCCCCCTAACTTCCCCATGCCAAAGTTTGTGACGCACCCCCCGCCCTGTGGGACCCCCCTTCATCGCTTGGAGGAGCTGCAAACCGATGCCGTGGGGGTCCAGAAACCCTATTTCCTCCTTTCCCGTCCGTGGGCCGGCCCGGCTGCCGAGGCGGCGCGCGCAAGCGTTTACCATTAATAATAGACGACGACGACGACGAGGGCGGCGGTGGCGACGGCGACGGCAGATTCAAATAATTTCACAATATAGTAATAACAATACTAGTAACAATAATACGAATATAAGTGTAACAATAATAAATGTCAGAATAGTGATAATAATATTAATAATTATTATTATTATAACAGAAGTAGTAGTAGGAGTAGTAGTAGTAGTAGTAGTAGTAGTAGTAGTAGTAGTAACAATAATAATATTAATAATAATAATAATAATGATAATTCCACGCACTCACCAACTGCACTGAGAAGATCTCGCAACGCTGGCCAGAAGCGTCTCAGATGCCCAGGCTCCTTTTGCTCGATGTACTCGCGCCAACCGGTTCTGTTTGGAGTCACCGGGCAGAATGGATTGGAACTCTTATGCAGCGGCGTGACCTTAGGTTCACAACGAGTACGTCCGCAATCGGATCGAGGGCTTAATGGGCCCATTTGGCGAGAGCCCCAGCAGCCTCAGCCTGACAAGCCTCACAAGTCAACCGCCTGACGAGAACCACTGAAACGAAGCCAACACTGGAACGAAGCGAGGCATGGAGCTGACTATGTCCTGAAGTATCGCATCCATGACTGAGCGCTGCTTTCACTAGGGCATGAGCCCTTGGCAGGCAAGTGGTCCAAGCGAAGTATTTCGTCCTGCAAAGTTCTTCCCTGTGTTTGTAAAGCCAAGGTGTCATCCCGAACGCACGACAACATGCACTCCTTGCAGGAGAATATGGGGCGGTGATAGCATCGTCTTTGGCAAGTCTTTGCACAAAGCCATTAGCTCTCTTGTCGTACATGTCCTGTGCGATCGGAAAACAATAATGAGAACGGATGCGACATGTAGCTTATGTATTGCCTGGTTGACAGTTCTACTTTGAGCACTGGTAAAAGTGATTGCTTGGTCGCTGGCGTTTCGCACAGCAATTACGAGATATTAACAACTCGAACAAGCTTGAACAGCTTCTAAGGCCTGGATGGATCGAGCATGCCTCTGATTCGACATCACGGCATTCCGGGCCTACCACAGAAGGCAGAGACATTCGCCATGGATTGTCCCTCAGATCAGCCGATGCCTTCGGGCCCATGTAGTACTGGTAGTGCCAATCAATCACTCGCCACTTGAAGTCCTGGCGACAAGGCATGCGTCAATGGTTAAAAAGATGCAAAACAACAATTTCGAACAAGGCTGAACTAACATGAGCTCACGTGTTTCAATGCGCTGTCCTCGATCCAAGGTGATATGCCCATACCTCATGCCCAGCAAAGCAGTTTCAGTCATTCTGAGACTCACTGAACAATGCAAGCAGATCCGACACTTGTCAAGTGCGTCTGGGAAAGCTCGCGTTCCATGTGCACCCTGTGCTTGATGAAGTCGCCCTCTCGCCGAAATCGGAGTGCCATGGCTTCAGTAGTGCTCACCCTGTTGCATCCACGGCTTATCAAAACATGATGGCGCAGCTTCAGGATTGTTCGTGGCTGTATTTGACATGGCATTGGCTCCAGCAACTGACCCCGCGTTGCTTTCTAGCAAGGCGTACTTAATGTCACAAAAAGTTACGTTGGCAACGTTCAGTCACGTTCGCTGCTGCGAGCTCGCTGCGAGCAAGAGGTACACATTGGATCCGATACGGGCAACAAGCCCTTGAGTTGCTTGAGCACATGGCCAACAATGAAATCGGTCCGTTACGACGACTACTTATTACTTCCGAATCTCTTGCTGGAAAGATTCACGCAAGTCCTGCCTCACGCTCTCTTCTGATGCAGAGAAGTTCGGGCACAGCGACATCAAATCCAGCCAGCAGAAGGTCTTCCTGCGTCGGGGTCTCTCAGGAGAGCAGCTGAGAGGCAGCCCTCTATTGGCTCCAAACTCCAGAATGCTACAGGATCCGTCCTCGATATCATCCGCTTGCATGGGTGGAGCCTGTGGCACATTTGCAAAGTTACGCACAAGTCATGTCGGGAGCCCCACTTGGACAAGCACACTTGGCAGAACCAGGTCCAAGATCGACTCTGATGCTGTACCTCGAACACGCAAACTGCTTGTTCAAGGGATCTGCACAAAGATATTGAAACACAGCTCCCTGAGCCCTTGGCCCAAACCAGTCTCGCCCACTGTGACAGCAACGATGACCTGCCTTGAAACTGTGCAGAACAAGCAAAAGCTCATCAGCTTACAATCCAATGAATCTGATCCACATCTAGATGTGCCAAGTGTAAGTGTATGGGAATCTCGTGATCGAATCAACACTCAGAATCCGGATGACAAGTGGCGTTCATGTGGAGCACGACAATTGCATTCTAGCGGCCACCAGCAAGAGTCCAGGTTTGGGATGTCTCTGTGCACGTACATGCTAAGACTGCTGATTGTTCTGGCTACGCTACATCATCTCCGGCCACGCATACCAGGCTTATCGAGGCAACATGATGTTTTCTCGGCACACCCTCCGGGTCCAGCTCAACGAATGGATCTGAACCGGTACGGGTCGCATGGAGGCTCGTGATCCATATGACATCCCTGCGACACTTGACCCCCACGTCCCATGAGCGGAGAGAGGGAGAGAGAGAGAGAGAGAGAGCGAAACAGAAAGAAAGCAACATGTTTTCCTTGCGGTTCTCCCCGATCCGATTAGCCCTCTGGCGCTTCTCCAACGAGCACTTTCACCATATCACTGGCGACCTGACAAGTGCAGCCAGATCGCCCACCAGGCTGCAGAAAATCGCGGACATGCGCGAAGAGAAGTCTCCTGACCTGGCAAGTGCAAAAAACAAAAACAACATAATACAACAATGACAGATTGCTGCGTATCACTGTGTCGCGCCTCTGCTGGGTAAGGCTCCAAAACATTCGAAAGCACTACGGCATCGGGGCCTGGGGTCAGGCAATGGCCAAGCTAAGCATCGGAGCCACGCCCTCAAGTTGGCCATAAGTCCTCGCACATGCGCATGCTGAGCTGGCATCTTTCCGGGGGATAGTACTCCAGAAGGTTCTCGGGTATCACCACGTCCATCCGCGTAGACCTAGTGCATACAAACATCTGTGGCAAGAGCTCGTTGGGGACTCCAGGCGCATGACGCTTTTTGCGCCATCGCGGGACACATCTCGACCTGAGCTTGGTTCGCAGCTCGCGCTGCGTCAAGTGGGCATCAACGACACCCCTTGACAGGCTCCAGACGCCAACAATGTCTCGGCGATGAGCCTTCCAATCGTTGGCATGTAGTGGGAAACGTGAATAGGCCAGAGATCAAAGGGCCTGGTGAGCACCACAGTAAATCAAAGGCGAAAGGACCCATGTCGTCCACCCGCCAAAAAACAGCGTCATGAGGATCGTAAGAACACAAAGTGACCGAAAGCTGGCACCATGAATGCCGAGACTTGATTGGGTTGTGCATGTAACTGGAGCCAAAGGAGACATAGGAGACACAGGAGACTAGCATCCCAAGGCAAACATCGTGAGCATCATGAGTACCAGACCGAGCATCACGGCAATCTCCTGGCTTCTACCCCATGCGCGTGCAAGTTGCATCGTTCAAGCTGTGTCCTTGTGTGTGAGTTGCATTGCGCCGATCTCGTGATTGGAGCTGCCACTGTGCTGAATGCTGGGCTCTAGTGCACCGTGTTGTCGTGGTCTGGCCCTTCTGCTGATCGCATGGTGCCCTACAACAGTCACCATGCCAGAACGTGTGGCTGACCTCCTTCGCCAGCAGCCCAGAGCCACATCCGAGCTCCAGCACGCTCTGACCTTACACAAGCAGAGCGCAAGGAGCTGCACTTACAGGTTTGCCGATCCGGAGGATGGTCAGTAGCTCGCGTTCCTCGCTCATGTCAGCCCCGGGCTTGAACGTAACAGGGACCCCAAGTGTCTCAACACCTGGAATTCACGACTACTATCACTTCACTCCCTATTACCCTGCAGTGGAGTTGCCTCCAGCCGCCCAGACTCCTGACTGACCTCATGGACAATCCACGTAGCCATGATTCCGCATGCTGCAGCATGCATCTGGCACTCGTGAGCCGCTCCAGCTAGGCAACCGGACTCGGTCCAGCTCGTCTGGATCAACGCCTCGTGCGCACTGGGTTGCTTTTGCTGCATCTGGCCCGGTGACCGAAAGACTGCGGGCGGAGGTGCTGGTGCGGGTGCAGGTGTCTGTGTCTTGTCTGTCTGTATCGTTGTGTGAATTCATGTGACGTCTGCTAGAGCTTGCTTTCGTGACCTAAGCTGTTTTCCTCTGCACTCGCCCTTAGTGCGCTTATGCCTGCTTGCGTCGACCACCACCACCAGCACCACCAGCACCACCAGCAGCAGCACCAGCAGCACCAGCAGCACCAGCAGCACCAGCAGCACCAGCAGCACCAGCAGCACCAGCAGCACCAGCAGCACCAGCAGCACCAGCAGCACCAGCAGCACCAGCAGCACCAGCAGCACCAGCAGCACCAGCAGCACCAGCAGCACCAGCAGCACCAGCAGCACCAGCAGCACCAGCAGCAGCAGCACCAGCACACCAGCAGCACCAGCAGCACCAGCAGCACCAGCAGCACCAGCAGCACCAGCAGCACCAGCAGCACCAGCAGCACCACAACCACCACCCTGCAATCACACTCCGCTGAAAGCAGGTGAGAAGATATGTGACTTAAATAGCTTCTAGAGCAAAATTGGGGTACTGCTGGCTTGCTTTACCCATGAAGACAATGCCCGTCCTGATCCAGGTGCTTTAACGGAATCTTCACCGCATACCACTTCAAACGAAACTGTTACGACTGCTACGCGTAAGGCAGGGGCGACTCCACCATGAGTGCAAAGTCTTTGGCACTCCGTTGGGTGGATCGATCTTGCACGAAGCAAGTGGAACAGCAGCTCAAATTTGCGCATACACCCCGAGTCCATCCAAGTCCCACAAGCCTCAGGCGATTCCATGAGAGACGGTGACGAAGGGGCATGTCGCGATTTGTCGCGACTTGCAGTATTGTACCCAGAAACTGCATGGGCTCTATCGTATCATCCATGCCACAATACATTGGAAGATGTGTTCAACAGCTATGTCAGCTATGTGACAGATCACACTAAACTTAATCAATCTCCTCTGTTTTGGCCATGGATGGGATGAAGCTTTTGATGGCAGGCATGCGCAGGGATTCCCGATCACGGTCACACGCATGCAGCAGGGCATTTTAATGGGTGCGTGTTTGGTATTTGGCTGTTGGGAAGTGGAGGCTCAACACCCAGGCTCAGGGTCTACACGGTCCTACACTTGCTTAAAGTCCATTGCAGTTCTGTATGGCGAAAGAATGCACAACAACGTTGTCTTACATCGACTCCCGTGGCAGATCTCAAGCAGCAAGCTCATCAAAGGCAGATTTGTCTCAGGCGTACCCTCACTACAATCAGCTTGCAGTGGGACTTTGGCCCTTTAACTGAGCGCGAGAGGCATCTGCAAGGGGCACCGGCAAAGATTTGTACCGAAAATGAAACAGTATTCAGACCACTTGCAGCCTCATCTTTGGCACTCGGGCTGGCCTCACTTTAAACCGAACCCTTCTGAGTTCGTCATGGCCAGGAGCATCTGCTTTTTCAGCACCTGCTGGCGGTTGAGGCACGGCAATCATGTCAAACTGCTGGCAAGAAACCAGAACCGCTAGATCAAGCACGAACCACATCGAGCTCCCAATACTCGGCCTCCACGCTGCTGTAAAGAGGAAGCAGGAGAAGCGAGAAACACGTGTATGCAGTTGGCAGCCTGCGCTTCGGATCATGTTTGCACGGGCTTCGCGAGTCGTGAGTGCTGACTGTTCGGCGTCTGGCGCGGCGCCCGCTTGTAAACTAGCTTTCGCATGATGCCAGTCTCTTCATGCAAGTTCCCCGAGCTCCTCAATGGAGGTGCAGGCGGGACTCCGTAAACCTACACCCTAAAAGCAGATGCAAGGTGGCAAAGCTTAAGCCCCAAAAGAAGATCTTGGGTGGCAAGCCAAGGAGCCCTAGAAGGCCATACATACATGCTGGGTGGCCTTCCTTACATAACCAAAACATAGGAAGATGTTCCTGTTACCCTAAAAACAGAAGAGGGCCTTGCAGGAGAGCCCTACCCAAGAGAGCCCTAAGAGCCACTCCCAAACCATTCAAACAAAAAACTACAACCTCAGAGAAGCTGGGTCCCTAGTCTCAGGTTGACGATTTCTTTCAAGTCTTGACTCATTAACAGATTTATTATTGTAAGTTTGTTGTCCGCACATTTGTGTGATCTTCAGGTCGGTGCAACCTCTCGACAACTGCTCTGCCTATCTCTGCCTCTTCGCCAAAGACAGCTTGCCCCGCGTGAACCGCCAGATATTCTGCTCCACAAACCATAACTGGGACGTACAGGACACAAGCTTCTTGTGCCTGTCATCTCCGGCCCCATTCTTTTGAACGAGGAGGTGAAGACTTGACCAGCCTGCGGAAACAAAGGCATGACGAGGGCCTGTCAAGGCATGTCATGGCCTGTCATGATGTATCATGGCATGTCATGGCATGTCATGGCATGTCATGGCATGTCATGGCATGTCATGGCATGTCATGGCATGTCATGGCATGGCATGTCATGGCAGGTCATGGCATGTCATGGCATGTCATGGCCCATGGTTTCATATCGTGCTGGGCTGCAAATGTCTGTAGCTGGTACCTCGTACAGGCATTCGATCAGAGGCAGTCACGAACACCAGGAAGCGTTTCTTCTCATCCTGCCAAAGCAAGTTTTGCCAAGCAAGCATCCCATACATTCTGTTGCATTTTGGCTTGAAGTCTTGAAGGTTTTGGGCTGTCAAGTGGTGGGCGCTTAAGACCTCTGAGCCGGAAGACCGAACTCCAGCATGTGTTGGATGGATGTCTGGTCGCTGCGTAGTACCGTACTTTGGCATGGAGGATGCCCGATGGGAACGTGAAGCCTCGACGTATTCATCGTCCGAAATCGTGTGCACATCCGCGTCGCCGAGGCGCGACTTCACGCGTGAAGCCACATTTACAGCAGATTCACACACTTGTCTGTCGGGGCTGTCATTCCAGGGACCTCCGCCAAAGGGAAGGCGACTTTTCTTCGAAGTCTGCAGCTGTTCATGGCGGCTTCGTGAATCCACAACGCTCCATCTCAACACTCGCCTGCTGATCTACGCGCTTCTGTGCAGGCTAATCAGAGCAAACTCCAAGAGGTTGGATCGTACAATAATCACAAGAATCACAATGATAGCAATAACAACAATCTTCCAATGATTGCTCACAATCATCACGAAGAATGAACGAAACAGGGTCTTTGAGGCAGTAACAAAAATAGTAGTAACAACAATGACAACAAGATTAGACACAACACAAATATAGCAACACTAACAATGATCATTGTCACACGAGAACTAACATGGAAATAACAACAATAACGACAACAATAACAAATTTCAACAACGACAATAACTCGGCAGTGATCTCTCGGTGCCAGTGTTGGCCTTCAGTAGGCCATCAAGCTTTCACTCGGCCAAACTCTCAGGAGTCTGCGGAAACAGCCTCCAAAATAGCCGGTCCTACTTCCCTGATGCCACCGTATAATGTCAACATGCGACTTTTTGGATGGTGTTTCTGGATTAAGGCGGAGTTGACTTTAAGCTTCGGACGAGCCCCCTAGCTTTTCAAGCCAGCGCTTGAAGTCAGCACTTCGTCAGGAATCTAGCGCAGCAGTGCAAGGAGTTCCCAGTCAGCGCGGCTTATTTTAAAGATTCGGCACCCATGGCGCGGTTCAAGATGTTTCAAGATTCCAGCATCTCAAAAACATTCTCGGCTTTTGAACATGGAGTGCCAGCCCACCGAGAGTCTCCTCGGCCAAGCCCTCGATGAAGTTCCAAAATGGCCCCAGGTAGGCAGTCTGTTCCTGCAGGGTTGATGTTCTGTCTTGCGACCTCACTATGACACGCAAGGTATGCGATGTGCACGTGTCGCTTGAACTCGTGTCGCCTCGAGGGTCCATCCCTCGTGGTCAGCACGGCTTCGAACTGCAGCCATGTCAACCTGCTGCCAGAAGGGAACTGGCTGCAGTTTGCAGAACAACTAAGGTGTAGAATCGAGTCTTCCATGAAGAAAAACAAGCTGGGACAAGGAGCAGGGCGCTGAGCGCCAGAGACCTCAGGCAAAGGGTCTCACTAGGGCAGATGGGTTCTTGATGGTTCTTGCAAGGCTCTCTGTGGTTGAAGCTGCAAAAAGCCTAAGCCCGCTGCCATCCATTCAAGCTGCCTCAGCAGTCAAAGCTGCACCGGTGACCAAGTTGATCCAAGTTGGTCGCCGTGCAGGCCCAAGCTCGCGACTCTGCATCCAACATGCGTAGCATGTCCGAATCCCCAACTACCTGGGCCATGAAGGAGTGCAAGGTGCAAGGTGTGCGGAGGCTGGAAACAAGACCAAACAAGCTCAGTACGGAACCTGCTTGAATCCCCGGCTGAAGGGTTTGAACTGCGCTTCTATGTGACTGCCAAGGCGCCTGAGAGAGGCATCCCTCAGGCTGACCTCTGACCTCTGACCAGGTACAACTGCTAAGGTCCAGCACCAGTCAATGTACGCGTTCACGAGGTCTGACTTGGAGGCCTTGCACACACACACACACACACAGAGGCTTTGGCAGCCGGTCAACCAGTAAACGTCGGCGCAATGCAAACTTGCGCAAAGCTTCAACGCGAAAGGAGAGGGAATGGATAGGAAAGGGAGGGAGGGAGGGGGAGAGGGAGGGCGGGAGGGGGAAGAGATAGCGAGAGCGCGCGAGAGATCGACGGGAGGCGAGGGAGCAAAAAAGGACGTTGCCAGAGGCCTGCGTCAATTGCTGGTCGCGCAGCCTTGCGCCAGTAAGTGTCTGATAGACACAGTGACACAGTGACAGAAGCACAGCGCGCTGACCCATACGCCACGCGCTTCCGGGCTCGCTTCCGGGCTCGCTCCCTGCCTTCCTGTCCGTTCCCAGCCTCTGAGGCTTCTCACGGCTGTCACGACTTCATGCTTAGGCGGACTCAAAAGGATCCTGGCCCAGCTCCCCGAAGTGCTGCAGGATGTCGTCGCCCTTGGCCAGATTTGGCCAGGTCCCCGAACACATCCACAACGGCTTGGTCCAGCATGGTCCAGCTTGGTGAGACCGCGCCTGGTAGTCCAGAACTTGCCGCAGGCCTCTTACAGCCAAGAGTAAAAAGAGTAAGGCGGCTTCTGGCAGTGTGGAGTATTAAGCAGCGAGCTGTGTGCTTCTTCTGGAGCAACTGCAGCCAGGTGGGAGAGGCTGAGCCGGCCATCTGCAGGCCTCTGCTAAGCTGCAGATGCCAGCCCCTGAAACTTTATGCAAGTTGCTGCACCGACTAGGAACTGTACGGGGACTGCAGGTCCCGCAGGAGCAAGTCAAACAAAGTCCTCATTATGCTTGACACTGGCATCTGCAAGGCAGTGACAGCGTGCATAAGGGCAAAGCCAAGGAAAGGCACTGGGGATTAGCACCTTGCCCGGTGCCAGGACGACGTACAAAGCGCAGCAGTGCGGATGAGAGAAAGCATCGAACGAGGCACGAGCGTCATGCACTATGGCGTGGCCCAGCAGGGCTCCAAATGCCTTGTGCAACATGCTGAGGCATTGACATCTATTGGCACATTGCGATCATGACTGTGCCAATCTGGTGGTGACAGGTGTAGCTGGGCGGCAAAGAAGGCACCAGGCCGGTCGACTCTCCCAAACCAATACCTGGAGAGTCGCACGCTTGCTTCAGAATGCCAATTTCGAATGCATCACATACACGACCTGCACAGCATGTCGAAAGTGGGCGCACTGGCGGCTGGAGACTTCTTCGAAGAGTAGGGCAAGAAATGCACGCGTAGCAACCTGCAGGTCGCTCGTACATCGATGGGTTCAAACCAATTCGAGCCAGCATTCGTTCTTAGGTTCGTGCGTGAAAGAACTCTTTCCGAACTCCAAGCCCTTGCCCATCTTCACCTTGGAATGCGACATAGAAAGGCTGCCGCAAAGCTGTTGAGTTGGCAGTCCGCAGTGTCTCCTCGAGTGGTTCCTCGGCCTCTTCCTCTGTGTCCATTTGCATCTCAGAATTCGTGCCAGTTGCGGGGACTGTCGTCACTTCGGTGGAAGAATCTTGCATGTCTTCTTCAGAAGCTTTCTTTATGGGGCTTTCGCAGAAAAACGCCTCGAGATCGGCGACTAGAAGCTCGGGGTCACGCCGTAAAGTCACATGTCTTGCAGGCAACCGTGGCCAGGAATGCCGAATGTCAAGGACAACACAGCTCCTCCGAAAATTGATCGGCAGAATGTTGGTATGAGCAGCCAGACACCGAAATTCTGGCGATGCTGTCGTGAAGTCCTCTGACCGAAGGATATCTGGAAGAGCATGTGTTGCATTCGCTTCGCGTCTGCTCCACTCCACTTCAGGACGACACTGGTTTATAGCCTCCGGCACGAAGCTCAATGCACTGACTGCCGGTCGATGGTTGCCTTCAGTATCCAGGTCCTCTTTGCGAAGAAGGTTGCTGGCATAGAGGAACTGGAGAAGGCCAATCGTGTTCCAGAAAGAGTCATCCTCATAAAGAGGCTGAGATTGCTGCTGATAGGGTTCTTGCCCAAGTGTGTAAGACCGGCAGACAGAGGATGTAATGGCTCCATTCGATGCGTTGTACAAAACCTTCGCATTGCAAACATCCACAATGGTTGCAACGAGGCTCGCAAAGATGTCTAAGGGCCACTCCTCCGCAAGCAGTCGCGCAAGCAGCATCCGTTCATGATGCCCCCGACGCAAGATCTGCCAGGCAAGCTCATCAGCTGCATGCATCGTCCAGAGCATGCGCTCAACCAAATGTGTCATGGGCATCTTCGAACTTCGCAGGGTAAAGTGCTTGTCCAGAACTGCCTGAAGCTCCGTGTGGCAACTCGTGCAAAAGTCTACGTCGCAGTCTCTGGAGCAGTGGTAGAACTCCTTTTCCAAGATGGCCTCCATGCATCGATCACAGATCTTCTGCGTATCGTACACTCGGCGGCCGTTCCACAAGCGCATGGGGATGTGCAACTCGTCGGCATCCTGAAGTTCCATACTGTGCTGATGGGGTAGCACGCACAACCCATGATCGTCCTTCGGCAGCGAGTCCGCCATCAATGGCAGGGATGCTGTGAGCAAGCTGAGTACCCAGAGCATCTCATCGTTCCGGTGGTCCTCTTTCTTCCCCTGCATGGCCTCGTCTTTGGCTCTGCTGTCTGAGCAAAGGCCAGCAGAAATAGCTTCCATGATGGCACCCGCCGTTTTGGCTACTTCGACCGCAGCGTTGCTTTCGGGGCCGGCGGACGCGTGAAACGAGACCAACCTTGAGACGACGCGGTTGATCGTTGCAAATTCTGGCAACCCCCTGCCACATCGAAAGGGTGCAGCAAGCGCTGCAGGCTCTTGCAAAAAACGGCAAAGAAGCTGCAATTGCGGCGCTGCTTCCTCGTCATCGTCGGCGGCAGCCGTAGGTGCATCTGACGGCTGGGGGAGCAGTGAAGCTCCAATCGGCGTGCTCATGACATAACATCTGTGGCAACTATGTAGTCCGCCGTATGCCCCACTGCACAAGACCGTCTAGTCTCAAGGCTTTGGAGTGCGGGGTCGGGACATGCTCGGTGAGGTCAGGAACAGCTACGACTAAAAGGCAACATTTTTGGCTCGTGGGTACTGGGGTGGGAGGATCACCCTGGCTTGAGAACATGGCGCAAGATAGCATGGCGGAATCGCATGAGACAGCTCAAGAGAAGCATCGCAAGCCAGAACACGAACAGAACTGTAGACCAGAATGGGCTGGACGTTCTTTCGCGAGGCGAGGGCATACTTGCCATCTCAATTCGCGCTGAAAATCCATAATCCTGAAAATCTACAGTGTGCTGGAAGAGTTCATCGGCACAATACACGCGGCTCGCCGTCTCACTTTTGGAGACACATGGCCGCACGTGCTCACTTCATCAAGCGCTTCTTGGCGTCCAAAAGTTGCTGTCAGCAGGTCTGCAGGGTTGCAGATTGTTGCATAGCGAGGCAATCCCACCGTGTCTAGTGCACCATGCACCATAGTGCACCTCTGCAAGATGTGGAACAACTACAAGTTGATGGCCGTCTGAGTAGACAAATTTTTCTGGCATCCTCAGTTGGCTGGAAGAACGTCGATCACTTCATCCTCCTCCTCCTCCTCGAGCGCCTGGGCTGCGCAAGTTCAATGCTTTTTGGGCACATATTGGGCTGAAGCTCAGAAGACGCACTTCCTTTTAATCGATGGAAGCAGCACTGCATTAGCCATCTGGCAAACTGACCATGCCACATTCGGTGTATGTAACAGGCGACCAGGCAAGAGCCTTTCCGTGGCTCTTGAGCGTCGCGGAACAGCAAAGCGACGGCTGCGCTGCGCGTCTTGCGCACACAGCCGTTGGATGAGAATTAATCAAGCCTTCCACGGGCCTTCCTTTGTAGCCCGGCGCGAAGGAGGCCTGGCAGATCATTCGTAGCACCGCTGCACTTGATGCATGTAGTAGGGTCTGCCTCTGTTCGGCGTGCTCATCGAAAAGTAGCTCCTCCTCAGGACGGGTGAGCATGCCGATACCGGGTGCTATCCGTGTTCCGAATCTTGCAAACAGGCAGCAACCACTGGCACTTCGAGCAGGTCATCCTGCACAAAGATACTGCGCACGTCGCACACCACAAGTCTTGGCACAGGGACTCCAACCTGGCCGCCCCGGAGCTTGGCTGGGTTCTCGGAAGCCAAAGCCAGCGCCTCCGCTGGCTGAAACATCTGCGACTCCTGCGGCTGCTCTCGGACATGTGCTCATGCCACTCTCACAACTGGTTCCCAACTGGTTCCCGACTGTCAACAAGGCACAGGGCCTAGGGCCTACTCGTAGGGCCTGAGAATGCCTGAGTCACTGCTGCACTGAGTCGTGGGGGCGCGCTCTCGCTCTCTCTCAACTCCCTCTCTCTCTCTCTCTCTCGCTCTCTCTCTCTCTCTCTCCCTCCCCCACGCATGACCCCCCCGAAGGGAGGCCGCCCCCTGGGGCGCCTCTCTCTCTCTCTCTCTCTTTCTCTCTCTCTCTCTCTCTCTCTCTCTCTCTCTCTCTCTCTCTCTCTCTCTTTCACTCTCTCTCTTCCTCTCTCTCTTTCACTCGCCTCTCTCTCGCGCTCTCTCTGTGAGAATGTACGCTGGAGACTGGAGATTTTCCGCACAGCTGGACGACTCTGCTGTTATGAGAAAACCAAAAGCGTACTCAGCACCCCTAGCCCTGCAACCCATCTCGTCCATGCTTGTCAGGGGTCGTTTGGCATCCCACTTTGCTCCACCGTGTGACTGACTCTCTCTCTCTCTCTCTCACACTCTGTCCTGATCTCCGTCGAATACCGCCCGCAAGTTTTCGACACCTGAGTTGCGTCATGTTGCCTCCATTTGTCTTCGGACGTGGAAATACACTGATGTGCAGCTGTGACACTGTTGAGATCCTCCACTAACCTCAGCAGGACAAGTGGCTGCGGCATGCCCCTGCATGTGTGAACCCGTTCACGCGGCTTGTTTGCTGCGTGGGAGCAAGGACTGCTCAGAATTCACGCTTGTCAGGCGCGACTCGAGCTCTCGCAAGTAGCCGCCTGTGTTGAGTGCAATTAAGAATCAACGCAAGCAGCAAGGGTGACCAGAAACATTCTCAACTGTATTAAATATTACAACGAGAGAGCCTACCAAGCTCCGCACCTACCGCTTGCTTCAAGCTAGGCAATCACAAGTTGAAGAGTCTTCTTACTGGAGCTTTGAGAGGTTGCCGAAGGCGATGGAGCAACCTAGATCAATACGTTTCGGAGAAACGCTCTGAATTCTGAATACTTCGTCTCTCTTCTCCTCAAGCCAACGAGCCGCGCTGAAATTTAGAAAGCCTGCTTTCCAACACGTTCTTGAAGTGACCGACTCAAGCAAATCTGATTGCCCTGTCGTGGCATACAAGGGTAATCCTGAAGAATTAAGCTGCCATGCATTTGCCTTCTGATTAGACGTTAGCATTCCGTGACAAAGCATCCTTGACTCGAACAAGACAGGCGGGCTTCGCACGTGCATTCGAAAGGAGTCCGTTTGAAGCACCCGCCTCTGTAAACAGTGCCTTTTCTGAGCGCGAAGACCAGATAGATTATCGTACCTTACTGCGCCAAAAGGGGTGCAGCTTTGAGGGGCAGAGTGCGCATCTATGCAGCCTCCTTGATAACCGGCCAGGAGAAGCTTATGCGAACAGAAGCAAGAACCATGGAGAACTTGTGAGCGAAGGCTCGCAGCAGCAGCAGGATCAAAGTGCCCACAAAGCAGCCGCGGTAGCCAGCAAACGCAACGACCTGACCTCCAAAGATTGCTATTCCTCCTTGGTTGGCCTTGTTCAGCGCATCCCAAGTCCTGAGCTGAGCATCCTCCAGACGACAGGGCGTCCTATGGGCATCCTCGAACTTTGTTTTTTTTCAGGAGACTTCCTGAGCGCAGGTCATGTAAGTTGCGATCTTCTCGCGCGGAAGGAAGTCGATCAGCTGCGCCCGATTGAAGGCCCGCGTGCAAGAGTTGAGGGACCGCATCAGGATGATGGAGGGTATGACCACCCACAGGGGCATTCCTGGAATGCAGAGCAGGGCCAGAAAGAAGAGGGCCAGCGACCACAGGAACACCTAAGCTCACTTGGCGACACACGTTCACAGATGGGTTTAGGGTTTAGGGTTTTGGGGTTTAGGGTTTAAGGCGAATGCTTCCGTACTTGCGATCAGGGGGCGACGCCCAGTTTGGCACGGTAGCCCTCGGCCCTAAGTTGGACCTGGGAGAGCAACCCTAGACCCTAAACCCTAACAAGCCTTTAAACTCAACATGAGCAATGACGGAAAGGAGACAGCTTGGTTTATGGTACTGACATGCTTCCAAACCTGCAAAGTCTGTGCGAAGGGAACGAGATAGCTGCAATCAGATAGCTCAAGAAAGTGCCGAAACATGCTGAGCTTCCGCTAAGTAACTAAGAGCTTCTTTGACACCGGAGTCAGCCAGGCACCCAGAATGTTCTGCAGGAACGCGACAAGAAAAACACCTCATGAACAAGGCTTTGCTTTGCTTCACTGATACTTGCGATTGGTTCCTGGTGGCCTTTTCTAGGCAAGTTCCGGCAAAGAGCTAGCCATGTTCCGCATCACTCATCGCCGCTTCCGAGGTCCCGAGTCGCCAAAACTACCTAGTGCTGAAAGCCCCTTGCCTGCTGGAGAAACTCCATAATCCACCTCTGCAGGCACTTGCAGGATCTTGCCAGGAACGAGCTATAACTAAAGGGGCCCTGGCTGCCTGGGTGCAGGGCTGGAGCGGCGGAGGCTTCTTTATGCCAATCCACTGCGTGAACCAAGCGGAAAAGATATGTCAATGTAATTGCTACCCTTCTTTTACTTCAAGAATCATGCAAGTCACCTTCAGGAAAAGGTCCACGAACTTCAGCGAAAAGCCAGAAGCAAGAGCGTTCAGCACATCGCACGTGACCTAGGCGGGAAGCCGATTCTGATCGCCAACCAGAAGCTGCTTTACCAGCACGTCTGCTGCCTCTTGCCATGACGAAGGGTTGTAGTGCACGTTCGTGTGCACTTCATCAGTGTACTCTCCATTGTGCAGCTACATACACACGTGGCTGCAAAAGCCTTCGTGTCAGGATCCCAGAGCAGCCAAAGGCACGATGACGTTCGCGCCCAGGATGTTCGTCCGGTCGGTTTTGGACGCATCGCCGCGCTTCGGCTCGAGCATGTCCCTTGCTGTTTTACCTCTCCTTGGCAACCATGCGCTCTCCCCAAACAGCCGTGGATGGCTACAAACTTGCAAAATGGGCTGCAAACCCATCAGTTCTCCGCTAGCAAGCGCTTCGTCGTCTTTATCATAACGTACTCGTCGCTTGCTAGTACTGATGCCGACAAGGCACGCGGAAACGATCCTGCGGGATCCTGTATTCTTGGGATTCTTGGGAGCGAATTGAACGCAAGTGTGTTCTTCTGCTGGTACGAGTAGCTCGAAGCTTTCAGCCGGCCAGGATCTGTCCTTCGCTGTCCAGCCCAGCGAGCAGGCTTTCTTCGAGTCCTGCTATGTGCGGAGTCACTTCGTTCAAATGAGGGACTCATGCAGGACTCTCGCCTGGTTCGTGCCGCAAGGCTCGGGCATTGCTTCCTTGGAATCGTTCGACGGTCGCCCCACCCCCCCTGATTCCATTCTTCTATGCCCTGTCAGTGCATGTAGCATCTGGTGGCACACAGCGATTCTTCCTCAAACGAGTGACTTGCTTGCAAGCTAGTTTCCCAGGATCAGGCCCCATGCAATGTGTCCAAACGATGGTTCTGCCTTGGGCTTAACCAGCTTGTAATCCACGCTGAAGCGGATTGAACCTCGGTGCATTGCTAAGCGTTGCTGCCGCGAGCGAAGTCATCTCTTGCAAAAAGCTGGCACTTCAGGCCAGGCGCTCCTTTGCAAATCAACTGCTGGCGACTCATTGGAGGCTTGCACCTCCAGCAATGCTACGCTGCGCACGAGTCTAATTCGAATGCAGCAAGAGCATGGAGCCTGAGATAGATACACCTCCAAGGACTCGATTTCCACAGCGACTGGGGCCCGTGATGCATCACGAAAGCAAAGAACACCTCGGGCAGAGAGATACATGCGTACCCAAACGTGATCCCGAAAGTGATCAGAAAACAACGCATTGCCCAAGGTTGCGCTGGGGTCGTCACTGGTAGTCGGGTTGGCGGGATGCACTGCTTTCAAAGCTGCACGAAACCTTCCGAGGTTGAAATCTTGAAGCTCCGCCACCCCAAGACTTAGACTTAACCTCAACGTAGCCCCTAATATATAAGCATGTTACAGACAAACCTACAGGGTCCCTAGTTTGGGGGTGTGCTTTCGGTGCGTTTTTTGCACACTGGTTGTGTGCGAAAAAAAACAGGGCAACCCGGATTCTTGACACTTACATTCAAACGTGCGCGCTCGCGATGCTGAGCTCCAAGAGGCTGCTGCCAGGCAGCTGCTTGACAAGGATCAGCGGGGTCTCCCGATAGTTCGTTGTCACTATACCTCGGGAGGCCAGATTGACGGAAGCTTTGTGTAATGTTTGAGTCCCGGGGAGACGAAAGCTCCAGCGTAAGACACGCGCGCTCAGAGTGCAGTCTGCTGTCACAGCAGCCGCGGGAGCTGAAGTGGCACCAAACACATTACGAAAACGCCTGAAACCCTCCGGGCCGCCCTCAAAACAAGCGCCCGCACAAAAAGAACTTCCCGGGAATCGACTTGCAGCACTTTCTCGCAATTTAAGGGTCTCCCCCCCACACAGATTCCTCCACACCCATACAGACCCAAACCTTCTGCCAGAGCTCTCGGCATCGAAAAAGTCAGTGGGTTACGAGGAATCAAAACCCCATAGGGGTATCCAGGGCGGCAAGAGCAGCAGTGCAGCATGTCTCTTCGAGCTGAGCATCGATGCTTGCGGGGTTTTGCAACAGTCTATGCTGTGCATGTGTTGCACCCACAGTACTCATGACAAGTGAGGCCTTTGGCACCAGAGTCTGCACACCTCTCCCCACAATGACACTTGATACACAGTCTCTTAGCTCTGCCGGCAGACGAATGCGAGAAGCCCAGGCGTCTGAGTTTCCACCCAAAGGAGAAGTCAGCATGACCTCAACAATGCTCCTCGAAAGATAACTAGGTGCCACAACTTTGCCACACCAGATGTGAATATGTCTGAGATGTGAACATAGCCGTCGTCATCCGGCACGAAGTCCTTTTGACTCATGTCTTCGGGTCTCAACGTTGCGGGCCCCTGTGCCTGGTCACTGCACGCCAGCAGCACGATGACACAAGCGCATGCTTCGAGCCATACAATGTCGAGACCCTGGGGAGCTGGCACTGTCTGGCAGCGCTGGAAACCTGCATCCAGCAACATTCTTGCTTCGGGGAGGAAGGTCCCTGTTCTGCTGCACAGGCCCAAGCAGCAGGCTGTATGCTCTCGATCTCCCTCAACGGTAGATCCTGGCAATCAGGTAACGACCATAAGCTCCACGAGATGAGTCGGAGTAAAGAGTGGCCCCAAACATACTCAAGCTGAGTGCACTGCCTGCTCGGTCTCGAGAGAGCTCCGGAAGCAAAAGCACAGAGCTACCTTAGAAATCCAATCCAGTGTTAAACGGAAGCTCAACACGGCTGGGTCATGAGAAGAGGAACTTCTTGCTCCCAAGCTACCACGACCGAAGTCATTCCTGTACCCAGGAGCATGACATTTTGCACAAGCCCCATGTCCTCGCTGAATGCACGGAATCGGTGCCATACTGTTTCGTCATGTTCATCGCATGAGCCGCGAAGCGGCGAAGCATGCCAAGGCTAGACAGGCGTCCCACTGGTTTCCGCAATAGAGGAAGATCGCCTGGGGAAACGCCACTCTCAGAGTCCAGTGTCCCTGTGCCTTCCTGGATGCAAGTTCCCAAAGGCTCTGCCAGTAGCTCAGGCAGCAACGGCGGAGATAAGTGGTCCCAAGGAAGTCGTAACTTTGTTTGTGATCTGCCGGGCTCCGTTGGCATCTTCCTTAGACGACCAATGGCAAAGGAATGGACTGTTCTATGCTGACCGAAGCCGAAAGAACGTCACCTCTCTGCAACAGCCAGCGACCCTCTTGCTCTTGATAATGGAACGAGCCCAGGAGGTTTCCAAGCAGGAGTTCCATAGTCCGTTGTACACCTCAGTTACAGTGCATAAGATATCTTGCAGCATCTCAACTGTCAACGACAGGATCTAGGGCACACACCGCCCAGACGAAGTTGAGGAAATAGGCCGCCGCAACAGAGCCCTGACAGAGGCAGATCACCTCGGCGCAATCATGCGCTTGAACTTATGCCAACTTATGCCTATTCCCTATATTCCATTTCCTTCCGAACAGCTCAGGAACATTGACCAGAAGGCCCACCACGCCGGTCACGCCGCTAAGAATCCACACCTGAGCCAGGCCACAAGACACACGCCACAGATCGAAACACAGCATCTCTCAGACTCGTTCAGCCAGCAGGCAGCATCAATGCCGAAGTTGTTAATCAGGAGTCTCCCAGAAGACACACCTGCGCAGCCGAGGCTACCCAACTGTCTCTCTTCTTCTTCTTCTGTTCCTATCGGTGGCTTAGCACCAGAGCTCACACGCAGCGCCGCTGCGCCACTGCGCCGGCCTACCAGAGCCCTCGTAAGCCCGTTCAAGGTGATCATGTTGCCCACGGCAATGGGATCCTGGGCTGCTGGAACTCTCGCATTTCTTACCCTCGCTGCTGTTGTCAGCCGTGGGCAGTGAGGGCCGTGTAGAGAGCTGGGAAGCGGACGTTGTTGGTGATGAGGAGCATGTATGGCGTAAGCGCCTTGAACCACATGCCCTCCTTGAACGTGTTCGACATCATCTCCGAAAGGACGGCAGCGTAGACATTGCCTCAGCCCGAACGCCGACATGGCTGCAACGATCTTCGCGACAGTTTTTTCTCATGAAGAGCAGCACTTCCCGTCCTCTAGAGAGCTACCTGAGCGCCTACGACGCAGGCCACAAGCAATCAATCAACAGCATGCGGCGAAACTTACGTCGCATCCTGCACCCGCTTACCTTCACCACCCGACCACTGCCAACAGCTCCACTCAGCCAAAGCTCTGTTGTCCAGCGCAAAGATGGCATCGAACCCATCTTTGGTGTACTCAAGCACTCCTTGCCAAGAGATATTCGCGAGCTTTCCTTGGGGACAAAGCGACTCCGGCGGCTCCTTTTTGGGAAGTTCTCCCCATGGCGCCTCTTGCCCTTTGGCATCAAAGCCGCAACGTGCTTCAGGGGCGGGGCGTCCAACTTTCACACGCTGCTTCCCTTTGCAACCTCAATGTCCTCCTGGGACGATCTTGATGCTTCTTAGGTACACTAGAAGAGTCCGTGTGTTGGAGTAGAGACTGTGGGGAGATGAGCATGGGGCTTCGACACTATATTTTTCCCTTCTCCAAACATGACGCCCATGACGCTGGGCCTGATGGCAGCAGGTAGTAGCAAGTAAACCCTTGCATCGCATGCGTCGCTTGCGACATCCGGCAAAAGCACTGGCCAGGAACCAACGACCCCGAAACAAGAGTAGCAAGACTCTTGTGGAACGCACGCCTCCGGACCTCGGAATGTCAGTCGCCGCCTCGCTCTGGCTGACTTGAGCTGATTCGTCATGTCACTCTGGTGAAGAGCGGCATCATACGGTAGACTCTACCGCGACGCTGAGTCTGCACACGCCAAAACGCCAAAGTGTTCGTGCTTTTGCGGCCTGCTTCCCAACATGTCTTGGTCGGAGTAAACAACCTGAGCAAGACATGGACTCCATCTCACAGCAGCAGGAGACGACGACTTGGCCCAAAACACCCTGGGACGATGTAATCTGCAGGCCGCTGGCCTGAAGCTGAGAGAAATCGAACATCCGAAAGCTCTACATGCTGCTGCCGGGCTCAGTTCGTGCTGGGGATGCGGCATGTGGGAGTCCTAAGGTGGAGGCTAGCGCGAGCTTCACCTGGTGACACAGCTCGTCTTCCTCAAGTTTGCCTTTGCACCTCTGAACATCTCCTCAAACTGGCACCTCTCCCAGTGTTGAGGATGAAGGAACCGCGACTGCCACCCTCTCTGCAGTGGCGGCCTGAAAGAACTCAATCTTATGCAAAACGGACCCTAGGTCCTAGGTGAAAATTTTGAGGCTTCAAGGACTCGATTTTTGAGCTGTGAAGTCGACCTCCTCCAGCTCAACTACAACAAGGACCGCCTCATCCTGAAGGAAGGGCCACACTGAGTCGCGCGAGGCCATGGCACGCACTGCGAGTTGCAGCATGGCGGCTCCCGAAAGCTCGGCTCAAGTGGTTTTATGGCTCCTGGTCCGGTTCTTGCTCGGGCTCCATTTCAGGCTCAGCAAGCACCTGCGCCAACATGATGCCCTGTGGCCCGAAGAGCGTGCCACGTCATGCCACAAGAGCAGGGTGAGGGCGGGGATTGCATTCCAGCCTGCGGGGCATCCATCTCTGACACTTTTGCGGTCTCGTCCTGTCGCAGTGACAGCAACCATGCGCAGCTGAAAGAACACATGTGAGGGGCAGGAGACGTCCTTGAAGTTGTCTGCCGTCGCAGCTTCTGATTGCAAAGGTTCTGGTAGCGCTTCCTGTTTGGCGGCTCCATCGACCCCTTCAACTTCCTCGACTTCCTCGACCTCCTCGACTTCCTCGACCTCCTCAACTTCCTCGACTTCTTCCACTTCTTCGACTTCTTCCACTTCCCCGACTTCATCCACCTCCAGCCCAGAGGCCATGGCATCGATCAGACTCGAAAAGCTTTGTGCCCAGGCAAGGACGGTGCTTGGAGAAAAGCTGCTGAGAGCTGCCGCATCCAGGTCCTCAATGCCGTCGAGAACCCAAGGCGGCTCCCACTCGGCCAACAGGGCCGAGCTGCTCAAACCCATCAGCCGTTCTTGCACATCTGCATCCTCCAAAAGCTCCATGGCAGCGATTAGGAAGCTTCTTGCCTCACTCCCCTCCCTTGCAACCCTTGCTTCCTCCGCTTCCTCCGCTTCCTCCGCTTCCCCTGCTTCCTTGACACCTTCCGGGCTTTTGGAGGTCCGTACATCTGACTCCTCAGTCTCCACGCCCGCCAAATCCACCCCCAGCAGCAACAGGGCTTCATCCTCCCCGAGGATGTCACTGATGCGCTCATCGTCCCTCAGTGGCAAGAACAAGGTCTGGCTAAAGCGTCGGACCATGCGAATGTGAGCACCGACTGCTCCACCGCCACAACGGCCCGTCACCAGCTCTCGAGCTTCTCCCACACTCGCTGTTAGCGGGAGCTCCAGGGTCATGCTTCCCCCAACCCCTTCAGAGACAAGGGAGCGAATCTGAACTGCATGGGTTTGTGCGAGTTCTGCGCCAGAGAGTTCGCGCTTGGCGTCGTCATCTTCGTCGCAGACTTCTTCCTCCTCTTCGTCACCCTGGGACAAGAGCTTCAAGACTCGAGGAACCATGCCAGCATCATCTCCGCCTCATCTTCTTTTTGGGGGTCAATCAGGAACTTTCAAGCCAGAGAATATAGAGAGACACCCTACTACAACACGTCAAAGTCATGAAGTGCTTGAAGCCCTGCCTACTAGATCTCGAGAGGATGCTTTGCGTACCACCTGGCCATTGACCATCTTCAGCAGCTTGTTGAGCACCCTCACCTATGCATGAACAGCTCGCAGCTACGCTTTGACCCCTCGAGCAAAGAGCGACATGGGCAGATTCGGCCGCATGATTTGTTTAGTCGGAACGCCTGCCAATCACTGGAATCGTCAGGCACAACAGCAAGGAGAGCATTGTTCTTCTGGGCAATGACCTCGTCATCCTTCAAGAGAAGCGCAGCGCCCTATACTTTCAAAGAGATCGGAGATTGGGGTCGTCCCCGCCTTCAAGTCTCTTGGTGAGCCTGAGCCAATAGAGATCTCCAGCACCTCTTCCTGCGCACCGGAGAATCCGTGGAGAGCCATGAAATCAGAGGCTTTAGCCTCAGGTCCACGATCTCTAACAGGGCCGTAACCAAAAGTGCTCCTCTGGGTCGCCTTTTGGTCCGGTTTCTGTTTCCTCCAAAGCCTTGCGCAAGCACGCGTGATTGTTTCAAGGACCCTCTAGTAAGGGGTGTAAGAAAACCCCTATATATGTACGGCCTCAAATTCCTAGACATGACCGGATCAAAGCCTAGATATGTCCAGCGCCTCCGTTTGGTCCTCCGGGGTACCGTCGACAGAGCGCTCCTCGGAAAGACAGCTGTGTCAATTTCAGGAGCGGATCCCAACCTTGGGCTTCTCTGTAGGAGGCCTACTCGCTTTGAAGATGGGTCCGAAGATGAATTGCACAAGAGGGAACCCATACGAGAAGAGGTGCAGCATGCTCCAGAGGTGGTCGTCACTAGAACCAGCCACTTAGCAGCTGCATTCTTCAAGCCAGAACTGCTCCCCTGAGACATGCGCTTCTTGAATTAGCATTCGCATGAAAAACCGTACTTGCACATTCCAAAACAAATTAAAGTGAGTTCTGTACTCAACTCCCTTGAAAATCGAAGCCCCAGTGTCACTTCCTGAGCTAGCTAGCCCCCGACCCAGGCCCTTTTTCCGCAAGAAGACCCCTGTAATACGAGGCCCGTCCGCGACGAAATCCAAAATTCAGGCATCTAGGGCTTAAAGCCTTCAGGTTTAGGGTTCAGAATTCAGGGTCTAAGGCTGAAGGTTTAAGGCTCGAGGTTTGAGGTTTAGGGTGCCTTTAGAAGCATTGCTTGGCAGACTGGACCCCCTGACTCCACAACCACAACCCTTAACCTCAAAGAGACGATGCTTGCCAAAATGCGCCCTGAAAAACGCTGTCTTAATGTCGTAGTATCGGTTGTGCCGGCAAAGGGTTTGTCTGAGGAATGGGAAGGGTCGAATGCGTCCGGAAGCATGCGCGTACTGATGCTTGCAGCTTGCACATGGCTGCGAGGAATGCAAAAACATTTGGAAGGCTGACCTGGACCAAAATGTGCTTGGAGGGCCTGGATAACACATGGTCTTCTTTCTGCTTGGGCCTGGAACCCAAGTCCGGAAGGCCGACGGTCTTGAAGGCGGCAATCAACCCAAAATGCGTTTCTGGAAGCGCATCTTCCGGGTGTCGCACATGTGTGGCATGGCTTGGCCAACCCTTGGCAAGAAGCCACGTAACCCGGGGCGACCATGACATGCAAAACCGCAGCACAAGAACAGACAAAAACCGCCGGAACGGCATGGAACGACAGTCGAAAAATGGTCGGAAAATGGGGACATGCGCGGCTGCGCGACGACACCTGCTCTCCACTTGTGCCTCACATGGCGGCACGCCACTCAGCTCATCGCAGCTCTGTGAGCCAAGGCTCTGGAGGCTCCGCGGCACTCACCGCTTGGTCAATGCCAGCTTCAGCTTCACCTTGCTCAGACCATGACTTCTGGAATCAACTCTTAGAAGATCTGATCAAGCTCTCAACATGCTTAGCTCTCAATATCACTCGGTCCAACAATTCTCCATCGTCTGGCCTTGAGGATCAGAAGGCGCCTGCGCTTCACAGGGATGCTGAAACACATCTTTGCGAACAGCGCTGGCCATAGGGAGGACTTCACTGCCAGGGGCCTCCTGGGCTTCCTGAACTTCCTGGGCTTCTTGGGCTTCCTGGGCCTCCTGGGCCTCCTGGGCCTCCTGGGCCTCCTGGGCCTCCTGGGCTTCCTGGGCTTCCTCCGAAGGCAGCGGCTCCTTGAAGGACTTGGGGAAGATGTTCGGATGTTTTCAAGACATTCTCCAGACAGACATGAAAAGGGCAGATGTGGGCTTGTGGCTAGGGTCTGAAAGTGCGCTGGCGCTGAGCTATTGCCGCTCCTGGCTTGTCGGGCCTGTAGAGTCTACGACCTCTTCCGCATCTTCCTGCAGGATCGGCCAGCACAGGGCGATACTCCATACGGATACTGCCAGAAGGTCAGGGCAGCTTGTCGTCGCCTCGAAGTCTTCCGCAAGGTCTGCAGCGTCTTCCTCTTCTTCCTCTTCCTGGTGTTCCTGCCCCGGTTGCAGCACGCTTCACAACGGCAGCATGCTGGAGCATGCCAGGATGTGCCAGGATATGCCAGGTGCTCGCAAGCCTGCTCCAGGATGGTGATCTCCGAGGCCTCAGCTGGAAAAAAGCTGAAAGTATCAACAAAAAGAGCCTTGGGCCCGGAGCCTTTGGGATCAGCTCCTGGGCCAGGGCGGTGCTGAGCCAGTGGATCCTCAATGTCGGACGTCCCAGGACATGTCTTTGCCCATTTTGCTGCAGCAGATCCCTGCCTCTCTCGGCCTTTCAAAGGCAGTTCATCCCTGAGTGATAGAAGATGATAGAAGCGGCAGTGGCACTTTGGAAATATTCTCTCTCTCCGTTGCTTAGCATGGCATGTGACTACACGCGACTCAGCGTGGCACTGCAGCAGGTCCAGGGCTATGGAGTCCCCGATGGTCCCCGCCAACATCCCAGCAGACGCCACCTGCGTGCACCAACATGCCATCTTCAATCTGAGCCTAGGCGATGCGAGGCCATGGCAGCCCGAGCCCATGCTTCGAGCAACACATGGCAGGTCTCAGCTTTTTCCCACCCGCCGATGCAACGGAATAGTGTTCGGAAGCAAGAGTGAAATGAGCAAACCTCAAATGACGGGTGGCATGGTGCGGTACATGGTTGCTCAACTTGTACTTCCGACTGTGGTTCGTTCAACCTGGTTCAAGATCGTGAAACCAAGTTAAGCTATGTCTGCAGCTAGACCTCATGTCATATGGAAGAATATATACCTACTCAGCACGTACTCTGCATCACCTTGAAGCGCCTAGTGTCTCACTCCTCATCACCGTTGTCCTGAGACACTCGTGAGTCCATTGAGGTCCATTGACGCGCACTGAGAACAGAGGAAGGACGGTGACCGGCACGCCTGGATCGCACCGTAGCCTCCTTGCCCGAGGCGGCCGAGACCTGGCGTTTCCCCCTAGATCCCCTGTGTGAGGAAGCTGAGCTCGAACCACCTTTACGGGCGCAGTACAGGTGGTGCATCTACCCGCACAAGCTACCCGGGAACAGAAAAGCCTCCTCCACAACTGTCGCTTGGAATTCAGAAGTAGGAGGCAACACCGATAAGCTGCTCTAGTAGTTGTGGGAGTCATAATATGGTGATGAAAGGGAGTCCAAATGGAGTCGGCTGCGCATTTGGATGCTGCCTCTCGAACGCTGGGCACTTCGTCCTGCAAGGGAAGAAAGATCAGAACACATGAAGAACTCTGAAGCCTTCAAGCACGAACTGACCCAAGCCGGCCAAGCCCCTCACAGAACCACTGTGTGACCCTCAGCGCTGCCAAAAAGACTGCTTAAATATTTATGCCGGCTCCCGCTGGTGCTGCTTGATGAGGTCTAAGAAGTTCAGGCTTCTCTCCTGCAATAGGAAATTACTGGTATTTCACGAGCTTGAGCAGGCGCTTGCTGAAGCTAAGCTAGTGCATCTCGCACCTCAAGAGCGGCAAGTGCTTCCATGGCCTTAGCGCATTCAACTTCAACCTGGCCAACCGATCCACAAAGGGCTGTTCGGTCGTCAGGCGCGAGCTGCCACCCGCACTTTGGGATCTTCTCCTTCTGTCTTCAGCCGCTGGGCGATGACTGTTGTGAAATACCGGCCTTGGCACTCAAACCGTGCTTCTTGGAGAGGACCGAAACACACAATGTCAAATTTGAATGCGATTCTACACGCATGTCTCGGGGGCGTGTGCAGCTGCCAGTGCAGTCGCTTGAGTCAAAATCTGTGTCCATTTTTTGCGACCCTGCGATTCAGGCGGCTGGAGGCCAAGTACTCATGCCATGCATGGCCACAGCATAGTGATGTTGGACGGTCCTACGTCAGATGCTGCGGCTGGTTGCAAGTTGCAAGTGTGAGCAGGTGATACCCATAATGCCCAAATGATCTCACAAGTCTGGTTCGAAGCTTGACATTGCACGTCAGCAATACGTCAGACCATGTTGAAGCGGGTTGGACTCTTCACTCGGCCTTTAGACTTGGAAACGTTGCACGAGGAAAGGAAGCCAAAACCTGAAGATGTTCCTGTCGCGATTGGTTTGCGAGCGGAGTTTGTACAATCGCGGCACGTGTGTTGCTTTGATGACAGGGGCATTGTGGGCTCGTCAACTGCGGTTGTCCCACTGTCCCTGTAAATTTCCACGCGTGTGTCCAACTTTGGGATGACCGAACGGTTGGTGCGCCCAATCCACACCCCGCAGAATCCCGCAGATTGCACCCGGCAAGCTCTGTCCTGGGGCCCCAACCTTTGTCACTCATCTTCGACAGGGCAGTCACAGCAGCAGCTCGGACATCTGCGCTGATGTCCGTTAGGAGATCAAAAACCTGCCAGCAAGGCATGGTGCCAAACGCAAGGCTCCCTGCGCAAGGACACACCGGACCCCACCGGACCCCACCTTGTTGCAATGCTCTGCACCATCGTCACCAAGCCTGACTGTACTGACTGCATTCTACGGCAGTCAAGACGGCTGTAGATACGGGAAGATACTTTAGAGCCGAGGCTGCGTCTCGGCCAACGCCAGGGCAGCCGCAGACTTGACCGCGGGACAGGTGTCCTGCCCAATCACTTGCAGGAATCTGTTTGCTTGTGCTTCAGAACCGGACGCAACTGGCCTGCAGGAGGTCGGAAAGTTTGTTGAGGCCGATGCTCTCAAGCTCCCCGATTTTCGCCAGCGCAGTGGCGGCCTGTCTCATCTCGGACCCCCGAAAAAGCCCTCAAGCCGTCCTTGCAGGCAAGCCGGCCTTTGCACGGATGATATACTTCTCATCGCTCAGCTGGCCTACAACCTGAAAGATGCAGCTGTGTCATAGCAACCATATGTAACCTTACCGATACTCACCAAAGATCTCACTTCTCTCTCGACCGATCCAGCCTTGTCGGTGCTTTCTCGTGCTCTGCGGCCTGGCGATTTCTGACACACGGCCGAAGTCTTCATGGCTCACAGTAAGGTTACTAACGTTCCCAACAACCCACAAAACCAGCGAGCCGGACCCAGAGCACTCAAACATTCGAGAGCACAAAGTTTGACTTCCCAGTCGTCGCTGCTCAGGAGCCTGATCGAGCTGAGGGGATGGACCAGGGTTCGTCAGGCTACAAAATCTGAGCCTTGCGACATCCGCAGCCGTGGACTCCCATCCATACCCCTGGTCGTGGGTGGCGATGCGTGCCAGTGCCGCCTTGGCAGCTTGAAAGTTCTAGATGCCCGCACGGATACTGCACCACAACGAGAGCCACTTGGCCGAATGCAAACGATCCACTTACAGTGATTCACACTCTTAGCTACACGTCACCACCTTTCTCAAATCGCCGAATCTGGTTGCGGTTGCAGCATGGTCCATAAGGGAGTGAGTGAGCCTGGTTAAGTAAGATTATAGTGAGGTGAACAGACAAGGAGTCAAGCTTGATGGTGTGCGAAAGGAAAAGTAAAGGTTAACCGCACTCTCCCCCAAAGACCCGTGCAATATTACTAGCATAAGCCCGCATTATAAGGAACGCACGAATGAGGCTCATAATATTAATATTGGGGTCTTTGTGCACTGGCCAGTAATAATACCAACCCACCCAACCTCGCGGATGCTGATGTTTCGGGTCATGTTTACATCAATCTGGCATGCATTCTGGCAGCAAGTCCCGAAGGAGTCGTTCGATGTTGTGATGTCTTAATTCCCCCCTCCCAAAAAGGAAAACTGTTTTGCGTCCGGGGAGTTTGAGAATGGTAAGAGAATGGTAAGAGACGGGGTAGGTTGCCATTAAGTTGTCCGGGGGTCTGGGGGAACCTGCATCTGAAGCCAAGGACTTCCACCACAACAACAGAAGTGACAGCATTCTGCAAAATCGAAGAAACGACTTGTAAGGGGGCGGGGATCTGTATCTGCCTGAATGCAAGCTTTATACGTCTCATATGGAGCCTAGGACTTGGAAGCGCATACCGCACTTAGGACCTTCGGATTGATCTGAGGGTTTTTGCACGCCACGAGAGCTCCACTTGGATTTTTCACGTAGCATGTCTACGGGGACAAGCCGAGCTGTTCGAATTAGAGACTCGTGCGATTTACAAGACATTGTCCGTACAAATGGGCAGGATGATGATTCATGAACACATTTTTCTCCATGAGCATGAGGTGGGAATGGAACAGGGTGATCTGCTTCCAGACTGATGTTAAGGGAGGAGGGTGTGGGGGATACCATGATGCCCCTGGGAATCTTCCATCGCAGGCCCAACCGATTGAGATCTGCTTCTGGGCCCAGGGCAACCCTCGCCTCCCCCAGCGGAAACCCTGCTCCATCACGAATCTGGCAACCCGGAGTCGGGTCGTGCCGATGTTTTACGCCTACACCGTTGCAGCCTCTGAACTCCCAGGTGGCCTTGAGACCCGGGCCGCTGCAGCACACTTGGCCTTCCTGCAGGAAGGAGGCAGGCGAGCTCTGCAACCACCTCCAGGGGCGGTTGGTTCAGGTTGGGGCTTTGGGGGGCTTTTTTGCTCGGTTTCTCAGGTTTTCTGGAAGGCGCCTTGGGTGAGTGCATTTTCTGCGTCCTCCTCGAACTCATCCATCAAGCTGTCCTACTCACATGCGAGGTGACGTGGAGGAACAAAACAGCGACTTTGAAAAAGCAGCCTGGAGGACGCCCTTGTGCGTGGCTGCATCTCGACCCATGTAGCCTCATGCACTCTGACATAACCTGCCAAACCTGTTGACCTGCACTTGGCACGACCCTTAACACACCACAATTCAAGACGTTTCGTCGAGCTGAGCTTTCCGTTGGCTGGAGCTGTTCACGGAGTTATTGAGGCTCAGGTCCATATACTTTCCCCTTCAGTCAGCCGGTGCAGAATATAGCGGACCCTTCCCAATATTCACGAGATTCCTTCATGCCGTCGCAAACCTACAAAAGTTTCAAGGGCTCTGGAAGTCTTGCGCAAGTGCTCCGATACTTCGGAGGCTCCGTTTCAAGGCTCCGGGAAAGCCTTTGGAAGCCACCCGCAATGCCCGGAAATTTCCGGTAAACCCTGAAGGCCAGAGCCTCATTGACATAAAGCAGAGACATCAAGGAGCTTCAGATTTCGAGAGACTTTGCAGAGGCTTCTCAAAGACCCAGGAGTTTCGGGTTGAGTCGGTTTAGGCGCGTTTAGTCCCTCTTCTTCACCAAGCAGGTTTCCACCACAAGGCTGGTTTGGGATTGTGTAAGGTTGCGTTGCCTGAGCTTATCCGAGGTCGAGCCGCGCTCGACGGTCAATCCCCGAGCTACTTTCTGGGATCGCTGTCGTCTGTGTAGGCCGAGGCCAACAATTCGAGTCCAGCGACATCAAAGAGTAGCAGCTTTCGGCCGATGGGCCATAGAAATTTGCTTCAGGCGCTAATTCAGATGTCGAGACACCCAGCGCCAGAACTGCAGCGATTCGCCTTCGGCCATCCTGGCGGTCACAGATTTCCAGAACTTCTGGATGCTGGGCATGCCGGCAGCAGACACGAAGCAGCGACTGCTCTGCGAAGCTGGGCTAGCAAAGCTGTGAGGATTCAAAGATACCCTTACCCCGTCACCACGATGGACTGTAGAGTAAACCGCTGAGCCAACAGGAGCTGCCTTAGAGTGCCCTTCGGCGCCTCGTCTCTTGCGAAGTCCAGTATGCGGTTCATGGCCGCGGGAGTCTCAGTGCAGTGTTGCGAGCTTCGAGACAAGAATGCAAACTGAACCCGCGTTCATCAGAACCAGCTATGATCCTTGCGTCCTTCACATATTCCGACATCTTGCCAACCTGGCATGAATGTAAGAGGCTCGGTGTGCCAGATGGAGGTGACTAAAACTTTAAAAGCCAGCTCCACCACTGAGGCAGCGAGAGCTCGAGTTTCAGCGTCTTCATCGCAAAGGCATTCGACAACTTTCTCGCAGTGCTTGCTACCTGCAGGGCAGTTGCAGGTCTGCGTAGAAAGCCGCTGGGAAGAAGCACAGGGTGGAGCAGATGCCTTCTGGCCCCATTAGGGCAAGAGCTTTCAGAGCGTCAATGCGTGAGCGAGGCTCGCTCAGCCTGAAAGAAGATGCAGTCTGCTGCACATCCGCGCAGAACACAAACTTCGGCAGCTTGCTGAGTCTCACACTTCGACACAACCATCGAAGCATACTTTGTTCCGGCCACGCCCATTCTCCTGCAACTGCATAGCTCGGAGAGGCTGCACGCATTCGTCAGCATAACCGGCCAGTGATGCCCTAGCGCCAGGCAGGCAGCCCCCTGCACTTCAGGGGAGGGATCCTTGCATGAGCGACCACTGACAGGGCACTGGTGTTCGGAGCAGCTGTCACAGTGGCCGCGGCAACGCAAGCTCAGGAGAAAACCGCGAGCTTCTCTTTCAAGTCCTCCACGCAGTCCTCAGCCTTCCCCCGTGAACCCCGTGAACCGCCGGGAGGCAGACGAAGACACTGGAGACAGTTCCGATGGCCTTCATGCCGCCCAAGGCGGAACAGGCCCCAAAGCGGACTGCTTCAGAGGAGTCTTTCAGAAGGCTCCGAATTTGACGTTTGGCTCCTGGCAACAAGAAAGGAGAATGGGCAAAGCCAAACCTGTAACAGGACTTTTGCCTGATGCGGAGCTTCCCATTGTCCCCATCGCCAGGCAGCCCCAATAACGGACCTGCGAATGCCACTGGCAGCAGGATACAACATTCCAAAACGGATTCGGCAAGTAGACCGACACTAGCAACCAAAAGCGTTGGCAGCGCTCTAATTCTGAACTCAACGTAAATCAGTTTCAACATGAATAGAAAAAATGATTGGGTCGGGAAACTGCATCGGCGTTCAAAGAAGCAAGCTTGCATGCGGTTTTTGGACACTAATTCGGAGGATTTCGGAAACTGGCAGCGTGCGATCAAACCTTTCTCCTTGCACCTGCGGTTGTTGGTCGTAAGGAAGGAGTACAGGGCTAACAAGGGCTTCACTCAGAGGATGACTTGGAAACTCCTTAAGACAAAGAAATATAAAAACACTTCAGCTTCGAAAGTTGTGATATTTTGACTTCAATGAACAAGCTATCGGGACGTTTAGATCATTTGCCGAGGCCTCGGGCCGTAGGTGTCTGGGGGGCATACAGCAGGCACCCCACCTCTAATCCCCTCCCCTAACGCCCTCTCACCTCTGGCACTTATTGCTTGGAATGGGTGCCCCCCCCCCCCCCCCCCAGCCAACAGGAGCAGACTCTATGCGGACCTTCCGGCTTGTTTTCTTGGTTTACCACTCCCACATTTGCACATTTGTACATGAGGCTGCGTGTTACAACAGGAAAGGGAATGCTCATTCTCCGGTTCGGGTTGCGTCGCCGCTGTGCAGGTCCAGGCCGAGGCAGGTCGCCTAGCGTTAAAGTTAATGCTGCGACCGCGAAATACTCACTTTGTGCAGAACAAACTATGTGAGCGAACAACGAAGGATGAAAAGTTTGTTGATCTCAGAGATTTGCTCATGAATCACTTGTAAAGATGTGTAGTAAGAACAAACAACAGTAGAATTGCCATTCAACACAACAGGGCCGATTATACATGAATTAAATTACATTTGCTTAGGAGTTTGGCCTTGAAAAACCTTGTCGCTTCTATGTCCACGAATCCTGACGAGGTGTCTCTGGCAGTGGGTAGTTGCTTCATCGGCGCGTTTTGAAACGGGGAAAGCCGTCGCATGAAGTTTCTGAATCGGGTTTGTAGCCATGGTCATGACTGCAAGGGCTGTTGCCTCCGCATTGCGGTCATTGATTAAGCTGGCAATCTCCTGAGAAGGCGAAGCAAAAAACTGACCGTTCGCTCAGACTGTGGAGAACTAGAGGCGCGGGCACTGTAGAATGAACTCGAAGCTGGCCCAACAGCAATGACTGCTTTGCAAACCTCAAGGCTTCCAGCAGACAACGGCAAATCCTTCCAAAACCGGTTCAACCTTCGGATGTCACCGTCTCTGAGGCACAGCCGCTTGCTTGATTTCCGGGCTCGGGCTCCGCTGCAGCTCTGACACAATGTAGTCCTCTGCCAACATTTTACAAATGCAAGAGCTGCTCCACTCCACATCTTGCAGAACTGCTTAGCTTGGACTGCTCTCAATGCCAAGACTTTGCAGCTCGACAGAGGGGCGCACCAAGTGAGAAGCTACGGCAGCGGGACCCTGCCATGACATTCCGACAATGCAACGCATCAGAGTCCCTCATCACATGCAACAACGCCCGCGCCTTTGCAGCAAGGTCGGAAATGGCCAATGCCTGAAACGCGTACTTTGGAATGCCACCTATGCTGGACAGTCGCCGAGAAAGCTGTGAACCGCCAAGGCTTGGGGCCTTCTGCTCATCAGTCTTGTAGGCAAGCTCGTAGGACAGGCGCTCCCTATGGCAAAGCAGAACTGGTCAAGGTAATGCAGAGGAGCGCGTTGTGGGATAGTGTGGGCATTGCGGGCATTCCTGCGCTCCGGTCCCGGGACAATCCTGACTCCCGATTTCCCACAGAAAGTGGCCGCAGCCGCAGATTCGGGAAGCGCTTTGGCGTGTCGCAATGTGTTTTAAACTACTGCAAAATCTCTGCGTGTGGAGCTCATGCGGCGCTCGCACGGAGCTCGCGGAGTAGGGTAGACCGGGTAATAGGCTGGAGAGCTTGAGAGCAGCCCTTACAGCAGAAGGCGAACGCATCGACTGCATGGTGCAAAGAGCGTCATGCAAGCCCGCTTGCATCCTTGCAGAGGCGACTCCCGAAACACAGCGAAAGCCACGAACATCCACGAACTATATTGCCGGTGATGCTGGGAAGACCTGCAACAGCAATGCTTGCAGTGCGATCGGTACGTACTGGCATACCATGGTACCGCCCAGCTGGAGTTCGAGGTTTCCTTGCTTAGGTACAGCCGAGTATTGCAAGGCACGAAGCAAGAATGGGCCATGCAGGCCGCGGCCGGCACTCGTGCACGTGATTAACAGATGTTTTCAGATGGGTTTAGGGCACTACCTGAAAACACTGCTTGCCTGCCTACAGGTACCAATGATCTGCTGCCAATGCCTCCTAGACTCTGGACCAAACCAGAAGACTGCAACTGGAGCGGCAGGAAAAGAGATCGGTGTATTGCCTACTACTGCAGGTACTGTGACATGCTAGCAGGCTGCGGGTAGAAAACTTTGCGACAGATCTCACATTTCATGTAATGATGCCTGTACTCGTAGTTCAGGTATGCCTATGAACAACACATTCTATCTCCGAGCGTGTGTGCTTCTGTTGCTGCTCATGCACGAAGATTTCATCTTTGCTGACATATACCATTCTTGCTTGTCTTAACATTCGGATCAGCTACTACATGCTTGCTGCAGTGCATCTTGTGATTGCGAAGAACCAACAGCATGAAGGCCGCAGCAGCTGCAATCTGATCAACAGACTTCTTCTCGCGGCGGAAAGCCCAAAGAAAAGGGCACTTTCGTTTTGGTGCCGACCCGAACACTGAGGGGAAGTAACGAGTATCAATTGGTTGTTCATGACAGGCACGATGCGCACGGCCGCATCCCTGCCTTGTAAAGTTCGGTTCGACTTGCTGGGACTTGTCTGTTCCAGGCTGGCGCACTGCCTCAGTGTCACCAACTGCAGCCGGTGCCCTGTAATTATTGTAATTCGAATGAAGAAAACATCGTCCATGAGAAAAAGCCCTCAGCTTGCTCCGAGGCCAAAGCCAGGGCCATTGCTTGGTTTGAGAAGCTAAACGGGGGGCATGAGGCATCAACGACCCACCCCCCCTTTGAGCCGGGCAGAGACGCAAACGCACACTTCCGCTTCGGAGCTAAAGCACTGTTGAGCTTCGCACAGCTTTCTTTATGTTGATGATACTGCTCATACTGGCGCACAAGGGCACAAGGCGGGACCAACGCACCTCTGCGACTCGGGTAGCTGTCGGCTCGTTCGTGCCGGCCTACAAGGAGCAAGGCAAACGGCCTTCTAAGACAATTGACTTGCTTTGACTTGCTGCGTCTCGTTTCCCGACCTCCTTAAGCAACAGCTTTCGCGCAGCTGCTTCTTTCACCTGACGGCCAGGCAAGATCTGACTGCTAGCAAATGTCCTCGACCCGCTTCTTGGCAGAGAGGCCCCAACAAGCGAGCCCCGCATGGTAACAAGGCAAAGCAATGTAAAGCAGCAAGCGGCCCGGGCAACCCACACAGGTCCCTCAAGCGGGGGCCTCTTTCAACGTGGCCGCGCGTGAAACGAAGACGACCACCTGATGCCCGCGAAACTACAAGAAACTACAGAACTCGAGAGGGTGAACTTCCCATTCCATGGATCCCTCCATGCCAGCAGGGCTGTGCCATCCGGAAGCTGTGGCACGCCGCTCAGTTCTACCCGAACCTCCACCTGGCCAGAAACATTAGCTATGACGGTTGTGAGTCATCTGAAGTGAGCTCGACAGGAAGGGCGCACCATGTCACGTAGGTCTGCTCCCAACCTTAAGCATTCATTTCAAGGCAGCTTTTCTTGCACAGCGCTCCCTCCTGGAATCTAATCTAAGAGATTCCCTCAGAGTGATTCCGAGTCCTTCTTGGGCCACATGAGCCGAGGCTGGTGCAGCAGGACTTCTCGGCGTGAGCCGATGAGCTCGTCATCCTTGAAAGACCTCTTGAAGTTTGTTTTCAGCAACGCAAGCGATTCGAGGATTCGGGGGGACTAGTCGGTGGTTTGTGGCGGGCTTGAAGTTTGAAGCTGTGCTCGGCACGCGAAAGTCATACCACTCTCCGGCATGCTGGATTTCCGCAACTTGGCCCGCCAGCAACTTTCAGCGAAGGACGCACGATCTCAATCAACGAAAAGGCCACGACCCGCGAGTCGAGGTGAAAAACCAGCCTCGGGCATGGCACGGGCACCGAGTTCCAGCGTGAAGCAAAATGGGCGAAGCTCGTTTACTCGACGCAGCCGCAATCCTCAGCTGCCGACTTAAGGGATGTCGTGCGCTTGATGCCCAGCTTCTCGGCGATGGCCTGTCAAGGAAGTGGCTGAGAATGCTGAGACCTAGCATGGGGCTTCTAGCGCCCCCGTACTAAAACCAATCTTCATCAGGACATCTGTCCTGCTTGAGTCGGCGCATTGTGGCATCTGCTGGCACTGTGACCTGCCGGACTGCAACTGCGCTCGTGCACGTATGTTCATGTGACCGAAGTGGACAGTTTCAGATGTCTGCCAGTGCAGCTGACGAAGGCCGTTACGAAGGCTCACGGTGGCCCGCAGGTCTGCCTTGAGAGGCGGTGCTGGGGGCTCATTCTCCTCTTCAACCGCCTGCCGCACCGTGACAGTGACCTGATGGCTGAGTAAGCTGAATCATGCTGTGCCACACGTCGCAAGCTCAGCCCACCAAAAATTATGCCATGGCTCAAAGCATGTTCAAGTCCTTCAGCAAGTACCCTAAGGTTGCGGCTGGCGGTCTGGGCCCACTCTTGCCTGGCGCCTTCGCCTTCTCCGATTTCTCCGATTTCTCCTCGGATTCGCTGCTGGGAAGTGCTTGGCAAGGGTGCAGAATGCGCTGGGGACCGAGCGGGCTTCGACTCGGAAGCACTTGAAGCCTTCGCCTGCAGGAGTGCGCGGGAGCAAGAAGCAAGAAGCAGCAGCAGCTAGTGACAAGAGAAAGCACGAGCACACAAGAACCCTCCTGGGCTGAAAAAAAAACTGTGTCTCCTGCCAGGGCCACTGCACCCCAAGCCTGCGCAGCCTTCTTGGGCTTGACCGGAGCTGCGATCATCCCTCCTGTATTTTGCGGTCAACCGTTCCGTGGCCAGGTGGTTTCGTTCAAACTCGTGAAAAGCAGACTCAGATAGCAAGTGATGGGCCCTTGCTGCAGTTTCGTTTTTCTGTCTGCATGAGCATGCAGGATTGGCCACTCTGTCGGGATGAAGACTCAATGGCCACGGCCCACTACGGTTGCTACGGCTGCTACGACTGCTCTGCTTCAGGATCCGGCTTGGCCAATGGGTCCACCTCGGAGATGTCCACACCCCGCTCTTTTGCAGCCTCCCTGAGGCGCTGGATCTCGAGCTCCAGATCCCGAACTGCTCGATCCACGTCGCTGTTGTCCTGCTGATACTGCTCGAACTCGCGGGTCAGCTTGCGGAGGTCATTGCCGCAAGAGACTTGGTCAAGCTTCCGCTTCTTGTTGACCTCCTCACGGGCAGCTCGGAGCTCGGTGGCCTCATTGTTGAGGACCCTCTCGGCACCACGAATGAGCATGTTATGAGCAATCCAAGCCTTTTTGCCCCATTGCTCCAAAAGCTCGAGGTTCACCGACTTTATTCTGGCGTACTCCAGATTGACCTGCGTTGTGGCGGAGGCTGACTGCCAAGACTTCTCATCTTCAGCCGCCTCGCCCTCCGGCTTTTCCACCTCGTACTTCTTTGGATCCACTGCACCCAGCGGGGCTCTTCTGCTGACCCTCTCAAACTCCTGCTGCATCTGCTCACTGCTCAGCACCGTCAGCGTTGGTGCTGGCAGGGATGCCAAGTAGTCACGCGGCTCAAACTGAGTCATCTCCTCCTCAATCAAAGCCTTCACTTGCTGGGCGACCTCTGCAGCTCCGAGCTGGGTGTCAATGTATGGCAGCGCATCGACTAGTGAGTAGTGCTCATTCTCCATGTACAGAAGCTCGCCATCCATGGCGAAGCTACCCTTCCGGAGCCCCCCAAGAAGGCCCCGAATATATGGCACTGACTGGGCTACTTCTCTGCCAGCCAATGGCAGCGGAGCATGTGTGTGGCCATGTTGCGCAAGCGACACCGTGGGGGCAAATGCTTGCAGCAACTCTTCCCAGCTGATGACTGCCTGAACAAAAATCACAAGGCTTCCGAACATTCTCGGCTCCTGAGGTGATACGCAGGAGCTTGTCGATCTCCAAGCTGAGCTCGTAGACTTCTGCTGTGTGCGCCACCTGGGAAGAAGACTGTTTAGTCTTTGCTTCTGTCTGCCTTCAATGCCACAAAAACCGGCCTTGCCAAATGCCGTCATCATGTTCTGTGCCGCGAAATCGCCTTCGAAGCCCCACCTGCACAGGCATCTCAATCGACAGATGCCCCAAAGTGCTGGGAAAGCTGGCAAAGCTGCCAAAAGCCACTCTTCCTGTTGTGCAGAAGCTGTGGCTTTCAGGGTGCCAGGCAGTGCAGCCAAGCCTTGCCAGTGTGACCTTCTGCGCATCCCGAACCAGCTTTCCGAAGGCCTTGCATCAAGCGATGCCAGGATCAGCTAGGCCGTGGCTAAGCAGAGCTGAACAAAGTCGCTTTGCTTAAGGCTTATAAGCTCAGCAGAACTGCAGCCTCCCGAAAACTCATGTGGGTGATGGACTCTGGCCTTGAAAGAGACGGCTCGCTCTCTCTCTCTCTCTCTCTCTCGCTCTCGCTCTCTCGGTTGACAAAATGTGTTGTGTTCTTTAGAGGCAAACCGACCGCATCTCATCGCATTCTCGGCTTCAAGCATAGGATACTCTGACAGGAGTGCGTCAAGCTTCTTCTGGAAGATCGCCCTGGTCAATGGAACTTTGTGTAGGTTCTTGCAGATTCTCGTGACGCGCGATCCATTGGCAATCTTGGCTGCACACTCGCCGTAAGCAACGATCAAGTCCCGCTGGAGCTGCAAGCCCTCCGCAGCACTCACATGCAGATCCCCCTACACCCTAAACCCTAAACCCTAAGCCCTAAACCCTAAGCTCTGAACCCTAAACCCTAAACCCTAAACTGTGCATCTTCAGGGCTTCGACCTGCTCCAAGGTTAGGTAGATCAGCACACTGTTCCCATGGATGTAGAGAAGCCTCCTGGCAACACCGTCACAGTACGGCACAGTGGCACGGAGTCGCTCAAAACAGATCAACCTACACCAAGATCACTCTCACACTGAAAGTTTTCCGTACACTAATCCCTGAACCCTAAAACCTTCGAGGGATTTCAGACAGGAGATGTGACGAGATGTGCTCTCCTCCCATTGAGCAACTCCTCGCTTGCTAGAGCTTCGAAGCGACGGGCGGAGTGCTTGCCCGTGCTTTTCTGCTGTCCAATCTGCAGCTCCTCACAAGGCTGAGATGCGGAGATGCGGATGTAGGAGACACCCAGGAGCCAGCCTTCTCCTTCACCTTGAGTTCTCGAGCAACCTCCCAGCGATGTCCCATGCTCTGCTTTGTGCTTTGCCATCCCAGCTACACGATGAAGGCCTTCTTTCTGACCGTCTCCATGCTTGAGGTGTCCAGCACCTGATCAAAACAGCGGCCATGCAGACCATGCATACATGAGCCACGCTGAACAGATGCTCGGATTACCAACCTCCACCTGCATCCTGGCCCCAGATCGATGGTCCTTGACCTCGAGCGCATATGCCAATGCTGCCCCGCAGTGATCCGCTTTGTTGCACGTCTTCAGAACTCAAAGAGAGAACAGCCCACCTCGACTGTGACTGTTTTGGGTGGGCCGAGGGAGATGCCAATGCAGTGCAGTTCCTGCGGCTCCAAGCTGCTCCAAGCTGTCCACTTCACTGTTCCTGTGGAGTGGAGGGCAGTGCCTGGTTCTCAGCAAAGCGGTGGTCATCACCCAGAATAGATCCGCTGGTGTCGCAGATATCGATGCTCTCCGGTCTGCAAGCGAGCTGAATATTCTTCATCTTGGGCGAATTGCCGACGGGCCGACGGTGCATGAGCAACAGAGGCCGGCACGGTCCGCGCTTGAGCTTTTTGCACAGAGCCCGCTTGAGTCCCATGACACTCCTGGGCAAGACACAGGAGACTCATCCCAGGTCTGCAGTTGCAGTTTCTCAAGGGGTGATGGGAACCATGTGACTTGAATGACTTGGGCATCCCACGTCCCGCGGTTCATCGACATGCGGATCTCTTCTCCGCTGACAGCATGGGACACCTCGACTAGAGCTGGCAGGGACCCCCAGCACCGAAAGCCTGCACCAGGCTTAGCTTCCAGCCGTAAGCACCACCTGACAAAAGCCACCATCGTCCCCAACCGCATCAAACCTACTCGAGCATCACACCACAACTCCCTGCCTCCGATTTAGACTTGGCAGCTCCTGAAAAAAAACAACAGATTGAGGCGAAACAGAACGGAGAGGATGACTTTCAACCAGCCTCCAGGCCACTGTTCCTTCAGGCAACATCGAAACGACTCGCGAAGAAGCTACACCATGACACCATGAGCTGGGGGGCTACACTGCTCTCAATGCACAGCTGATTCAATGTCTATGGGTCTAAGAAGAAATTTTTCTTCTAAGGGGCATCAGCGCTGCCGCTTTGTCTTCAGCCAAGTCTCTCTCGATGCAGGGGTCGTGGTTCTCGGCCTGTGCTTCGCATTCGCTAGGCTCACATGGGACCACTGCGAGCACGTCAAGAAACCTCATACTCAGTCAGCTGCCCCGATGGCTTTGCAGAGCTCGTTGTGGACTTTCCGCTCCTTGAAGGGGCTGCGACACGCTGACAGCCGTCGGGGGAGCATGCGGGAGCTTTTTCCCGGAAACACGTTCTACTTCGATGCACAAGGCCAGCGCTTTGCCGTGTGGTTGTAGGAAGATCTCTTGCCTACGAAGCGTGCCCCCCACATCGGCTCGCAGACGCGCGTCAAATCTCTACAAGCTGCCTTCGTCGCCGAGCACTTCGTAAGCCGAAGACACCAGCTTGAAAGCAGCCTGAAATGCCAGACATGCCTTTGGTGCTCAAAAATTGAGCATGGTCCAGCTTCGCGCACGCGCGCCCTGCCTCTGCCTGCGTTGTCAAGTCTTCCTCCTGGCCTCCCGACGTTACCTGCACGCAAAACACCCCCCACAAACCTCGTTCACCCGCATTGGACCGCACAGTTTGGCTCGAGGCTGGAGGCCTTGTCTGGGTGGATGCGCAGTGCGATTTGGCGGTAAGCATTGCGTATCTCCTTCAAGAGTGAATACAAGACGCCTGCTACAGCACATGCTTGATCATGACGCGCCTGCCTTTGCAGTAGCTGATGGCTTTACTCCCAGGGTCTCGTAGAAGTTCCGTGCCTTTGTCACCTGTCCACAGCAAACAGCAATCCCGAAATCTACTTCTCAAACCTTCAGGCACCACACAGTACCTGCTCGATGGCATAGCGTGCTTTGCTCTTGCCGACCTGGGTGGAGCCCGTGTCGTCCCACACACCCACGTCTGTTTATGAGCGCCCAGCAGGTGCGTCGTCGGGCTGCCAGGGAGTGCATGGAAGCCTGGGATGTCGCGTTGCTATTGGGGCTTCTAGTCAGTGGTGAAGCGAATATAAAGGCGGATAAAAACGCACTAGAGCTCGCTCCATGAAGCAAAACACACTTCCGGAAGGAAGAAGAACGATCCCTAAAAGCCTAAAGAGATACAAAGAGACACAGTGATCTCAGACTCATTGAAGTCTTGCCAGGCAGCTCTGCTGGCACAGGGGGCTTTCGGACCTGCTGCTGGCGTCGTTGGCCTTCCCGCTGCCTCACAACAGATCTTTACCAAATGGCATTTGCAATTCACAGTACTTGGCTACTTGGATACTTGGCTACTTGGATACTTGGCTGCAGCAAGCTCTGAAGATCACAAATGCCTGCGCTCATTGTCTTTGGCCCACTGCGCCCGCGATTTCCTGCGAGAGCAAAACGAACTGAACTCGCAGAACACCGTCAAAACAGATCGGTTGAGACATCTGAATAGCTCTTAATGACGAATGGTTGATGATCACAATCTCGCTAGGAAGCCTGTGTCATGCTGACCGGCTTCGTGGAAGTGAGTCATCGCACCCTGCCCGCCCTGTTTCAGAGTGTTCCGAACTGAATTGGCAGTGCAGATGTCCCGTACTCGCCGACGATCTCATGGCTTGTACACGCACAGCCGCAGCGTCGACAAAGCACCTGGCACACTTCCTCGCTCGCTGCTCTCGGCATGGCATGTTCGACCTCAAACAACGATGACAAAGCGTATGAAGGGATCACAAACAACAGCACTACAACATTCTGAATGTGGCAGAGTTTCTTGCAGTTTCGAACTGCAAGGCTTCATGTAAGTAAGCACTCAGTAAACGTTCAGGGTCTTCCGCGATGTTTACAGGTTCAGAGCCTGTGAAACGATGCTCCAATCGGTTTTAGAGCAGACAAAGCCCTTAGCTACGAAAGCTTCGCTCGCAAAACCCTTACTGAAACAATGGCCTCGACTCATAACAAGCAGCATAGCAAGCTTGCACCGCAAGTGCGCAACGGCCAGATGCAAGTTTTGTGGTTGCAAAACATGGTGGCTGTCAAATGGCTTAAGTGGGTCTTATTGTCTTGCGGCCAAATCGGAGCACACCGAGCAAGAGCTCCCTCAGTCAGTGTACTTGGCCCACATGCCCAACCTCGTCTAAGCGCATCAGGTAAGAGTACTTGGACAAGATGAAGTTGGCGCAGTGCTGGCCTGAATGTGCACGTGACATCCGAGCGCAAGCATGACAACTACTGACTGATTGCATGCAAGCGAAGCGCAATCTCCACATTTTCCACGAATTTTTGCCTGCTCGAGACGGACAAGAAAGAGCACAGGTGGGCAGTGGGCAGCATCTTGGGCGCACCAGGGGATCAAATGTCATGGCGGCTTCTTCCGTTTCGTCAACGGCGGACCCTGACGTGCGCGATGTCAAGGTCACGCAGAGACTCATAACTCATAGCTCGGTGAACAAGTTGCAAGGGCAAGCCTGTTTGTGCTTCTGCCCAATCGCTGCTCACCTGAAAGGGATCCCACATCACTGTCAGTTGACACGTTCTCAATCCAAGATGCGCACCCTTTTCACACACTGAGCAGTGCAAACTGCTGATCCGGCTTGTCAAGGTGAGCGCAAGGGAAGGACGAGCAGCCAAGAACAGGGCCCCAAGAAGGCGAGCATCATGACTGAACAGGGAACGGGGAACCTGAAGAAAATTCCAAAATGCCACCAATGCTGCCTTTGTCGATGCCTGCGCGTGTCGCCCCGCATCACAGCATCGCTCACCTAAGAGGTCCCTTGCCGCGGGGGAAGCAGGAGGGGGGGGGGGGGGACGAGAGCATCGATGCTTCTCTCCGTAAGCAACCCACTGAGCACGCATCTTCTCTATCGGAAGTTGCCGGAGCAGCTCTCTCCACTGCTTCGTGTAGCTGTAGTTGTTGTGTCGCTGAAACTGGTTTGCCAAGATCCCACCTCCTGCAATGTCCTCAAACATCCCACGACCGCAAGCATAACGGTGCACGGCACGCTATCGCGGTATCCCACATCGCCGTGCCCTTATGTGTGCCTGAGTCATGTCATCGTCACGACAGCTCAAAATTGCGCTACCACTATCACTTCTGAGCATCCTTGCGCAGGGGCCATGCTGAGTGCTATCCACATGCAGAATTAGAGGGTCCTATGCTCTGCGCAAGGTGACGCATGGTGTCACTTCAGGTAGACTATCTGCAGAATCGCACGCGAGTGGCCGCAGTAACTGTAGTACAGCTGCGACATCTTCGGCAAGCATCGAACTGTGCTTGTCCCTCTTCTATCGGCTGACAGGTTTCGTGGCGTTTCGTCTTTGGCGATGTGACGGCTCAGGGGGAGTTCGGGAGTGGCGGGTTGCCCACCTCTGGCGCCAGCCCTTGAATGTCAGATAAAATGCCAGTCAGATAATGTCAGATAGCGTGCGGAAACCAGGCTTGCCTTTGCGCAGATGCTCTTCGGATCGCTTGCATCAGCTCCAGGAACAAGGATGAAGGCAGTCACCCTGCACTGGGCACATGTTCGGCACGAAACCCACGCGAGATCCGGAGAGGCCTCACGTAGAACGTGGAGTCGGGTGCCAACGGGCCAATCTTGCCTTAGCACCAACAGAATCAATGACAACACCTGTTAATGATCCCTGAGAAAACCAGGCTTACTGAGTCGAGCTTTGGAGCCCAGTAAACTACGGCCCCAAACTTGACACCAGATGCGTTCGGGAGTGCTTGCCCTGACTCCACGGTCTGAGTGAAGACTTCAAGACTTCAACTCAGAGCAAGGTGAAGAGTCAAGACATGTCAGGACGTCGCAACCTAACCTATCACATAACGCAGCCCTGCCAGCTTCGAGCAGAAAATTAAAAAAAAACATTAGTCACAAGGAGAAAACGTTGCTGTCTTTGAGGCTGCTGGCCTGCGCAAAGTCGTGTTTTGTCCAGGGCCACCTTGATGCTCTTCTTGTCCTGAGCGCTTAGGACAATGGCATCACTCTGCTTTTGGGGGGGTTGAGAGTTGCGGCTGTCCTGTGCCACCCATTCCAGCGTGTAAAGGGCAGACTTTACTGGCAGAGGCTGCCACGCGATCAGAAGGGCCTGACGGAGTTTCGAGATGTTTCGAGCATCGTGAGTTTTCCGAATCTGTCTTCGCCTCTGCGAAGGATTTGGTGGCTGTAGGCTTCATCATGGTGCACTGAAGAAGCTGGCCATGGCCCAAGTCTGTCCCATCCTCAGGGAAACGGAGAAAACCCTGGAGGGACATGGCCCTGGAGATCTCCTTGACTGAGGTTGCAGCAATGCGAATCCAGCCGTGCTCCTTCTGCCTGAAGTGTCTACATCTCTCTGCCAGCTGTACGTTACATCAAACTGACCCACTGGAATTGTGAGACAAGTTCGGCTTCTTCTGGCCTGTACTTTCGGTTGGTTTGAAGCCAGTTGTCTTTGGGATAGCCCCAGATGCGATTGCCCTCGGGCAGAAGGCAGCAGAGGGCTGAAATCATGCTCCCGGCTCTTTGGCTCGAAGCTTTCTCGTGCCTCTGTGACGAGCCCCAGAGACTTGGAGGTGACTCTGGGCCTCCTGTTGAACGGGCAAGAGGTCTCTGAGCCCCCTCCTGCCATGGTAGCATCCTCCGGACCGAGACCGACTTGAAGAGGACCTCGAACTCGAGAGCGCCAGTGTAGATGTCCTGGCTAGGTCACATCCCGGTGCTGCGGCGAAATCCTTTGCAACATTGACTTGACTTCGGCGTCTGCCTCGAATCTCCATGCAAGTCCATACTTTTCATCGTCGGACTCCTCGCATGTGTGAGACGCGAGACACGGTGCTCGAAAAAAGGATGGCCACAAGAAAGCAACTCGGAAAGGGGAGGGAGGGAGGGCTGACAGGGGTTGGAGCGACGGCTAAGGGCCGAGCGAGCGACACTCAAAAGAACTCTCAAAATCCCGACCGTTTCGTGTTGACACACCCTAAGCCGTGTCCGAAGCTTCGAGCAAGTCCCGGCCTCTTTGGCATCCTTTACGGAAATCTTTTCGCCCGGCTTTAGAGGCCGAAGCAGCTGACCCAGGCCAACCTTGCCCAAAGAAGAGAGGAGAACGCACAAAGAGGCGAAGATGTGAAGCACCGTGTGCTGCTGCGTCTTCTTTTTGTTAATTCTTGTTCGTTGCTCTTCGTTTTTGTACGCCTCTTGGCCGTCGATGAGGACCCAGGCAATCCGGCCTTCCGGAACGCCGGCCTGCAATGCTGCAGAGGGACACTGGGGACAGATGACTGGCTACATCGGGTCTGGCTACACGACTGTACACAAAGTTCTGCGAAATAGGTAAACCATGGTAGGCCTCCTCAGATCAAACGCTGCTTCTCAGCTTTGCACTGCGAGCACATCCTGCCTGAACGCCAGATTCTCGTGTCAGCTTCACCCAGCCTGGCAACGACCAAACATCAACCCATGGACTTTGCATCTTAGACTTCGCAACTCAGCACGGGCACTGTCAGGCTAGACGCTGTCGGGCCTTCCATCTCGTAGCCTTTCAAGACGTGGCCCTTGCAGACGATGCCGAGCTTCTCAGCCTGCCGCAGAAGGCTGACGGCAGCAACGGCACTCAAGTGCTACGAGTACTTGCAAGTGGCGCGGCGGTCTTTCAAACCGCTCCGCTTACAGTTTACATCACTCGAAACGACTGCAGTGTGGCCAAAGCAGTAGAAGCGGCCTTCACACTTGGCTGGGAGCGTATGAGGACAGCCCGGTGCTCTACCACCCAGCTGGCCTGAGAAAAACTGCTACACCCTTGAGACGAGACAACGAGACAACGAGAACCAAGAGCAAGGGCAGCAAGTGCCATGGTAGGAGCCCTGCCATGAAGCTTCTTCGCGTGGCACCGCGCACCTGCTCGGTTTGGACAATGGGGCCGTTCGTTGACCAACGCAACATTGCAGAGCACAATCAGAAGAAGCACACGACCTTTTGGTGTGTCAAGTTATGGTTCCTCTGACATGGGGGGGCCATCATATCTGTACAGAACAGGACTGCGAAGCAAGTTCGCACTGTTCAGCGCATCTGCTTGCGCCGGCGAAACAGTAGAAACCACCGTGGAGGTGGAGAACTGGACGCTTGCATGTCGGTCCTGAGCTGGTTTCATGTCCCGACTACCGAATGCTGCTGAAAACTTCGCGCTTTCCAAGAACTGCACTGCACTGCTGTGTCTTTTAAAGTGTGCGATCATGTGATGTGCTGGCTTTAAACTTTTGCCGTTGTGCATGGAACTGCCGGGTGTGTCACCGGGATGCAATGACAAGTGAGATGTGCAATTAGGACAGCTGGGATGTTCATATCCAGTGGCGACATTACGCAGGTGTGGTGGAGATGTGGCCTGGAGCATGGCACCGTAGCATGCTTGGTCGAAAGTGCTCTTCTTCGTGTAGATGTTGCTGCAACAGTTGCAAACAATAGCTGACCCAAACTTGCACGACCTGGCCTGCATTGCTTAGAGACCACGTCACTTATTTGTACTGGAACAGTCGACCTCCAGCCGGAGCAGCGGACGTGCTCCGCGAACCATATGTTCGTACCTACTTAAAAGACAGGCCTTGCGCCATGGGGCTCAGGACGTCCTCACTGAAACCTCCTGGCAAGTTGCTGGCCATATAAGCCCAACCCCCTGAACGATCGACCCCGAACTCGACGGACCTTCGACAGGCTTGACCAGATGTGCTGGCCGGGCCGAGGCGACGCGCAGCGTTTGCAGGTGCCACTTCCCTTAACTGCCTCCACCTTATCTAAGGCCGAGCTTGACGGGCTTGTGTGGCGTGGCCTCGACTCTTTGCCCTAAGCCCAACTGGGTCGAGCAGCATCGAGCAGCGCTCTTACTGCCCGTACTTGTCATAGAGGGCGGTCAAGGATGGAAAGTCCTCAGGCCGCGGGCCCAGTTCGGGCCAGGTGAAGCGGCGATCCTTACACGATGGAATGGCGACACCAAGGTTTTTTGGGGCGGGTCGGAAAGCTTGGGCGCGGAGCCGATTCTTTGATTTCTACATCATTGATGGAAGCCTGTCAGCGTCTTCTGACTGAAAATCTTGCAGCATGTCTCGTGGGGTTTGACGGCCATGGCGCCTGCCGTCGGCTCATGAGGCCGTTTGCTGCAAAGTCCCAGTTCTCGTTGCCATACGCACGATACCAAATCCCTGGGGCCCACGGGCGTGCATATTGAAAATCGCAGCACTTTCCGTGGACCAGCGTGAGCAGGCAGGCCTGTGAAAGCATCTCTGAACTCGTACTGGAAGCAGACTGCAATTCGATGTCCATCGAAGGCAAACAGCTCCTTTATCAAGCGGTACTCCTGCTCCTTGCGGGAGAACTGTTTTGTGCGTGTTGTGCAGGTGGCAACTGGGCTGCTACAGTACCTTCTCCCATTTCTTCCGCAGAAACTTGACGATGGCTTCCCGCCCCTGGAAAAGGCTGTCGCGGTTCCTCCACACACAGTCCTGGCGCTGCGCAGACGCCGAGGACATTGAAACAAGCTGAAAAAGATGCCCATGCAGGTCTCGTGAGGTCCTCCGTATATGCCAGGCTCACTGTTTCAGGATCGCGTGTGTTCCAACCATTCTCGGCCATGCGGACTTTCTTGATGGCATCTTCACGGCTGAAAGGCGGCAGTGGCGGTCTCTGAAGCCTTTCAGCTTCAGTGCGCAGGGCACACACAGACACAAAATGTGCTTTTCACAAAATAGAAGCGATATGTACTGGCTTTCCAAGAAGCTGTGCAGCTGCCCTCGTCGCGCATCTTGTTGCACGAGCGGACAGCATCGACAGCTTGCTGTGAGTGGACCCAAGCATTGCCGCAGAAGCAGGAAGCTCACGGGAAGCTGCACGATGCTCGGATGCTCAGATGGCGACAGGGACTAAGCTGAATGCAAGCTTGCTTGCTAAGCTTTGCACTGGATGCGTTTGGCATCCTGCGGTTGTTTCCCGGTGTTTCCCCCTCCCCTTCCCCTGGCCTCATCACGCGTGGAATCGGGCTCCTCGTGAGAAGGATTCCATGGTCAGGATGAAAGATGGTGAAGGACTGGAGTCAAAGCTGAAGTTTGGGAGCATTCTGTAATATTCTGTAAAGCAGCCGGTCCTTTCCGGCGCGAGAGGGAAGTTCAGAACTCACCTCGGAAGGCTCGAGGCTGCCACGTCTCGAATCCTTGTGGACCTGCTATGCTGCATTTGGAAGCAAGCTCTGTGGGGTCGGGGCCTTTCGTGGCTGTGACTTCGCTGTCTTTTCGCCTTTTGTGGCATGTACACATGCAATAAAGCTCAAAAAGCCGTTCAGATCCGATTTGAAAGACACGTCCCGCTAGGGCAGAGATGGCAGAGCAAATCCGAGCAACACGTGTTCCAGCTGAGCAATGCTTTTACCCTGAGGCCAGCAAGATGCTCAGGCTCCTCGGCTCAGCTAAAGATGCAGAGAGTACGAGAGCGAGAGCGCAGCATTCCCGGAGTGCTTTAAACGCAATTGAAATGTCTCCCGGGTCGTGCCGGAAAGCAGGAAAAGCAGCGTTTAAAATGAAACTAAACTACTGGTATGAAATGATAGTCGTAGTCATCCAGAAGGATGAAAGTAAATAATCATGAGCAAGCCTGGTCTCCACGAAGGAGGTTTGCTCAGAGAATCCACAATGATAAGCCTCAGGCAAAGAGGTCATAGTTGACCGTGGGAGCAGCTGGAGCGGCTTTCTTTGCTGGCTGGCTTTCCTGCTTTGTGTCCTTGCTTCCAAATCGTCCGAGGTCTGCCAATGCACTCCCGAGAAGCTTGCTTGGATCCACGGGCGCCGTGGATTCGGCTGTTTTCGGCTCCTCTTTCTTGACTTCTGGCGCCTTCTTGGCCTCCTCGCGCTTGCGCTCCTCCGCGGCCTTGCGCTCTTCCTGAGCCCTCTTGGCCTCCTCCCGCTTGCGCTCCTCCTCGGCCTTGCGCTCTTCCTGTGCCCTCTTGGCCTCCTCGCGCTTCCGTTCCTCCTCGGCCTTGCGCTCTTCCTGCGCCCTCTTGGCCTCCTCCCGCTTGCGCTCCTCTGCGGCCTTTCTCTCTTCCTCGGCCGCCTTGCGCTTCTGTGCCTCCTCCTCGCGTTTTCGGTCCTCCTCGGCCTTGCGCTCTTCCTGAGCCCTCTTGGCCTCCTCGCGCTTGCGCTCCTCCGCGGCCTTGCGCTCTTCCTCGGCCGCCTTGCGCTTCTGTGCCTCCTCGGCCTTTCGCTCTTCGTCTGCCCTCTTGGCCTCCTCACGCTTGCGCTCCTCCTCGGCCTTGCGCTCTTCCTGAGCCCTCCTAGCCTCCTCGCGCTTACGTTCCTCCTCGGCCTTGCGCTCTTCCTGCGCCCTCCTGGCCTCCTCGCGCTTGCGCTCCTCCGCGGCCTTGCGCTCTTCCTCGGCCGCCTTGCGCTTCTGTGCCTCCTCGGCTTTCCGTTCCTCCTCTGCAGTCTTCGGCTCCTCGCGTCTGCTTGCCTCGGCCTTGCGCTCTTCCTGTGCCCTCTTGGCCTCCTCGCGCTTGCGCTCCTCCGCGGCCTTGCGCTCTTCCTGTGCCCTCTTGGCCTCCTCCCGCTTGCGCTCCTCCTCGGCCTTGCGCTCTTCCTGTGCCCTCTTGGCCTCCTCGCGCTTCCGTTCCTCCTCGGCCTTGCGCTCTTCCTGCGCCCTCTTGGCCTCCTCCCGCTTGCGCTCCTCTGCGGCCTTTCTCTCTTCCTCGGCCGCCTTGCGCTTCTGTGCCTCCTCCTCGCGTTTTCGGTCCTCCTCGGCCTTGCGCTCTTCCTGTGCCCTCTTGGCCTCCTCGCGCTTGCGCTCCTCCGCGGCCTTGCGCTCTTCCTCGGCCGCCTTGCGCTTCTGTGCCTCCTCGGCCTTTCGCTCTTCGTCTGCCCTCTTGGCCTCCTCGCGCTTGCGCTCCTCTGCGGCCTTGCGCTCTTCCTCGGCTGCCTTGCGCTTCTGTGCCTCCTCAGCCTTTCGCTCTTCGTCAGCTTTCTTGGCCTCTGCGCGTTTTCTTTCCTCAGCTTTTTTTGCCTCTTCTGCACGACGTCTCTCCTCCTGCGCTTTGTTCTGCGCTTCTGCCTTTTTGGTTTCTGCTGTAGGTGCTACAACATCTCCAAACAAATCATCCAATTCTGCCGCACTCGGCTGAGACTTTGTCTGTGCAGGCTTTGCTGGTTCACTTGGCTTCTGGGCCGGTACCTTGATCTCAGGAATCTCAGGTGCCTTGAATTTTGGGAGCTCCGGTGGTTTGACATCAGGGACTTTGATGTCGGGCACCTTGATGCTCGGCATGCTCGGCATGCTCGGCGCCTTGAAAGACGGAAGCTCAGGGGCTTTGAAGGCTGGCACGCTGGGCATCTTGACTTCCGGGGCTTTGAAAGTCGGAGGCTTGCTGCCAGAGTCGAAATTGAACAGGTCGCTGCGGCCGGAAGGGGCTGAGATCGAGTAAAGGCTCGAAGCCTGTCAGGGTGTGGGCTTCAAAATTCACTCGCGACTCCCTGCCTGAGGGCCTACGCGACAAACCTTGCCCACTCTGCCTGTCCCTTTGGAGCTGTCTGGCTTGTAGAAGACGGGTTACGGAAGTTGGAAACCAAGGCCGCAATCACGAGTGCAAAGGTGGCCAAATAGGAGACGACCTGGGCAAGTCGGATGAGGAGTTAGAGCAGAGGGGGCGCACACACTCAGCCCTGCTAGAGCTGCTAGGGGGCCTCTGCCAGTCCCAGTAGGCCGAGCCAGCCAGGAGGGAGGCCTGTTCCCCGCTGAAACACGCTGCTGAGGGACCACAAGACCGACCTTCAAGCGTCACAGCCCCACATGAGTCTGGCAAGCGCGCTTCGTTATCAAGGGCTACTTGCCAATGCCAGTGAGCAACCCGAGCGTCACGATGATTGAGGTCAGCTGCAAGCCGAAGGGTCCAAACTCAAAGGTGGCCCCGGAGAAAATGACGGAGGATGCCGTTGACAGTGCATATCCTGATGTACGCGTATATATATATATATATAGACATATAACACATAAAGCAATATGATACAATATATAACATACATATATGGCTGAGAACGACAAATTTGCCACAATCTTCCAAGCAACCTGCAAGGGGTAGCAGGGCAAGCCCAACCACCAGAGCAGAGAAGCCACCGACTTCGATAGACTCCTGTAGGATTCAGGGTACGACTTGCCCCGAGCCTCAGCAAGTCGCCTGACCCCCTTGCCTCACTTGCCTCCTCGCTCTCACCACCGCGGGCAGCGAGAGCTACCGCACTCCTCACAGGAGAGAGCGACCAGCGAGCAGATGATGACAGGCTGATGGCAGACTGGCACACTCGGTTTAGGGTTCAGGGTTAAGGGCAGAATTCCGCGGAGGGTCCTCAACCCCTGAGGTGAGGCCGGCGCGGCAGGTCGAAAGAGCAAGCGGCCCGTTGTCACGCCCAGGAAGGAACACCTGCTCCGTTCTGCTCTCACCGACCCACATACCTAATTCCAACTGCAAGTTGCTTGATCCTAAGGAAGATAAACCCCAACGTGAACCAATCAGAGCCTTCTATGGACACAAAAGAAGACAAAGAGTAGGAAATTCGGCCATGTGCTCCACTGTACTGCGGCATACCGTTAAACTGCGCTGCTGCTAGTTCGTGCCAGGGGAGGCAGAGACAAAGATATTCGGACAGACCACCATTCAGTATCATGTGAAAGTACCACCGAGTGAAGAGGGAGAAACTCAAATCTGAGCTGGACACGCGCTGCCACATGCTCTAAACTCCAACTGTCCTAAGGCCCAACGACGCTCTGGGTTCGAACAGCTCAGCCCTGTGTACAGCTGGCAGTCGAAGATGTCGAAGCCTCCATGCAAAGGCGACGAGGAGCAGAGTGACGAGAGGCAAGACCACTCTCCTTAAGGCGCAAGGCAAGAGAAGCAACACGCAGGAGCATACTTCACATATAATGCAACACTCCGTTTGCAACCACAAAGGCGTCCAAGCCTCTGCTGGGCCATGCTGTTGTCAGCACACACGCACACAATGTTTGAGAAAGCAAAGCTGCGCGGCCAGCTGTGCGTGACAACACATTTTGAACACAATCACGAGAATTCCAGAAGTCTGCAAAAGACTCGAATGCACCGAAAGAGATGCTCCGTCGGCAGCCTGAAAAACCTTTTCGGTGGTCGAGGAAAGAATATCCACATCGCCTGCCGCGCTCATCTCTGCATTGCATGGGCTTGCAAAGATGCAGGAGATCCACGTGCTTCCAGATGTGCGCAACATGCACCACTGCCTGCATAGAGTGGCTTTAGGGTCGTTGACATAGCTTGCAGAGTCCTGCGATTCTGGCCCGCGTCAATGGTCTCAAGCGCCCGACGCTACAGCACGCAGGCGCATATTCGATGTTCGACACACGGCCATTGAACAAAGGTCTCGGATTAGAAGTACCGACCCGCCCTGAAGCATCGTCACATTGTATTCCCATGTGATGAAACAACAAAAGATGCACATGCCTCGGGTGCCAGAAAACCAGAACACTTGCTGGCCTCAGCGCAATTGGGGTTTGGGAAGTTCTGGACAGCGGAGCAATATCAGCATGTCTTCGTCTTAGCCTGGCGCGAAACAGCCAGAACGTGCTTCTCCCACAGGGTCTAAGTTGCTCTCCGACAACCGGCTGGACCAGCCTGGCCTGCCATGTACGAAGAGGAAGGCAAGGGAGGAAGCAAGGAAGGCAAGGGAGAAGGAAATGTGAGCTTCCGACAGTCACCTAACGTCACGAAAGCCTTTGCTTGTTCTGTGATCTCCTGATTGCGGTGTTCGATTTGGTCCGCGTTTGAGAGGAAGTATGGCGGACAATTTGAAAGGATGGACTGAGGCTCCATATGTTACGCACTTCACGGCCGAATCACCTAATGATGAGGAGAAGGTACTGTTGCTCAAGTCTAGGTAGCTGCTGGTAGCGGCTAAGCATCTCCGGCTTCAGGTTTGTATTCTAAGAAACAGGGGCCTGAAATTGTTTTTTGCATCACCGTTTTGCCCGGGGGCGGTGGTGTGCTTGCATGCGCTGATATTGCAGACTCGGTCCAACGTGGCTACCTGTGTTACGTAACACGGATGCTTTGATTCAATGGTCATGTTGCTGCAGCTTTTTACGAACTATAACACGTGTGGCAGCCAGGGGCGTTGTTGGTACTGTTCTGCCGAACTGCGGCGGCACAACATTGCTAAAGACCTCCACTGTCCCCTGAGGAACTACAGTACAATGACCGCTCGCGGTGAGCCATATCCTTGTTCAAGTCTTACTTCCGATACGCCAAAGTTCATCCCGAAAAACTATCGTGTCCCTTCGGGCTTCTGTGAGTGGGATGAGGCAGTCAAGCAGAGGAGGTTTGCTTTTGCCCACCGTATCCGACTGTATCCTCTGCATGCCTGAACCCTCCGGCCAAACTACCGAGGACCATGGCAGCAAGAGCAAGGAAAAGCAACAAGAAAGCCCTCCTACGGTCATGATACCATAGCTCCCCTGGCGCCGACTTCCTTACTTTGGAAAGCGCGTAGAGGAAAAAGCAGACAAGACCCCCAGCTGCTGATAGGAGGACAAGCCAATACTGAAGAACCGATTGGATGCTCGGCTCCAAGAACATCCATGAGATAAGGACCAGTACGGCCTTGGATACATTGGAAGCAAACGCCGTCTGCGTGGACGACAACTCCTGCACTGTGTAGAACTGCAGGATGTTGTAGGCGTAGGCAGCACATCCACCAACAGCTACTGCAGCTGAGAGCTTGCCACGATCGGAGACCATCCCAACCAACTCCAAGTCGGTGAAATCGGTGCGGTTTAAGCTCTCCCAGTTTCCGGTGTTCCCAGTAGCGTGTGGGAACATGAAGATCCAAGGGGCAAGCAAAAAGGCTGCAGGTAGCGACATGTAGCCCATGGAGTCGGTAGCGTTGAGAGAAGAAGGAGATCCTTTGAACAGCTCTACGATTATGAACATGAAGGCCCCCCCTAGCGTACTCAGGAACCCAGCTGCCACCCCAAGAGTGAAGCTGCTGTCTTGCATCGACGGGGAAGGTGCTGGCCGCGAAGCAAGCACGTTCACCAGAACAAACACGGTGCCTAAGACAACCAAAGTCCATTGCTCGGAAGATGGCGCGTTGCCAGTCCAACCAGTCCAAATGGCAGCAGCAATGGCGGTCGTCAGTGGACTTGTTGAGCGAATCATGTTATTGACGGATAGGCTTACGAGTGCCAGGGACAAATTGTTCAGTCCCATGCTGGCCGCGAAGGACAGCGCCAGCAATGCCACTTGTTTCGCGGTTGACACACCCAGCGGTGGAGGCCTATAGCCATATCGCCCCTTGGAATATCGGTACAACAGCAAGGAGGCTGCGAAGCAGCCAAAACCGATTGCCTGCTGGGTGGCAGTCCAGAAAAGTGGCGCGGGCAACCCATAAACTTGGATCTCGCCAGAGATCCGCAGCTGTATGTGACTGAAGAGGAACTTCATCAACAGATTCAGACCGACTGATCCCAAAGAGTATATGGATACAATGAGTAGCGTGTGCAGACAACTTGGCTCATTTCTGCCTGCGCCATTTGGCGTGTGTACCTCGAAAGGCTCACAGACCCGGCTGCCGTCACGATCTTCATCCCGCAAAATCATACTTCACGGGGGCAACAGCAAAGTACCATCCAATTAACCCAAACTAATGCGTCGTGGAAGAAGGCATTACCTCCCACTTGAGCCACTCCAGCTACCGAACACGCGGCAGTAAGCATGCCACAAACACCTGCATACATGTACCTTGCGGCCTGCAGTATGGGCGCGTTTGAAAGATGTTTCAAGTATGCCGCCTCTGCACTTGCTCATTTAAGCTACTGACTTCATCAAGTCTGCAACTAGCACGTGTTCAAAGGCATCCGTCTGCCGGCTCATCCACCACTCGTCTCTTTCTGCATCCGCCAAGAGCAACCCTAACCCGAAACCTTGGATCCTCAACCCTTAAACCCTAAACCCCAGCAAGGTGAGATCACAGGCTTAGGATGTCCGGGCCCTGAACCGTAAAACCCGAAAGCCCTAATCCTAGAACAGAGATCACGAGTTTCACGGCTTCGGGGATTTTCTCTTGTGAGGTCGTTTCTGTTTTCGTCTTGGACCTGAGGCGTTTCTGACTCATAGCTTTCCTGTTTTTGACCTCTCTACCCCCGTTCACAGACCCAAGAACCTTTTGTGTCCGAAGCAGGAGTGCATGACAAAGTTTCTCAAACCCCAAGCCCCCATACCCCAAACCCTCAACCGTAAATGGGACGTGGTATCACAGCCGACCGGCTTCACGACAACGTTGTGCACCGGCTGATGAAGGTGATACGGCGGCACGAGGTGCAGGGGCGATGCGCACGTTAGTGGGGCGATGAGGTCCTGTATGGAGAGCTTCAGTAGCGAGCTTGCAGGCCGCCTCCAACGATCAACAAGTGCGCTTTTCCATGCTTCTTCCCGAAAACGTGCACGCGAACGTGCGGATTCCACAAGATGTGTGGAGGCCTGGTAGTTGGCTTCCGATGTCTTGAACCGAGCATAAACAGTCAGAAACAGTAAACAACCCTGGGACAACCCTGGAACATCCCGGGCCTCCTGGCAGCAGGCAGGCTGGAAGCCTCGCAGGTAGCATCCGGTCAGCCAGAGCGGGTCCATTGCACAACGAAAAAGCAGAGGAAGCGCTGCCTCAAGCCAGGGGCCGTTGAGTCTCAAGGGTGTGACGTTCGGGTGCTCGCTCGCAACCTCATCGCAGGACTCCACCGCTATGAAATGTCAGAAGGGCATAAGGGCATCGTTGAATCTTGCTTAGCCTGATAGAAACGCCACTCATTATCAAATTCGTCCAAGATCGAAGAAGCCACTCAAACGGAGTCCAAAAGCGATGATTGCATGCGTTGTGCGAGGCAACAGTGAGGACGAGTGCAAGTGACGGATTCTGGTTGTTCAGGGCCAGTTTCAGAATGCTCAAAACGCGAAACACGCTGTCAGTTCTTGCTCGTCGGAAAGCCAGTGACCGAGAACCCGATGAGTCTCTAGTGAACTTAACGGAGGAACATCTCTCTTGAGCAGCTTGCACAAGGGATCTTCCGAAGCTCAAAAGAGCCATAAACCTCTGTGTTTTCACGAGCACTGGGAGTACCACGCAAGCCAGGACTCGCATTGAAAACTTGCCATCTGCAGGTAGCCTGCACACGAGGGCAAAGGTAGTTGCCTAGCTGTCATTGTGGTGCCGTCGGTGCTCAAGTGAACTTCTCAGGGCGATTTTCTCAGGGAGCGGCCCGGTAAGATGAAGTCGGTTGGATTTGCAGACGGCATGGCCACCTCCACACCACAGTGAGTGATCTACAATAGAGCTCGCTCAGTGACCACAGCAAGTTTTCAGACTTTGAGCGAAGTTTAAGAGTTCGCGCTTCGCTCTTCACAAAGCAAAGCGACTGGTAGGCTTGAGTGCAGGGTGAGGGTTCAGGACTGGATTCGGTTGGATGTCCAGTATACTTGTCACGGTTGTGTTTCATCCATCCATCCATCCATCCATCCATCCCCAGTAGGCCGGGCTTCTCAAATGTGCCAGATCTTCACTCAGGATGCTTTGTGCAAGTTGTTTTGGATCTTGCTTGTGGCAAAACATCAGGCTGTGTGGTGGCAACGCAAGAGCAGTCACCTCACCCCTGTCTCTTGACACTAAACAAACCAGGCTCGACACCAACGTCAAGGGCTCTCGAAGCCTTGCTCTGCTCCACTATGACAATGTATGAATGACAGTTGTCAGCTCTCAAAACGGGGACGGAATGACCACAAGCATATCAGCTCGACGCTTTTGCGCAGCAGCCGAAAGTAAAAGCATCGAAGCGGCACTCAGGCCATGTGAAGGGGCGTTGGGCAAGCCTGCGCCACCGGCACTAGGGCGCCACTCGACGGCATAGGTGACCTCACCCCCAACACACCCCATGCTCCGGGCCCGTATGGCGCGTCACTTTGAGAAGCTCACCTTCTGCTCAGTGGCGAGGCCGGTCCACTCCAGAATGATCGCCTGGAAACAAGCACTGCTGCACAGCAGACAAACGTCACCCCCCCAAGCTGTGTCCAATGAGTGCGGTGCCTCGACAAAGGCCTGCTTCACCTCCACCTTGGACCACTCAGCCTGGCCAACAGCTTTGGCAATCACGTATTCTAGCCGTTGTGAATGGAGCGCGACTTGCACTCTCATGACTGTCCACGGGGCCTCCAAGTAAAGGGTGGAATCAGCGCCTGACGACTCGATTTGCACCCATCCTGCACATGCGGACTGGGGCGCAGGGAGGTGCATCATCTGGCACGGATCACCTACGAGCTCCAACGGCAACAAATGCTGTGCCTTCGCCCTTGGCATCGCTTCGGGCGAGCCTGTCGGGCCGGATTGCTCTTCACTCGTAGGTGCTTGAGAACGAATGAAGCCTCAACCAACTTCCACTGGGATAGCCCTTGACGCGCTCCCCTGGCAAGCAGGGCTGCAACATACGATGCTTCGACTCTTCCAAGAACCTAACACACTGGCACCTTTGGTCAGCGCAGTTGACCTGCAGCAGGATCAGCAGGTCTGCCTCTGCCGCTCTCGGCGCTCGACAGTTGAGCTCCCGACGCAGCATGGACGTCTGGAGCTGGTCGGACTGATGCTTTGTCCGACACGACCTGACGCACTGGCAGCGAAGTGGGCCTGTGCCCCGAATTGTGCCGGTGTCTCGCCAGAGTGTCATGCAAGCAGCCTGAAAGGGAAGCGGCTCCGAGTTGAGCACCTGAAAGCGACACTGACACAGGCCATGGGAAGGCGAACACGCTAAGCCGTGCCAACATATGCAGGAGACCTGGCAAGCCCGCTCGGCCCTGCGCCTGCGTCAAGGCAACGAGAGCAGTTCTCAGCAGAAGTGACATGAAGTGACCCCCATCCGACGTGCTTAGTTGCTGCTTTACATTGAACGTTGGGCGTCACATCGTCAAGGTGTGGTCCCAGCATCTCTGACGCATCTCAGCTGGAAAGCTCGAGATAGGAGCGGTATGACGTAGCATGACTCCATCGGGCATATGTACAAGATAACAAAAGATAACAAAAAAACACAGAGAGAGAGAGAGAAACAGAGACACACAGACACACACCCACGCACGCACGCACGCCCGCACGCACGCACACAAGCCCGCACGCCCGCGCGCACGCGCACCCGCGCGCACACGCGCGCACGCGCATACACGCGCGCACGCGCGTACGCGCGCACGCGCATACACACGCGCGCACGCGCACGCGCGTACGCGCGCACGCGCATACACGCGCACACATTAAAAGCAGAAACTGGGAGATTGGAGAGTCAAAGAAGGCTTGGCAGGGGGCCTCAACGACTCGACGCTTCTGTGCCCGGCCTCTTCCGGCCTGGCTTCTTTACAGCGGCGACAAACGAAGCCCCACACATCGCTACACTGGAACTGCAGTTACACTCGAGTGCTACACTTGAGGTTGCACGCTCGAGTTCTTGGTCATGGCACTTCTCGGCACTGCCGGCAGCGTCCGCATCCACGCGTTGCAGCAAAGCCTCTCCACAAGCGCTGGCACTGAGTGCGGAAGAAACTTCTTTGGCATGTGCGGCTAAGGCTGAGGGGCAGGCCCCCAGGTCAGGACGATTCGCGAAGCGGCCCTCAATTGCCACATAAGCCTAAATGCGACAGAAGATGCCGGTGTCCAGCAACGGAGCTTCTCAGCTGATTTGACCGGATGTTGCTTGCCTTCTTATCACCGAAGATCTTCAACCGCTTGCTGCATTCGGCGGAAAGGCGCAGCCAGCCAGACTGCGCCTCACTTGACTTGCGCAGCACCACCTACTAGGTATCTCAAAATCTTACTGGCGCGCAACCCAGCCTGCCCAGAGAGAACAGTGCCTTTGTGCACAAATCCCACCTGGCTATTGAAACATCTGCCCCGTCACCAACGGTATGTCACACGCCGCTCTTCAGCATTCTTTTTGCCCAGCCACACAACTGCACTACGCATGCTGATCTCCGCCTGTACAGTGAGGCCAAAATGAGCGCTGCCCTCAGGCCCAGTCTGTACAACGCTCCGGATTCTGGATTGGGCATTGGTGCTCTCAACCAGCCGTGGTGGCAGTGCCTGGCGCACTTGCGGCCTGAAGATGGCATCCGATTGCGGCCACACAGCTTCTGTGCCCTGCATGCCACTACGCTGTTCCGCCGAGGGCCACGCGGCATATCTCAAGAGATTGACCCTGACAGTTTTCTTCAAGTCATCCGGCAACAGTCCCCAGCAATCGACCAATCGGCCAAGCAGCAGCGAGTAGCAGGCCGTGTCTTGCTCAGCGCCTCAGTGCTGTCCAGCAGTCCAACCACACGTCACCGACACATGTCACACCGCTTGACAGCTTCGGTGACTTGCGTGGCTGATTGTAGCAGCTACAAGATTAAGGGCTCCGGCGGCCTTGAATATCGGTTGGCCGCAGGTGCGGGGCTCCATATTTGGTGACGACCTCCTTGGGTTCCGAGCAGGCACTGTCATGAGTTTCAACAATGTTTCGCCCGATGGAACTGCCTCCACAGCCCGCCCCAGCTTGTCAGCATCTCCCAGTTGTGAGAAAACTTGCCTGTCAGGCTGGGCTGTCAGTCGCTCGAGTCAAGGCTCTCTCTCACACACACACTGGATGTCTGAGCTACTGGTCATCTGCAGCTCATGCCCTGTATCCTTGACAGACACATTTCACCCAGCGTGCTCCGGATGAGGGGCTACATCGCTAATAGCGGCTAATGCAGGGTCACACGACCATCTTCCAACAAGATCCAACAGGCGGAGGCTCAAATCGTACGTATGACAACATCTTGTACAAAACTAGCACTATTGCTCTGAGCCCCTCTGTAATCTAGGCTCAAGCTCAACTGCAGTCCCATCTCTGCCGGCGCGGACAAGCCTCGCTGTGCAGACCTTCTCACTGGCACGCAAAGCAGCACAACAGCCAACAGCAAGCAAAATCAAGCAATGTCCCAGCTGGGCACACGTTGAGCTCCACGCCGCATCTTGGCCGCATCGCTTCTCGCAGCGGGAAAGAAAGGTCTCGTCGCCTGCACTGCCATCTACTGATTTCTACTCTGCCTTCTAGGCGCCTTTTGGAGTTAGTTGCATCAATTTGGGCTGTATCGGCAGGGGCGCTGACGCATCAAAACCGCCAAAGCTGATGCTTCTGCTTCACGCATCGCAGCATCGAAGACGATCTGCAAGCCCGAGCAAGCATGTGAGACTGTGAGTCAGTTCTGAAAGTAACCAAGTAACCAACAGCCTCCTCTTCTTCCGGCAAGTCAGCTGCAATCTCCGAGAAATCCCTTCCGCACAGTGAAGTTGAAACAAGGCGTGCAGAAGATTCTGCTTTGCTGATGTTGCAGCCAAACGAAGTTTTTCAGTTTCATCCCCTGCGCCCGCTGTAAACTTTGCCCAGCCGGAGTTGCCAGTCACCATGGAACGTATTTGTTCACACAAGCACACGCACACACGCTCGCACGCACGTGCGCACATGCGCGCACACACACACACAACTCTGCTCTTTCTGTCTTTCTTTCTAGGGGCTTGGGGTCGGCGCCCCGGGCATCTTTGCCCGCCCCTGTTTCGGGGTGGTTGCGGTTGGAGTCCGGTGCCCGGGTGTACTCTGCCGACTGTTAAGCCCCCCCCCGGTTCCTGTTCCCTCTCTTAACCCCAGCACTTGATCCCTTACGTCGGCAGTGTGGTCCCCTGGCCCCCGACCTGACGTGAGACCTGCAGTCAATGGCCCACTTATGTCACTGCAACCTCCAACCTCAAAGCACTACAACCTGACCCAAACCTGAACTCTCACCGGTGTTGGTCGTAAACCCTCACTTTGGAGGAAATGGAAGGTAGGGGCGGAAAAAACATGCATGGTACTCGGATTGGCTCGGGAGATGTTCCCCACCCTTGAATTGAGTCCTCCCCCCCTCTCGCTGGGCTTCCTGCGACTTAAACACAGTACAGGCAAAAGCAAGCTCACATCTCAGGATTCCCAGATGCCTTGGGCATGCTCTGATGGTTCCATTGCGGTGCGCCTTTTCAGCTCTCACCGTTCTATCCGAGCCCTCGCCCCCCAGTCACCCTCTCCCCGAAAGACACAGCTCCCAAGAGCTCGCATTCCCCCGAGTAACACCACACCTCAGATCTCGCAAGGGGCGAGGGCTCCCTCTCACACCAACTTGTTTACTCCCTACTTTGTTTTCTGTCAGACCCTCCCGAACTCAAACACCCCTCCCCACGACTCCGAAGCCTGTCGAAGAAACTCCGAAAACCTCCCCACCCCCCACTTCACCTTACTCTCAGAACGCACTGCCCCTCACGTGACATTTTCCTGCGCTCATCTCAGCCGTTCTTCTTCCGCCACCTTCACCGGGTTCGCCCCCACGTCTTCGGTCGCCGTTCCCACCGCCTCTATTTGTGGCGGTACCTCCACTGGGTCTCCTCCGAGGACGATCGCGTCTGCCACTGTTCTCCTCCCTCTTGTGCATGCCCTGAGCGCCCCCACCACTCTTCTCCTCTTGTGCTTTCTTCTTCTCGTTCGAGCTGGTGGATCTCCCCGTCCCCGGCTGGTTTGCTCTCCTCCTTGACGGAGTGCCCCTTCGACCTCCTCCACTCTCCTCCTCTCGCTTCCCCTCTCTTCTGGCCAGCTCCGAGGCGCAGTTGTCCCTCCAGGCGTGGCCCTTCTTGTACAGGTTGCCCAAGAGGCACGCTGGGCACCCCACGTTCCAACCTTTCCTCCTCCATTCGTCGACTCTTGCCATGGCGGCAGGCGGAGCTTCCCCTACGTTTAACCCTGCAACTAGCGATAACTGCAAATGGTCAAGGCCCCCTGAACGACCTGGCACAGATCAAAAGGCCCTCTCTTACGTCAAGACAAGGCTTACGGCCCCACTTCGTGTGTACCTACCTGCTTATCGAGCGGACCACCCCTGTCGTCGTGGATTAGGGCGCACCCCCCGGAACAAAGTCCTGCAAGGATACCAGGCATATGCCCCCTGAACTGACCCCCAAGGAAGCTAATTAGGGTGATGTAAGGACGACGACGGGGGCGCCCGCTTGATCGAGCGGCGCGGGACTCAAGCCACCCCCCCGAGGGGCGGGTTCCCGAAGGAGTGACTTGAGCCAAAATGGCTACCTCTCTCTTTCTTTCTTTCTTTCTAGGGGCTTGGCTACCTCTCTCTCTCTTTCTTTCTTTCTTTCTTTCTTCCTTCCTTCCTTCCTTCCTTCCTTCCTTCCTTCCTTCCTTCCTTCCTTCCTTTCTTTCTTTCTTTCTTTCTTTCTTTTCTTTCTTGGGGCATGGGGGAAACCCCCGCGCAGATGCGCGCCCCGGTCCCGCGTCCCCTCGACTATGTCCTCACACTCTGCACAGCCTGCACCTGAAGGCCTCTTATCGGTCCTCCCCCTGCAACCTTTCCGAAGTCAACCTCCCCTCCCCCACAACTCGAATCCTCACCCCCACACAGTCCCACGAACCCAGGCCTTCTTCAACCTTTCCCGAAACAACGTCCCCCGTCCCTCCCTTTCAACTCCCTGTCATGGTAGTGTTCAGCCCGGGGCTACTTTGATGCTGGCTGCTACCCGTTGCCCCCTTTTGTGTTGCATCGGCCCTTAAACCACACATCCCTTTACCGTACTCCCGACACTAGCGGCCTACTCGTTCCCTGGGGGCAACGCGTGAGGTTTGGGCCCCCGTTTCAAGGTCTTCCTTCGGCATGCTCTCCCCCTCTCCTCTCTTTCTCTCTCTTGCTTTTTTGTTTCTCTCTCTCTCTCTCTCTGTCTCCACCGCGCAGAGCAGAACAAGTCTCCCATGACTTCTGCCTGGTGGGGAGAGCCATCCCCCTGAATGCAGAAGCACGCTTGGGAAGTTCCAGCACGCACTCGCTCTCTCTCTCTCTCTCTCTCCCTCTCTTCCTTCCTCCCTCTGCACATTGTCCCCGAAGGGACCGCCCCAATCTCTCTCTCTCTCTCTCTCTCTCTCTCTCTGCCCAAAAAAAAGCTAGGCAAGTGTTCGCCTCTGGTCTCCCAACGATCTATGGTACTGCCCCCAGAACCAGAAGCAACCAAGGCTCAGGGAGCCTAGCTCAAAACTCCCGGTTCCAGGCGAGGTCCAGGGGATGAAGGCACAAAAGCTCATGGGGACCTATAGCTGCTGCTACTCAACTGCATCTTACGCACAAGAAGAAAGGAGTTGTCAGCCTGGCCCATGGTGTTCATGGCTCTGGTTGCTTTTTTGGCAAAGTACTCTCAACTACTTCCATGCCCCTCGAGGGACTTGCAAGCATCAGACATTTGAGAGGTGCGGCAATCTGGCAATCTGGTAGTCGTAGACAACATCAAGCGGGCTGCCCACGGACTTTCTGCCGAAACCTACCCGCCCAAGCTTGCTTGGGCAAACACCCTCAACGGTGCATGCCGCGCAAGCCACACAACGGAGACGAGCCAACGCCAAGCGAGTACTTGGTGACCTAGAGGCCAGGAAAGATGCTATGGTGCAGCTGGCCGTGCCTTGCTTCCTGCTCCCCATCCATGGCTCGATAACACGAGGCTGAATGTCGGGCTTGCTGTAGCACTGTTGTGCCTGCGGCTGCTCTGAGTGCTCATCTGCAACAAATCGGTATGTCAAAGGCTTTCTTGTGTCCTGCTGGCTGGCCAGGTTTTTTGATGACGCGTGCCACGGAAATGGTGCCAATCCAGCAACTGTGTTTTGCAGTCATGATGGTGCAGAAAATAACCATGCCGGCCACCGGTATCGCGCCAATGGACGGCTCGCCCCGAATGTACACGGTCGCGACAACAACCTTTCATAGAGCTGCGGAGTTTGCCTGCCTCATGTGCATCCTGTTTGCCAGTCTGGGGGTGTAGAACGTGTCCGGACATGCCTGAAACTGCTCGGAGGATTCCGATACCTTGCAAGCAATGGCTACGATCAGCGCATACTTGCAACTTCGATCACACCTCTTCGGACTCTCTGCCCAGCTGGCTGGACACGAGGACGTCACTAGCAGACCTGGTCCATGGGAAGCAGATGGAAGCTGTCCCGAAGGGTCCAGGGTTCATGGTGCAAAAGGCCTCTCATTCTGTGCAGATGGCTCTGGGACGGCATCGGCCTTTGTTCCGAACAGGCAGACACTTCCCAGGTTGTGCAGACTATGCTTGACTGTCCCATGGCCACGCATCTCACCGAACTCATGTGGCGACGCTGTACGAGGCAGGCGGCGGAGGCGGCTGTGGGATGTTCAGAGCGAAGAAGCCCGCATCGCACACATCGCTCCTGAATTTTAGCCGATCATGCCTTGGCTTGGGAAATGCCCAGATCGATCAAGCCCATCCTCCGCCATGAGGCCTGTTGCCTCGGAGTCCTTCCAAGACTGCTGCCAGGCTAGTTGGTATTACTACGGAAAGTGAGCCAGTGCCACCTTGAAGTCAATGCATGGTTTTGTCGCGACCTGCCACGGAGCAACAAACAGGAAGGCTGAAGCATTGGCTGCGCATGCACTGGCCATGGTGCCTGGTTGCCAGTCTCTCGTGGTGCCAAGCATTGAAGGCCCTTCCAATCTCCCTGGAACCTTCGCCCATTGCTCTGTGCAACTTGGCTTGGCACTTCAGCATCTAAGCTGTCCACTTGATGCCAAGTGGATCTTTGGGGGAATACACAATGGCCCGCACCTGGGCTGTGCTACGAAAGCAGCTTCCGTGCTCAGGTTGTCTCACGCAACAAGCTGCTGTAGGCATGCTCCAAACATATCATGAGCCGGCGACTCGCACGCTTACTGCTGCACCCGGGGGTAAAGAATTGAGCAGCGCGGCCGTCTGGCAACATGTAGCAAACAGCTTTTGGAAGACGAACATCAAAACAAGCGCGTGGGTGTGTGTGTGTGTGTGTGTGTGTGTGTGTGTGTGTGTGTGTGTGTGTGTGTGTGTGTGTGTGTGTGTGTGTGTGTGTGTGTGTGTGTGTGTGTGTGTGTGTGTGTGTGTGTGTGTGTGTGTGTGTGTGTGTGTGTGTGTGTTTGTGTGTGTGTGTGTGTGTGTGTGTGTGTGTGTGTGTGTGTGTGTGTGTGTGTGTGTGTGGTGTGTGTGTGTGTGGTGTGTGTGTGTGTGTGTGTGTGTGTGTGTGTGTGTGTGTGTGTGTGTGTGGTGTGTGTGTGTGTGTGTGTGTGTGTGTGTGGTGTGTGTGTGTGTGTGTGTTGTGTGTTGTGTGTGTGTGTGGTGTGTGTGTGTGTGTGTGTGTGTGTGTGTGTGTGTGTGTGTGTGGGTGTGGGTGGGTGTGTGTGCGTGGGGTGGGCGTGGGCGTGGGGTGCGCGTGCGGTGCGCGTGCGTGCGTGTGCGGTGCGTGTGCGGGTGCGGGTGCGGGTGCGGGTGCGGGTGCGGGTGCGGGTGCGGGTGCGGGTGCGGGTGCGTGCGTGCGTGCGTGCGTGCGTGTGTGTGTGTGTGTGTGTGTGTGTGCGCGCGCGTGTGTGTGTGTGTGTGTGTGTGTGTGTGTGTGTCTGTGTGTGTGTGTGAAACCTGACCCTGGATCATGTTGAATGTGTTGCTTCCATGGCCTGTCCCAGCTTAACGTCAAGCTTGCCGCTGCCGCCACCTGCTGTCATGCTGCAGTAGTGCAAAGCAGCAGGTGCTACATTCCGAAGTCAAAGAAGGATCACAGAGCATCCGCGCAGACAAGCAAAACCACCAACACCGCCACAACAGTTGTCAAACAGCAAAAGAGCCATGCAATATAAAGACGATTAACAGGAATGAAAAAGAATGAAACAAGTCGAAGAACAGTTTAAAAATGAAGAAAGGAAAGAAGAAAGGAAAGGAGAAAGGAAAGAAGAAAAGAATAAAGGAAAGAAGAAAGGAAAGATTGGAAAGAAGATTGCAAAGAAAAAAGGAAAAAGAAAGGAAAGCAGAATATCAGATGATGGCCTGAATCAACAAAAAATGTTCTCCCGAATGGTCATTTGCACGACCATTGGCGGTCCCGCAAGTGGAGTGTGCAAAACAACAAGTTGAAGTCATTGACTTGCAAAGCCCGTGTTTTGCTGTTTCATTCATGAAAGTATCTTAAGTACCTCTTCAGACAGCTCGTAGACGTTGACTGAGTCGTCAAAACTAGTTCTGGCATGCTAAGGGATGTATTTCACTGAGTACTGATTTGCTTGATTGAGCATTAGCAAATTTTGACTCCCGCAATCCGTAGTTAATGGGTTGAGTTCAGGCAAAAAAAACTATAGGAGCTTTCTTCTTCCGTAGCAGAGAGACACAGAGAAAGAGAGAGAGGGAGAGAGACAGAGCGAACCCTCAGAAACAGGATAGCTCCGGTACTCGCAATAGCCCTCAGAAACAGGATAGCTCTGGCACTCGCAATAATTTAATAACGCGCACGGAAGCACTTTCTAACGATATACTTTCATAAAAAAGAGCCTTTGTTAGCTTGCTATTAGACAAACTACAGGAGACAGCCTCTTCACCGCCGGAACCAAAAGGCTGTTGTTCAAGAGGCTTTCGTATGTTCAATGAAAAAAGATTTACTCCGCTTACGCTTGCTAGTTCATAAGAAAGGTCTTTTTGGGATCGGGAAGAAGTGCGCTAGCTTTTTTCTGATAGTCGCACATTTGTACACGAAGAAACCTCTATTCGTTTCCTTCTTGTTATAAAAAGGACAATTTCCAAAGATATATTTCTGCAAACATGAAGAAAAAACCCTCGAATACCAATGCTAATTCAAAACAGAGCGCCCCATCTTCAACGAGTAGCGATGGCTTCTCACACGCATGCAACAAGCCAACGAAAACGGTAGTCTATGACGTGTATGTGTATATATAGATATATGTATATCACTTATGTCACGCATACATTCTGTTAACTTATCCATTTTGCTCGACCATCCTCGAGACAGTTCGGATGCTTTTGGGGCCCTCGTCGAGCCCACCCTCGTCTTTGGTCACACGAGAAAAAAGCAGCGCGCCCGTGATCACCAGCATGACTCAGTATGCACATATTCTTGAACCGTATGAACCAAGAGTTTGAAGCTGCCCATGCCAGTGCGAGCTTCGAAAAGCGCTCAAAGAGCAAAGGCCTTGTACTTGTGTTTCAAGGGTGTACCGCGTTGCCTCGCCAAGTCGGGGTCTTAAGAAACATCACACGACTCACGACCAGCATCTGAAACCGGCATCCAAACATATCCTAAGATTTCCGGTCCGAAGTCATCTCTCCGCACCTCCTTGGCTGCCAGACCAGGCCATGACAGCAGCAGACCCTCCTCGAAGGCCTGCAAGCCAAAACGAAGGAATGAAAGCTTAGCAGCCAAAGATAGCCAAAGCGACTTGAAACCAACTTTTTAACTAATCGTGTATTTCGATCCCCAACCGACAACTACCTGATGTGGGAGCCATCCCAGACAGGCAACTACTACCGATACTTCATTCTCCGCGGAATCTTCGAGGCTGCGCACTCCAAGGATATTCGGCGGGACTCGGAAGCAGGCTTTGGTACTTCTGCAAACGGGCCAGGGATCTCCCAGCAGGCTTGGGCCACTCGGCGGGATTCTTTGCGGGCTCTCCGAGGACACCGACTTAAAATCTAACAACCCCACACCCTGGCTGGGCAAAAAAGAAGCATTGCTAAAGTGCTGTGCATCTTGCAAAAGGATTATGTCTTGTCTCCTGCTGCAGGTTGAGGTCGGCCCAGACTGGCACCAAGCGCCTCAGACTCCACTCCAAAACCCTCAGAGCCATGGAACCGAACCGCGGCCTCGGTTGTATTTATATATATATATATATATGGATATTTGTACTTATATACACTTTTTTTTGATATTCATATTTCTTTATACACAATATGGGGGTTGCCTAATTTCGGGGTCCCTTGTTGGGGTCCTTAGTATAAAGGGAATGCTACTCTTGCGGGGGTCCATCATATAAATACTATATATATATGTATATAGCTACATATATACATATGTATATATATATATATACTATACACCTACTATCTGTGGTTGCTAGCCAATTAGCTGGTTTGACGCGCCACAGGCCTAAAAAGAAATGGAAATGGCAGTGGAAGGCCATGTTAGGTTGTAACTAGGGGTTGCTTGTATGCATTGAACTGTAAGTTGAAGATTCTGTTAAAATTCATGACACACCTAGAATGCTCAGGATTTATACTTTTTACTGAGTGGATAGTAGCTGCCCAAGTTTAACATGGAACCATTTGGGTTCGTCTGAATAGCACAATTGGATGACAACTATCATTCTTGAACGGCCAAGAATATGAAGATAATCAGGGAGAGCTCTGCAATTTCCATATTAAAGTCTAAGTTGCCGGCTAATCGTATATGTAGCTGAGTAAGGAAAACGGACTTCCACGAATGTTAACGAGACTGGTGAAGTCATTTTGCGTTTTAACCTGCCAGTGAATTCCTGTGAGTAAAGGTGTTGCTCTCTCTATGCATTCCAATTATTCGGACAGTTTGTTTGGAGGTCAAATAGAACTATCAAGTCGTGTGAACAGTCACATTGTTCCAGTGAACAGACAGATAGCGACTGGGACAACCGATGCGCCGACAAAATGAATTTTGTGATCGGGTTACCTTTTATATGCAATTAGGGCTAGTTATACTCATAGAAGTACAGTAACAACGGCTTGCAACTTTTGCAGACGATCTCATTTGCAAAGTGAACTGGACAAACCTCATAACATGAAACCCTTTTAATGAATGAGTAGATGTTGATTACCCAAGTTACATGTAGACGTTTGAATTGGTTTGGTCAGTACAAGTGGAGGTCACTTTTAATGCTTCAATACTACTTAAAAGTTCGGGGGTTAATACCCTAACTAATCAATAATGAGATATTGGTTCCCCCCCCCCCAGCTGAAAAATGAAAACGTTTGAGTCGGACTGTTTGGAAGCCACTTGTAATTCTGAAATGCTACTTAAAAAGGTCGGGAATGTTCTGGAAGCTCTGCCTCAAATTACAATGCAAAGGTTTTGAAATAAACACTTGAAGGCCAACTATCATTTTAAATGTCATGCAGCTTGAATGGCCGGGAATATTGGAAGAGAATGAAGGACAGCTACTGGGACAACCGATGCGCCAGCAAAGGTATCTATCACTAGTTTTCGGTTCTGTAATTAGGGCTGTTGCATGCATTGAACAACTATTACAACCGGACTGTTGGTTTATAGCGTAACTCGGGCTAGCTATAGTCATGAGAACAGCAACAACAACATTGGCGTCTCGAGCATCAAGCTCAATTAGCCCATCGGTTGTCCAATAGCTGTCCTCCAACGTGAACAGATTTCGGATTCCGGATATTCGAAACTTCGAAACATGGGCCGGTACAAACCGGTACAATTCGATACAAGTTATCCTCAACTCTAAAGATTTAATCCTGAACTAATAATATTAAAAAACTAATCCTGGAATGAGTAACACCCGCACGAAAGACTTTGAACGCCCCTCCCTCCCCTTCCCTCCCCCTCCTCTCCGCTCCGCTCCGCTGAGCTCTCCTCCTCTCCGCTCCGCTCCGGTGCGCTCTCTGTTTTTTTTTGAAGGGCTTGTTCAAGGCGTGTCTTTAAAACCTTATCGGTTAAGGGAGTAGGGTTTGAAAGAGAAGGCCCGAAACTCGAGAGGGTTTAAGGCTGTAATCACCAAGCCTTTAAGCCTATAGGGTTTAGGCTTAACCCTTAAACCCTAAACCTTTAAACCTCATACATAGGGTTTCATGGCTAAGCAATGACACTTAAATCCTTAACCCTATGCTGAAGTTTAAAGGTTTAGGGTTTAAGATTTAAGCATTTAAACCTAACCAGCAAATAGACCTACACCCTTAACCTTAAAGCCCTAGGGTTAAGGGGGTTAAGGTTTAACAGTGTAGGGTTTCAGATTTAAGCATTTAAACCTGAGGCCATAGTGTTTGAACCTTAAGGGTTTAAGGCTTAGGCATTTAACCCTTGACTGGCATTTAGGATTTAGGGAAAAAATTCCGTTTCTTAAATAGATGTCGCTACATTCTAAAGAGCGGGATCACCTATAGTTTAGGATTTGACGAATAACAAGGTCTACGCCTCGTGGGGGTGCACTTATACGCTCCTCTTCAAGATTAGAGATTTAGGGACTAAGATTTGGGATCCTCCCGTTTTAGGGCCTGTCCAACTGGATTGTGGAGGGAATAAGAGTGCGACAATGCGATTTAGGGAACAAGATTTAGGGGCCCCGCTCTCTGTAGGACTTAAAATGAAAAGGACTCTGGGTTCAGGGACCCTCTCTTTAGGGTTCAGGGAATAAGTCTTGGGAGAAAAATTCAAGGAATGAGATTTAGGGATCCCGTTCTTTCGGATGTGGCGAAAAGAAATTAGGGAATAGGGTTAGCTTTTTAGGGTTAGAAGGGAATAAGATTTAGGGATCCTGTTCTTTAGGATTTCGCGGCAAGATTTAGGGAAGTTTCTGTAAGATTTTTAGGGGCTCTCCTATGGGCTCTCCTCTGTAGGATATGTGGAAGGTTTCCCGGCATTCAGTTTGGTATGTACATCCTGAGGCTTGAAGGGCCACAAAGCCATGGATCCATGGCATATAGATATATGTATATATGCATATATATATATATATATATATATACATATATGTTTAGTAAATGTAGTGTCCATATACATATATATATATATAATATTATATATATACACATATATACAGATTCATCCATTTATGTGCCCTACAGTAATTCTACTAGAAGCGCATTGCCTCTGGCAATATTCAACATGGTAGCCTGCGGGAACCAAGAGCAACTTTCGCAGTTTGGGATCCCGGCGTCCCACACGGATCGTTTATTAGCACCTGACGATGGGGATCTTCAGTGCTTCCGACCACACCTACCAGCCTACATTGATTGCAGAAATCATGGGGGCAGATTCTTCCAAGCCTTTCAGTGTGACGCGAGTGTGGCACAATTTGCACGTTTTCGTCGCAAACGCGTGCGGAATTCCGCAAATAGCTCACCTCGTCACTTCCTGCTTTCAGCAGGGCGAGGAGGAACACCTCAAGCCAGTGATCGCACCCGGCATGAAGTCCGAGCACCCCAGTCGGCTGTTCGTTACCATTCGGTACCAACCAGAGTGCACTGCCACCACATGTAGGTTAGCAGGGTGCACCATGGTGCACCAGCTTTGCTGGTTCTAACCCTGTGAGACTGAGAGTATGCCTCTTTCTGCACACCTCCAAACAGAAGACTGAAAAGCTAGCTGACTGAAGCGTAACCGTCCTAATGCATTCCTGCTGCTGTTGCAAATCAGGCCTGAGTAAAACATGTTGATGATCAGATGTCGCCAAATGTCTTCTTTCGGTTTTACAGCGTTGCATGGTGCATGGGCATGAATGCAGGCAGGATCGGGAAGTTCCTTCAAGGAACGGGCGGCAGCCAAAATTATTCGACGATTCCACAGTCATTCTTCGACAATTCTACTGTTTTATTGAGTCGGAGAACATCCTCAACGGAAGAAGTAGATGCCTGGTGCGGACACAGGCACTCGACAGACACCTCATCTTCCCAGAACATATCAAAGGACCCGAGGACGGACAGTTGAGTTGCAAAAGCTTAAAGGCAAAGCACAGCCTTGGCTGCAGCTCAGTCGCGTCAGATTACCTCCAAAAATCAGAGCGCAGTTTCCAAGCTTAAACAAGAAGCAAAAGCTAAAAAAAGCGCAGCCTTGGACACTGCAGGTTGCATCTCAAATGCTTCAGCATCGTAGGTGAAGATGTCCTCCGTGGCCTTCAGAAAACATCTGACATGATTGATCACAGCTCACTTGCCCCAGCGTGATTCTGGGCGCCTCGTGAACCGCGATGTTTGTGAGCATCGTCTCCTCTCGAAGTACATCGCTCAAGTCCTTGGGCCTGGCAGGACATAGACGACGACCGCCGCAACAGCAACAGCAACAGCAGCAGCAACAGCAGCAGCAACCAGCAACCAGCAACCAGCAACCAGCAACCAGCAGCAGCAGCAGCAGCAGCAGCAGCACCAGCACCAGCAGCAGCAGCAGCAGCAAGAAGAACAAGAAAAATGAGAAGAACAAGGCTGTTGCTTCTCACGCGGGTCTTGCTAGGCGTCTCTCAATTCGCCAGGCCGGCTCAATGGCATTCAGCTTCTCGCAGAAACGGATGGCGTACCTGCACAGAGCATCCTTGGGTCTGCACCCATTGACAGCAAGTGACAGCCGATGACAGCAGGGTCACATCTTGCAGAAGCTCCACGGCCTAAGGGATGTACCGTCCACCAAAAGCTCAAGGCACCGAATTCACAGGACGCAGGCAACGAAGATTTTTTGCATACTTGCAATGGCTTGGATGCCCACATATGATGCAAGCACATCTCTTTGGCAAAGACGTCGTTGCTGGCAGATGCTTCACTCTTCACAGCAAATCTCAAGTCGCAACAAAGCAAGCTCTGAAGTCAGCCTGACATACGACACTAGCGCGGACCAAAAAATGCTTTTGCTCTTCGTACGCCACTTTGAGTTTGGGTTGTAGTGCATCTTTGAGTATGGGCCTTTGTGCGTCTCTGAGCTACTGGGAGTAGCTTTTTCGTGAATCTCTGAGCTACATACAGACCATTGCATCGAACCACCGTGCTCAGATTTAGGATTGAATGAATGTCTGCCTGATGGCAATCAGCTCGCCGGGCGACAGCCTGACAAACACAACAGTTGAAGCCCAAGGAAGCAGGGCCAAGACCCACATGTTTGGTAAGGATCTGGCACTCTGCAGTCTCCCATATGACGCCATGACACCCACAAGGCTGCTTCTACAAACCAGTCCTGCTGCAGTCCGCTCAACCCTGCTCTTGCCAGAGGTGGGCTCCGCTGCGCAGGGAGAACGAATGACATGCTGGTCCTTCTGTTGCAGCGGGGGGAGAAGGACCTCACGGCCCAGCCGCATGTACCTGGCGGGCAAAGTGGGTAGGGAAATGCAGGGCTACTAGGTAGCAACCAGTAGCGCACTCCAGCTCACCATGCTTCACGAAGAGCATCTGCTTGCCTTCATGACCTTCCGCTGTTCAAGCATGACGCACCGACTATATCCGGCATGGAACGAGTGTCGGCTGCACCTGCCGTAAAGACCACGTCTGAAGATGCAAGCGCTATCTCCGTCAGAGCAAGATGGCAAAGCCTGTGCATTATGACCTGGCAGGAGAAATATGCTTTTGAATCCTTCTGAAGCCCTTTTCTGAGTTGACAAGAACACTTAAAACCTGTCCAAACACTTTTCTGAAACACATATCAAAACTATCACATGGCCTTTCATTCATGATTATGAAGATATTTCTAAAGGGGGGGGGGGGGTTGGTCCTGTTCAAGAAGTGCATGTACACGAAGGTAGTGTCCATTACTGTACGCTTTCTTGATGTGACAAGGAGCATTCTTCTGACTTGGCAGGCATAAGACTGGTTCCCTCGATCCCGATCGAAAAACTCTTTCATTGCCAGCTGAAGGACACGGCAGAAGATAAAGCAGCGCCATTCATGCATGGTTAGGAGTTCAGGGTAAAGGCCGCCAGGAAAAGCGGCCTTCATCGATGATGCCGATTTCTGGGTGCAGCAGACGGCGGCTTAAAAATCGATTCTAAGCTGCCTGAAACAGCTCTCCAGGAAGCTTGAAATCGATTTTGAAGCCTTTCGGTAGAAGCTCGACATGGAGTCGACTTGAAGCAGCGAAATCAGAAAATGGTTTGAACTCGACTTTAACCCTGCTGCGAGGAATGTGGATCAATGTGGATCGCGTTGCCCACGTGGGACAGGCGGGTCCTCTCCGCCTGCTTGGCAGGAACTGTTGAGAATGACTGGCCAGCAGGGACTCCGCTTGGGACGATCAAAGTCGCAAGAGAGTGAACAGGTGTGCTCTCTGGAGCACGCCAAGAAGCATTGTTTCGCTTGCTCCATACAAACGAGCCTGTGATCTGCCGCTCGGCAGAAGTCCTCACTGCCCGGCGCCACGTTCTCCAACACAGGCAAGCACTGGGACAGACATTCCAGCATGTTTGATGCCGGCGCGGCAATCTGCTCCGATGCCTGGAATGGAGTAGAGCTGGCTGCGCTCCGACCTTTAAACCTGGCCCTACGGGACTTTAGAGCGTTATCGTCTTGGCGAGCCGCTTGCGACAAGTGCGGCAGAGTACCTGCGTCGCGTGAGGGCCTGAAGGACATCCTGAACAGAGAACGCGGCAGCAAGATCGGTCGCGTTCACGGATCCAGTAGCCGTGCAAGCAAAACAGGCCAAGAGATGTTACACTGAAGATGAGTGCTTCGAGCACGACGGTCAGCAAGCGGGCCAAAGCAGCAACGTTCACCAGGGGCGTATCCGAAGCCGCACCAGGGCCTGTCTGCGGAGCTGCCGAGGAGCCAGGATCACTCGAAGGAGGTCGGCCCCATGGCCCACACTGCGGTGGAGGCAGGCTCAGAAGCGCATGCCTCCCGGCTGCGGGGCCAACTGCTGAAGCGGCGGATCCCAGACATCCCCCACTATTGGGGGGGGGGAGACGTCACCACGTGCAATATTCCACATTCAACCCCCCCCCCCTATGGCTTTGAAGCTTGCTGATCAGCATGCATGGGGGGGCCCCCCTATCATACTGAGGGTAGAAGATACGCAGCATGGAGGGTTTTGAGGTGCAACGTTTTAGGTTCCAACGTCATTTGTTGCCACGCTTCCCTTTGCCTCGGTTTCCTAGGCCGCCCCCAACGCGTGCAATATTGCACTGGGGAACCCCCCCGCCCACCCCTCGAGGACAAAAGTGGGGGATTCCCAGACTGGCAGAGGGACGCCCACGCGCGGCAGCAGGGAAGGCTTGCCAGCACGCTCACAGCATCCCACAGTATTTCTCGCTGACGAAGTGCATGAAGAATGCCTGGGTCACCAGTGAAGGGCACCAGTAAGGCTGATCCACCGATGCATGCTGCCCATGCCAGGATATCCACGCCTGAAGACTGAGGAGGCAGAGAGGCCGCTTGAAACATGCTGGAGCTTCTTCATTCTTGGAGCCGCACTGCATAGCAACTGAAAACATCCCCGCAACTCAGCAGCATTGTTGATACTGTTGGAAGGCGCCACAAGCTTAGAAGTTGAGGTTCAGATGGAGGCGCAAAAAGGTGAGCCTTACGGCGAGGCGTCAGAGTAGCAGCTGCGCATGTTCCCGAAGGTGCTGCAGAAACAGATTCCGAAGGCTTTTGGCAGAAGACTAGCAAGGAAGACTGCTGATCGACCCGGTATGGCACAATGCCCACACTAGGCTTCTCAAGGCAGCATCGTCAGCTGAAAGCTCGAAGAGTTTCGTGGCAGCAGGGTGGCACGTAGGGCCGGAGGAAACTCCATCAGAAGCCATAGGCCAGAACGGAGCCCTTCGAAAGAAAAGCATCCCTGCAAGCCAGGGCTTGCAGCAAATGACTTCCGTTTTAAGTGCGAACTGACCCCTCCAACCAGCCATAAAGCTTTTGTGGAATTGGGCACTGGCACAGCTCTTTGGTACTTTCGGAGTCCATGAAGAGTGGAAGTTACACTCACAACAACTGAAACATGACGGCAGCACCGGCATCTTTGAGCTCAAAACTTCAAAGAAAGGATGAGACATCAGCCACTGTATCATGATTTCATACCTCGAGCAGGAAACATCATACAAAGCAGCTCTCATGTTCCACTGAGCTTCAGCCTGAGCTCAACACGACAACTCTTTCCGAAGGGGATCAGAAAGCTGATCCAAGATGACCACGCTGCCTAAACAAGCTCCCTCCAGCTGGCACTGTCTCCGCAGGGACTGTCCTCAGGAGCCGACTGCTGTGGACTAGATCG